GCGATTCTCCTCATTAATAATCGCCATGATCCGGTGCACCCGTATGCTGCTCTTTTAGCGTCTATTCGGAGGAAACTTGCTCAGGATTGGTTGGTTAGTATAGTTCATACATACCGAGAAGGGAATAGAGCCGCGGACTGGCTCTCGAAGCACAGTCTCGTCTATCCCTACGGTATGCATGAGCTGACTAACCCTCCTAGAGAGTTAGTACAGATTTTACAGGACGATCTTATGGGGGTGTCCTTTGACCGCCGTATTGTGGCGCCTTCCTCCTCTTAGTCTTTGTTTCTCCTCCCCCCTTGCTGTTCTTGTTTCTTGGCTTTGGCCTCCCTTAATGCAAAAAAAAAAAAATTAAGTTTGGCAAAATACTCAAAGAGCACGACCATCGACTTTATTGTGCTTAGTTAATCTTGATATACAAGGGCCCAATTATCCTCTAACCCCTGCTTTTTGGTGATTAAGTCGTACATGTAGTATGGTGGGTCAATTATCCTTAACCTTTTTTTTTAAAGATAATCCTCAACCCATTACCTTAATAACCATCGAATTGCAATAAACTAACATCAAATCATGTAAAACATAATAATAATAATACAAAATTGAAGCCAAATTGAATTTAGTTTTGATTCCCATCGACGATTCCTGTCCACAAATTATATGAAGAGTTTGGGTCACGTCACATATGGATTGGTTAATCAACTGAGGAGGAGATACTAATTAATCAGCTGTTGGCTTGGCTGTTGGTTGCGTCATATATACTCACTCCGAAACAAAATTGGGCCCTGGCCCATGGGCCCGTGAGAAAAGCGAGTGACGGTGACAGGGCACCAACTACCAAGTTGCTTGCTGGACGGAATTGGTTGCCACCTACCAATTTGCTCTTCTGCCCACTTGGAAAATGAAAAATATCGGCCTATGTCATGTCGGACAAAACAAAACGTCCCCAATTTTCCCCGTAAAAAAACTTTTTACGTGTTACTTGCATTTGTTTTCCCCCTACTTCATACATGTGTGTAGGGCTGGAGGTTCGGTTATCAGTGTCCGGTTAACCGATCGGTTAAACTGATAACTGGTGGTTACCGGTTAAACCAATAACCGAAATTATATGCTTCGGTCGGTGGTCGGAGCTCCTAATAGGTAATTCGGTTAACCGAGTAATCGAAAATCGGTTATCCGGTTAATCAAAAATAACCGACCGACCACCCCCTCACCAAAACGACGTGAAAATACCCGGTTATGAAGTTTATAACTTTATGTTGTTGAATTTGAGACATTAATTTGGTGATTTAGATGTATTTTATATGCAAAAGTGATTGAGACTTTACTTTGGGTGTGATTTAGATGTAGAAATGTAAGTTAGAACCTTTCATTTTAGGCGATTCTAATAATTTTACCCGGTTAAAACCGAGCCACCATCAATTTTTTGGTATCTCGGTTAACCGACCAACTAACCGATAACCGAGGCATTGGCGTCGGTCGGTGTTCGGTAGGGGGGAGATGGTGATTCGGTTAACCGGTAACCGACCAATCGATTATCGGTTATGACCGAACCCAACCGAATCCACCCCTACATGTGTGTTTCTGATCTTAATTTATTGCTAATAGAGGTGGGAAATTACATTTGATTCATATATTGGATCGGTGGATTTCAGATTAAATGATTTGGATTTATTGGTTCGAGTGACATCTATTCATGTATTATGGAAATTAGGGTTGGAAATTGGAATATCGATTTTGATTTTCCAAGAACTTGTTTGAAGGAGAAGGGAAGTCAAGATAAAAAAAAAAATTATTAATTTGAAAACAAGAGCAATGGGTTGGATTCCGGAATCTTTGAATACCAGCCAGCCCGGTGCGGTGCTGCCACGTGATGGGGACTGGATGAGACTCAGCGAATCAGAAATCAGTTAGACGCAGCGAATAGAGAGTGAAAACGTGCCCAGGCGGGACACTCACAGCCAATCAACGACCACGGCAGTGAGAAAGGGAGGAGGAGGCCCATAATAATAAGTTACTAAACTGCTAATCTGGGCCCATTATTAAAAAATTGAGCAGGCTGGCGCGTGGAGGGAACAGGCCACTGGCGAGCCGCCGAGGCCCGGTGGGCGACCAGCTCGCCTAGTCGCGTGCTTCTCTTTCTTCTCCTTCACCTTCTCTTGTTAAGTCAACTAATTTCAAGTCACGATTGATTCCATAGTAGGTGGCTACTTCGGCGCACTCACTTTTTTGAGTGCACTCAGTGCACCCACTCTAAAAGTGTCCATATTACATCAAATTTTGAACTTTAATTAGTACTCTCAATCTAATATGATGATATGACATAGAATCATAACAAATCAATCTATTACCCTAACCCCTTAACCTTCAATTTTGAATCCCAATCCAAAATCTCAAATTTTAAACCTAATCCCTAACCCTAAATCCCTAAATCCCAAATCCTTCAAATTAAAGTCAATTTTGAATGAATTTTTTTCAAATTCATGTGCTTCTTGTTCATAATATCATGAGCAACAATTGATACCGTTTTGACATGAATCATATGCTCAGAATGACAATTATGAGATGTGCACCCAAAAAAGTGGGTGCACTGAATACGCCACCATATATATATATATATATATATATATATATATATTTATATATATATATATATTTATATTTACAATAGGATGAACAAAACTGACAAACAATCTAGTACTTGCCGTCCTGTCACTAATAGTGTGATACAAAACTGAAAATGCATCTTATGAGAGAATTGTAATTGATGACGGACTGATAATCTCATATTATACTTGAAATTCGACACTTTGAAGGATGAAATCTTGTTCATCCTGAAAGCTGCATAACCATCCCAATGAAACAAGTGAATAGGGCTGTAGCGGTTTGGTTCGCACCGAACCGTACTGGACGAAATCGAAGCTTGGATGTACCATACCAAATGTTATATAGTTCGAGTGATACGATTTTTACTCTGAACCGAATATAATGTTGATCTAATACCCAATCCTAAAATGTCTTTCACTATCAAACAACAATTCTCGTAAATATGGTTCGAACCGGACAAGACCAGACCTTTGCACACTTTGCATACCGAACAAGAAGGGCAACGGCGTCCGGTGGCGGCTGATCAAAATAGCTGGCGTGGGCTTGGGGAAGGGATCCCTCCCTCCCAATGAAAAACGGACAGACCAACAGGCGCGTAAATCCCCGGCGGCAGAACAGAATTACCCCCAACAAGAAAACAAACAGTATAATACCTTTACCCCACATTTTAATAAGAAAAAGAAAAAACCCAGTTTTCTTTCTCCCCTCTCTTTCGCTCGCTCGATCTACCGCCACACGACGCAAACGTCACGAGTGGGGGCTCTTTTGTTTGGTCACCCGCTACTTTTTTGCTCTTTCCTCACCATTATTATTCCCATTTTGGAATCTCTCTCCCTCTCAGTCTCTCTCTCTCTCTGTCTCTGTTGTTCTGAGTGCGTAGCGTAGTTCGACGATGTCTATAGCCACTTCTCAGATCCGCCTCCTTTCTCGAAACCAGCTCTGATTCCCTCATTCTCCACCTCCACCTGGTAATACCCACCCCAATTATATATATTCCTTCCCTCTATTCCATCGTCCCCTTTTGCTCCCTTCCTTCCCCTGCTTGCTGGCTTCTCCTCTCTGGCATATCGACAGCCATGGAATATTCATCTGGGTAATTTGTTTTGTTTCTTCTTCTTCTTCCTATTCTTGGGTAAGAAAGGAAAAGGCTTTTGGCTTCGTCTCTCCGTGGCTTCAATTGGGGTTGACTCTGTTTTCCTGTTTTGGCTTTCAGATTTTCTGGAATTCCGTTGGTTGTTGTTGTTCTTCTTGGGCAAGTTCTGAGCTTTTGTTGAAGGGTTTTACGTTTTCGGTCTTGTTTATTCTGCTGAGTTCTTTTTTGGGGTTTTGGTCAAGGTTGACTTTATGAATTGGGTTGGTTTGTCTGCTCAGAATAAGCTTCCCTTTTTGCCATGGATGATTGACTGAACCCTGTGTATTTCCATTGTCATGTAGCTGTTAAAGTTTACTTTTTTTACTCTGCGCTATTCTTGGGGTGAAATTTAGTTTCAGATCTACTTCCTTGTTACCAGCTACTTACAGTCCTTGTAAGTCCTTTCCTGTTAGGCTTTTGTATCTGTAATCTGTGTCCCTTGTGTTTAGGGAGAAACGAGTTATCTCTCAGTCTCTCACCATATGCCATGGATTCATAATTCTTACATGGCAATTGCAGTTCTTGTCCTGAACTAGATAACTTGCTGACGACTTGCTTGTTAGCGGATTTTTTCATTAATTATTCATTCTGCTGTGGTTCTTACCAGAAATTCTTGATTTGATCTTGTTTCGGTCGCATGGTGGCTCCTCCAGCATCACGTCGTTTTGTTCGCCTAGCATTTCATTCACGAATTCGTCATTTCGGTATGCTCTCTCTTTCTCTTTATGTTCAATTCATCCAGTTTTTTGTTTGATTCTCAGAGCATGCCATTCCATTTTCGATATTTAGGGTTGTAGGCAGTTTATGTCTTGTGGAGAGCTTGATTTAGTATTGTCCTTTGTTTGCTTGTGTGTGTACCCTCGTGTCCATTTCCTTCAACTTGAACAATGCATAAGTTTTTCAACCAAACCTTTAGGGTGAAAAACTATAAATTGTGTTCCTCTGATCATGTCTTATCTGTTTGCTGCAGACGTGAATGAAGCTAAGGAAAACTGAAAGGAGCAGCAGAGGCTCCAATGTTGTTTGGACTTCGGTTTTGACTGTCCAAATTACAGGCTTCTACCCTCGAAACGTCGTCAGATATCAGTGACTCGAAGATGGATAGGTTAGACACATCGGGCTTCGTAAGCGGTGGATGCTGCTGCTCTCACTTCATTCTCAAAGCACTTGCATAGTAATAGTATGCTCTGAAAACTCCTCTCTCTGTACTAGCTAGTTTGGCCTCTAAAATTCTCCAGCACTACTAATAAGCTCAACAAAGAACATGGACCTCAGCTTCAACAATAGCAACAGAGTTTCTCTGGACAATGAACATGTGAAAAGTGACACCACCTTGCGCTTGAACTTTCTCGGTTATGGAGCAAACCGTGTTGCCACCAACTCCATCTCCAGATTTGGCAGTGGCACTCAGAGCAATCTAAAGAAAGATTTCTGTAACAGCATACATGACGATGATGCGTGCAAATTGGTCCTCGGGTTGGGTCCCACATCGAGCACATACAGTGGCGATTTCTCCAACAATGTTGGGGGAACTGTTACCAACCCCAAAGGCTCTCCTCCTTTTACACTTGGGGGTGATTCGATCTTAAAGCTCGGCCTTTCTGGAGTGGGGCAAGTTGCTAATGATTCCTTCAGTGGACTCGAGAACAGTTCAGTTACAGAGATGAATCAAGCACCTGCTGCTGACAAAAGAGGATTCTCCTTCCCAGATTTGGACGAAGGCTCCACTTCAGCAAAGAAATCAGCTGGTGGATACATGCCTTCACTTCTCTTGGCTCCCAGAATGGACATTCGAAAAGCTCCACCGCCACAGACAGAAGTCATCGACTTCGAACTCAGTCACGAGCCATCTGCCACCACGGATTTCTCTTCAGCTTCCGAGCAAACAACTACGACAGCTACCTCTGGAAGCCACCGCGGCGTCACCAATGCAAAGAAATGCAGTTTCTTCGGATGTTCTAAGGGAGCACGTGGTGCCACGGGGCTCTGCATTGGCCATGGCGGAGGCCAAAGATGCCAGAAGCAAGGCTGCAACAAGGGCGCCGAGAGCAGAACCGCATACTGCAAGTCCCACGGCGGGGGAAGAAGGTGCGAGCACTTGGGCTGCACGAAGAGCGCCGAGGGAAAGACCGAACTCTGCATAGCCCACGGAGGGGGCCGTAGATGTGGGTACCCCGATGGATGCACGAAAGCAGCACGTGGCAAGTCGGGGCTGTGCATCAGACACGGCGGAGGGAAGAGATGCAAGGTTAACGGCTGCACTAGGAGTGCAGAAGGACAGGCAGGGTTGTGCATTTCGCACGGCGGAGGAAGGCGTTGTCAGCAAGAAGGGTGTGCCAAGGGAGCCCAGGGCAGCACAAAATTCTGCAAAGCTCACGGTGGCGGGAAGAGGTGCGTGTTCGCAGGGTGCACGAAGGGCGCAGAAGGAAGCACTCCGCTGTGCAAAGGTCATGGTGGAGGGAAGAGGTGTTTGTACGATGGTGGTGGGATTTGTCCGAAGAGTGTTCATGGCGGCACAAATTTCTGTGTGGCTCACGGTGGAGGGAAGAGGTGCGTGGTGCCCGGCTGCACGAAGAGTGCTCGTGGCCGCACTGATTGCTGCGTCAGGCACGGTGGAGGAAAGCGGTGTAAGGTCGAGAGCTGCGGGAAGAGCGCTCAGGGGAGCACGGACTTCTGCAAGGCCCACGGCGGCGGGAAGAGGTGCTCGTGGGGAGGAGAAGAAGCGGGGAAATGCGAGAAGTTTGCTAGAGGGAAGAGTGGCCTCTGTGCTGCTCACTCGAGCTTGGTCCAGGAGAGGGAGATGGGGAAAGGTGGAAGTATGATCAGACCGGGGCTGTTCCGCGGGCTCGTTTCGGCAGCTGCTGCTGCTTCAACGGCCGGCGGGAACACTTACAGTTTCTCCGGAGGGAGCGGGGTGTCGGAGAGTAGTGCTGGTGGTGGGTCGTTGCTGGAGAAGCCGGCGAAACGACGGCACCTCATACCGCCGCAGGTGCTGGTTCCGCTTTCGATGAAATCGCCGGCTGTGGCGTCCACGTATTCGAGAGATGGAGGAGCTAGTAGCGATGGGCTGAAGAGAGGTGTGGGTGAGATGATGGTTCCAGAAGGGAGAGTCCATGGTGGTGGGCTCATGTCTCTGTTTGGCGGGAACCTGAAGAATGCTGCCATTGATGGGGTTTGAAGCTTTTCAAAGGAGGGGAAGCTCTGTGTCTCTCTCTTTCTCACTTGGCCAAATGGTGATTCATAATTTGCATTCAAAATGATTGATTGATTTGGGAGCTATGATGCATAAAAGGGGGTGTTTGGTGCATGGTTTTCCAAGTCAATTGTGTATATTTGGCTGTTGATAATTTTAGGTTAGGAGGAGTCTTGTGTTTGTGTTGTGCCATAATGTTGTTTTTGGGGGACGTCTGTTCTTTTCTTTCATGTTTCCAGTTCAAATGGTCTGGTTTTTTTGGCAATAAGCTCCCTCATTTGAAGGGTGATGTAGTAATCACCCGCATCATTAAGTCTTACATGTGTTGTACTTTTTGTACATTTGTTCTTACTTCAGGAATTTGATCGTCGCGTCTATTAGTCGTTTGCTTCTCATTCTATTGTTCAATTTGCTAAATTTTTGATAACTATAATGTATCAAAGATTTTAGCTTGATTCTCAAGAATCAATCAATCCAATAACTTGAATATTATTATATCAAATTCCATATAGAGATTAGCCACTGAAATGATCGGTGGCTTCAACAGAAAGAAAACAAGGAATAAGGTAAACTAAAATTTTACGAGGATCAAATCAACTTTGGATCAAGGCTCTATCTCTAAGCAATGCTTCAACGGCTTTCCTTCCTGACACCAATGCACCATCGAAAGTGGCTGAAGTCAGGTAATCCCCTGCCACATATAAACCAGAATCGACCCGGTGGCTTTTCATCAAATCGGTCGGAGGGCTTTGGTTGGGTTGTGCAAAACCAATCCGATACGTTCTCAAGTACTTCCACGATCCAACCAACGAGTCCCCAAACCAACCGGAGAGCTCGGCAACAACACGAGCTGCGAGATTTTCATCCGACTCGCCCTCAAACGACCCAATCAAAGATGCTGATACCAGGACCTTGTCGGCTGGACCATACGAGGGAGCCACATTGGTGGCGAAGAACATGTTGTTGACGATGCCCTGACCCGAACCGTTGAGAAACAGAACCGGGTCCTGAACAGGAACCTTGTCCCGGTCAGCTGAGAAATATACACAAACTGTGCCACGAGCTGGTTTTGGTCGAACCGGGACTGGGTTTCCCGGGCCGTTTCCGTTGCCGTTCCGCTTCATTCCCGCCAACAGCTTCGCGGCTTGCGGTTCCTCCACCGCCAAGATCAATCCGAACTCGCTTTGGAAAGTTTCACCAGTTTCCAACTTCAACGACGATTCCTCGAGATCAATGGAGGCAACTCTCGAGTTCAACAAGATGGAGCTGGGCGGCAATTTTGAGGCCAATTGGTCGGGAATTGCTCCGATCCCCTTCGCCGGCAGGGTATTGTCGCCCAGAGCCAGACATTTGAAGATAAATTCGAACAGCCTGGAAGTGGTTTCGAGCTCGGGATCGAAGAAAATCCCACCGAAGAAGGGCTTAAAGAATCGGCCGACAATGGAATCGGAGAACCCAATTCTCTTCAACAGCTCCGACGTAGGGACCTCGTCGGCACGCAGGATTTGGTCGTCCGATTTGGTCAATACACCAAGCCTCGTCGACCCTATAAGCAACTTATCGAGAACCGACCCAATTGGGTTAGTTAAGGACTGGAGGGCATCGGAGAAGTGACGGAGGGGATCGGCAACGGTGTGGAACTGCCCGTCGAAGTAAATCCGGGCGCCGGAGTAGAATTTCCGGAGATCCAATTCCCGGTAGTCGAGCAGCTTCTGGGCTTCTGGGTAGGAAGTGATGAAGATTTGAAAGCCACGGTCGAGGACGAAACCGTCGACGAGGTCAGTCCGTACTCGGCCGCCGACTCCGTCCGAAGCTTCGAGGAGGAGGAAAGGAATGTTTCGAGAGTGGAGGTGGGTTGCGGCGGCGAGACCGGCGAGGCCAGCTCCGACAACAATAACACCAGTCTTGGTGCGGGAGAGGGGCGGGGAGGATAAGGGCTGGGAGGGTTTGGCGGTGGAGGAAGACGAGGAGATTGAGAGGCGGGAGAAGTGACGGCGGCCGGAGGTCCTGGCGGTGAGGTGGGAGACGGAGATGGATGAAACGGCGAGGGCTTGTGATTGAGAGAGAGCGAGAGTCATTTGGATCGGAGTGGAGAGATGTGGATAAGGCAAAGCTTTGCTGCTTTTGCTTTTCTGTGTGTAGTTTGGTTGGTTTGGACGTTTGGAAATTTGGGGATGGGTTAGGATTGGTGGATGATGGATTGGATGTAACCTGCCGGTGGATAGCTACCTTAGAATATTGTGTTTTAAGGGCAGTGACCTGATCCTAATATCTCCCTATATAGAGAGTCAATACTCTTCTAAGGAAATGGTTCTTTGTTCTACCAGAGAGAAGAGAAGGGCGAGAATGAACAGTTCGGGACGAATATGAATCCAGGTAAGTACTACATTTATACAGACGGCAAAAGAAAGAACTAACCGTGCTCTCCAGCCATGAATGGATCTCTGGTCTCCCAAGTCCCAACTTATTTACAGTTGGTGCATCACGCTTCCATGCTTCATGTTAAATCGTCCAAAACATGGAAGCTGACTACAAGGATATCCTATGTACGCACATGTTTACAGGAACTGATCGTCGCCAAAATCAAAGACTTCCTGCTGAATGCTGATGAAGAGTTCTGTAATGAGTGGGATGTGGTAAAGGAATATGGTTCTGAAAAAGAAGCTGAAGATTGAGGATAACTACATGCTTTAGTTCAAACCTGTGATGGAAGAGAGGTGAGAGACGTTGTTGCTGTTGCTCCTAAGGGCAGAACCTGGTGAACACAGGCAACCTTTTCTTAGTCGATGGGCCATGAAGAATCCGGTCAATATTGGCATTAACATCTTCCCTTGATGTGGATTTGTCAGTATGAGGTGGCAGGACAATCTCAATGTTATCATCCAAGGGTGACCAGTCACGCAAGCTCGTGTTGCCGGAACTTAAAACTCTGAAGCCTTCAGGTTTCTTGATGGATGTTGAGCTTCTGCTTGAAAGGTCTAGTCTGGGTGGGGTGGAAGTAATGAACCTGGCATCCGAAGCTGAACTTCTCATGGAGTTCCTGCTGGAGAGTTCTGATCTCATGAAGCTCGAGGTGCCCCTGTTGCTTTGTTCAGGTCTGTTGGAAGCGTATCTTATTAAGTTTTCTGTTGCTGACGCTTCTGTCGTCCCAGGTGAAAACAGGAGGGATTTTGTAGGGTATGAAGGTGGAGTCAGTGACCTGTTACTCCGAACCTGCACAGATTATGAATTGGGAAAACAAAGGTGAGATGGCCTTTCATTAGACAGTGGGGATTTTAATCACCAACTACTGTGTGCAAACCTCAGATTTGTTCTTGACAATGTATCCTGGTGGACGAAGCTCTTCCTTTCCATGTGCAAACTGAAATAGCAGAGACCAAGATGGCGAATTCAAGCTCAAGAACCACACAAAAACTGAATCAGAATAATGGCTAGCATGAATCTGATCTCGGATTTCGGTAAGCATGAGGGGTAACAGGCTCACAACAAAAGACTATGATCTTGAACAAAGGTCACCTTAAATTTCCTGGTTACAGTAGACAACAATCTAGCTTGAATTAGCACATTGACGAAATCAAAATGTCATGTTACTGTTTCTCAACTCAAGAACTTAGTTCCAGGATGGTTCAAGTTGTAAGCAACTTGCCGCAAACTCGGAAGTATTGAAAGAGATTCAAGTACTGCAAGAACTTAGAATGGTCATTCAGAGTATTCTCTTGTCTATTTGCAGCAAAGGCAGGGATTTCACCATGACACCACAGCTCAACAGGGGAATCAACTAAAGCAAATGCACAGTTTCCATCTAATGTGTAATTCAGATTCGTTGCATCACTCTTAGTTTCATAATAATCCTACTTCCAAAAACTGGAGAAGCTACAGAGATTAAGCTATATCAGCTCTTTTGAGATTCTCAAAGGATGCTCAGAAGCACCAACAGCTAGAATCTTATTCCTGGCTTATCTAAGAATCATAAACACAAACAGTTTGTAAGCATAACAAACGTAAGATTGGAGTTGCGGTTCAATTCTACTCGTAGCTCATAATTAAAACTACGAATTGATGAGGTACGGAGATTTCAGATTCCCCTGCCAATGCCATGTCTAGAGCTGTGAAATTAACCTCCAAATCAAAGAGCCTCCGGGAAACAAATTCACAATCTCTTCTGAAAGAACTGAAATGGAGACAATCGAATGGAAAACGAGAAGGCGAGAGGAGAACCTGGCATTTAGTGACGTAGCGGCAGTATCCGTGATCCTCCCAAGCTCTACAGAGTTCAGTCTTGTTGATCTTGTTCCCCGACGAAGAAGACGAAGAACTATTCGAGGATGAGCCACCGGACTCAGACAGCAAGCGAGCCCTACCAGAAACCCTAGCCCCTCCTCCGACGGCTGAAGCAACGCCGATCGCATCCATCACCAACACATCGTCTTCCATCGCCTTCAGAGGACCGACGCCGAGGACCGACGACTTCCTCGCGTTCTCTAAAGAAGACAACGACGAGAGGGGCGACGAAGACGCCGTGGACCTCCCGAAGCTGGTGCCACCGCCACTGCTGCCTCCCCCGCTGCGGCCGCGGCCGTTGCTTCCGGAAGAGCTGCTGAACTGGTTCTTCTTGGACATAGGCGAGGGAGAACTGAAGGAATTTTCCGCGTCGGCGCCGTCGAAATCATGCGGAAACAGAGCAGTCGGAGATCTGGCAGCGGCGGCGCCTTGCAGGTAGCGGAGGAGCGGAGAATTCATGCTCAGGCGGTTAATCGCTTTTTCACTTCCATGCTCATCTCTTCTTCTCGCTCGCCAGCAACAGATCTTTGGATTCCCGCTCAATTTCTTCCCACCCTTGCCTCAACGGTTAGTTATATAGTTTCTTGAATTTTAAGTTAGGTTTAATATCTTATTTTGACTCGAACTATGACCATATAATCAACTTTGTCTTATGGTTTCAGAAATTAACATCATGGCCTCAACTATGCAGCATATAGACTCAATTGGCCCGATAGATGGTTTGACCGTTAATTTGGACGGTCAAACCATGTGACGATCAACACCGTTAACCGTTAGTCAACACGCCATGTCATTGCCCCGTCAGTCAAAATATTATTAAAAAATTCAAATTCAAATTATTTTTCTAATTTCTATTATTTATCACTTTCAAATTAACCAAAAAATAAAATTTAAAATAATTTTATAATTTTTGGTTAATTGGTAAAATTTATCATTTTCAAATTACCCAAAAAATAAAATATTAAAATTATTTTATATTTTTATATTTTAAATTTTTTGGTTAATTTGATAATGATAAATAATATAAATTAGGAAAATAATTTGAATTTGAATATTTTTAATGATTTTTATGCTGGCGAGACAATGACATGGCGTGTTGACTAACGGTCAACGGTTTTGACCGTCCAAATTGACGGTCAAATCATGTGTCAGGCCAATTGAGTCTATATGTTGTATAGTTGAGGTCAGGATGTTAATTTCTGAAACCACGTGCCAAAGTTGATTATATGGTCATAGTTCAGACGAAAATAATGTATTAACCCTTTAAGTTATTAGTATTTTGTTTCTCCCGTTCTCAGAAACGAAATGTATCTGAAAAAAATCTATTATAAGAGAGAGAAGGTAAAGTTAGAGAGATAAGCACTCTGCCCTCTCTCCTCCCTTTTTCGGCCGTTGAATGAGTGGTTGCCCCAAACCTCCCAGCGGGGAGGTGGATTTCTACCTGAAACCGCCTGACGGATCTCCCTCGACCTCGCCGAGCCAGTCGAGCAAGAAATCCAAAGCTATCTCCAACGACGACGGCACAGGAGAAGGCGGAATTGAGATCGCGATGGTCACAGCGAGAGCCAAAAACGGTGAAATCCAAGGGGATGCGACGGAGCCGAATCTAGCTGTTGCCTCGATGATGAATCTCGACTTCGATCCAGGTAATGAATCTGCAATCCCAGCTGAAACTGAACAGACCAAGGCCTCGTATAAAAACTCGTTCCTGGGGAACAAGCCAGGCCCGCCACCATTTGCAGGTGATGATCTCATGTCCGATGAATCTGGCGACAAAGGGGACGACGACCCAGAATGTCCAACCATCCTAATCAAAAAGAGCACAACGCAAGAGTACAACAGAGATGGAGCAGGGCCATCACGTTCAGAGTCCTTGGGGAATCCTTCCCCTTCGCTTTTGTCCAAAGAAGGGTGCAAAGTATGTGGGCAAAGACGGGTGGTCTGCGAGTGGGAGATTTAGGCAACGGATACTTCCAAGCTGTTTTCGATTCTCAACTGGACTGCAACAGAGCACTATATGGAGGGCCTTGGACGATCAATGACCACTACATTGTCTCAGAGCCATGGAGACTCGACTTTGACCCAGACTTCGATGTCATCAATAGAACAGCTGTTTGGGTGAGACTTCCTCGCCTTCCTCTTACCTACTTTGATGAGGAGATTCTCATGGACATCAGTAGCAAGCTGGGTAGAGTGGAGAAGATCGACTACAACACCTCAAACGGGTTCAGGGGAAACTACGCGAGAATCTGTGTGGAGATCAATCTGAGAAAGAAACTGGTGTCCAAATACAGACTTAAAAGGAGAGTCAGACGTGTTGAGTACCAGGGACTCCATATTGTCTGCTTTGAGTGTGGCCACTACGGCCACCGTGCTGAGAAATGCCCGACGAGGAACCCTGCCATAAACCAGGAGTCGCGTGAAAAGAGAGCTGAGGGGGTAACTGACAGCTCGAATCAGGCCATTAGACCTGAAGTTCTGGAAGAATTTGGATCATGGATGTTGGCAACCAGACCAAAGAGGAGGAAACAGCAGCAGAAAAACGCAGGAGATACACCACGAGGAGGAGGACAGGTGGAAGCCCACGCAGATGGATCCAAATTTGCAGCACTTGATGGTGTGGACAATGAGGAGGACAATACATCTAGCGTGGCTGGAAGCGAGGAAGAAGAGGAGCTAAATGAAGAAGATGCTAACATGGAGGATGTGAAAAGTGCAAAAGAAAATACAGATTCTCAGCAAATTGGGAAGCAAGAACAGAAAGCACCTGAGGCAGCCAATATTCAGAAGGCTAGGGAAACCAAGGGAGGAGAAGCTGGAAGAAAGGAGAACATCAAAGGGCAAGGGAGTAGTCAACAAAGAGAAAGGGACAATACCATTAAGAAGAAGAACCAGAAAGTCTCCCCAGAAATTAACAAGTCCAAATCAATGGTAACAAACACAGAGAAACAAGGAGCAATGGTCACAAAGGTGGTTAGAGAGAAGAAAGAGCAGAAGAAGGAAGATAGGAATATTGCACCACCCCCAACCCCAAACATCCCCATGCAGGAGGCTCTACCCCGAGTAACAGCAGAGGGAAAGACAAGGGTGTCAGTGTTGGAGGAAAATCAGGGCATCAACAAAAAATGAGGCAAACAGGTAACCATAGCTCGGCCAAGGAGGAAGGAAAGCATCTATCCCACTCCCCAAATACTGGGAAAGGAAATTCGAGGAAAATTGAGTTTGATGTCACAATGGGAGAGGTGACAGCCCAGCCAAAAAATGCAGCTACGACCATGATCATTACTCCGAGTGGTGATTCAGGGTCGAAGGAGACGGCAATGGCCGTCGATGCCTGATTGTTGTTGGTACGAGAGTTCCTGGTTTGCCTTCTTCATTCTTTAATGATTAAAGCTCTCTCTTGGAACAGTAGGGGTGCTAAGTATCCCAAATTCTTGTCAACTATGAAGTTTTATAAGGAGAAGTACAATCCGAATGTGGTGTGCATCTTGGAACCGAGAATTAGTGGGGAAGACGATGTTTCAGCAATCAAGGCAATTGGCTTTGATTCCTGGAAAGTGTTTGACGCTGTTGGATTTAAAGGGGGGATTTGGGTCTTATGGGACAGCAACCAACTGAAGCTTGAGCTCAAAGACAAACATAAACAGTTTATTCATTTATCATGCTCAATTGACAACAAGGATATGGGGTATATCACTGCTGTCTACGCCAGTCCTAATGAGCACGAAAGAGGTGAAGTCTGGGATTCCCTTAGGTTGTTGGAGAGAAGAATTAATGCTCCCTGGCTCATTACGGGGGGATTTCAACTTGATCTCCAGGCCAATGGAGAAATAAGGAGGAGCGCCCTTTAACCTCAATAAAACCAGAGCCTTCAACGAATGCATTGAAGATTGCAGACTGGTTGACTTGGGGTACACAGGGACGACCTTCACTTGGTTCACCTCATCTGGTCTTAAGGAAAGACTTGACTGAAGTCTTTGCAACATGGAGTGGCGGCAGGCTTTCCCACAAAACGGTTGTCTATCACCTCCCTAAGCTGAAATCTGACCATAGAACTCTCTTGCCCCATGACTCTCTCATGATTCCTTCTTCCCCTTCCTGTCTGCCTCTTGGAATGGTAGCAACGATTTCCCTTCGTCTTTGCAGGACCTTTTGAAGAAGCTTCAAGATAGGAACAAATCTGTCTTTGGGAACATCTTCAAAAGGAAGAGGCAACTCCTTAACAAGCTTGAAGGCTTGGAGCTCCTGAATGACAGGAATCCCAACAACAACTCCCTCGCAAAGGAGAAGCAGATCAGGGAGGAGTTGGAGCAAACCCTCTGGCAAGAGGAGGTTTTGTGGTTGCAAAAATCTAGAGCCAACCTTGTGATTCATGGTGACAGGAACACAAGATTCTTCCATCAAAGCACACTTAGCAGGAGGAGGAGGAATAAGATTACTGGCGTGAAAAATGAGAGTGGGAACTGGGTCACTGACCCAGACACACTTTGCATCATGGCTAGAGAGTTCTATGTCAGGCTGTTCGAGAAGAAGAACAGAGTTGATCGTCCCAACATTGTGGCAAACTTCCCAAGCACTGGACCTGCTGCAGACAGAATTTGTTCCCCTCCCAGCATGGAGGAAATTCGTGCAATCATAATGGATATGAACGGTCTGAAAGCACCAGGGAAGGATGGCTACCAAGCCATCATCTTCCAAAAGTGTTGGGAGGTTATTGGTGTCAATTTCTCAAACTTTATGATTAAATGCTTCCGAGAACCCATTAGAATTAGATCTTTGAATGCCACTTTACTTGCGCTTATACCTAAGACTGTTCCCCTGCAACTATGAGTGAATTTAGACCCATTAGCTTGTGAAATATTGGTTATAAAGTTGTTGCAAAGATTATTGCCAACAGAATAAAACCATTGATGCCCAAACTGGTGTGCCCGAATCAAACTAGTTTTGTCCCTAATCGTCATATTACTGACAATATTCTGATTTTGCAGGAAACAGTCCATACAATGAACAAGAAAAGTGGAAAGAAAGGACTCATGCTCCTCAAAGTCGATCTTGCCAAGGCGTACGACAGGATTGACTGGTGCTTCCTCGAAGAAACACTCAAAATGGCTGGCCTCCCTCCTGCTTGTGTTCTCACCATTATGGAATGCGTGACTTCTGTCGAAATGCAAGTGCTCTGGAATGGAGGAGAGACGAAAAGCTTTAAGCCAAGCAGAGGCCTTAGACAGGGATGTCCCCTCTCTCCCTATCTCTTTACACCTATAAGTTTCTGATACTAATCGGATATGCTATGAAAAATAGAAATTTATATCCTAGCCCAAGTTCCATCTGGGCTTGTCTCACTTTCATCGGGTCAAGAAGCGAGTCGGTTTTCTCTTAGAACCCGCCCATTGATTTATTCAAGCGGGTCAGTCAGAATAGTGGTAACTGCTTCCTAGGTTTTAAGAGGGTTTAACTCTGAAAGCGGCTCAGCCCTTCAAACCTCCTTCCCAATTTCCTGCCTGCCTGCAACCGATTGCATGGAACGACTTAGTCATTGTATTGCGGAGGAAGTTAGGATAGGAACTTGGAAACCTATTAGATTGTCGTGCGGAGGACCACCTCTATCCCACCTTTTCTTTGCTGACGACTTAGTGTTGTTTGCGAAAGCTAGTCAGAACCAGGATGATTGTATTTTGAATTGCTTAAGTAGATTCTGTGATGCTTCAGGAGAACTTATCAGTAGAGAAAAGTCTAGGATTTACTTCTCTAAGAACACTAGCTCGAACCTTAGGAAAACAATCTGGTCTATCCTTAGGATTCAAGCCACTGGAGACCTTGGCAAGTACCTAGGTGTGGTGTCCCTGTGCTTCATGGTAGGATCACGAAAACACCTATAAGTACATCATTGACAAACTGGATCAAAAAATGACGGCTTGGAAAGCTAGGACTCTTTCTCTTGCAGGCCGTGTGACTCTTGCTACTGCTGTTCTCAATGCTATTCCTTCCTACATTATTCAGACTACGATGCTGCCTATGTCTATCTGTGATCTCATTGATAAGAAAATTAGGTGGTTTGTATGGGGATCACAGCTGGGTAGAAGGAAGGTTCATCTTGTGGCGTGGGAAAATATTTGCAAACCAAAAGAGCAAGGGGGTTAGGGCTAAGATCTGCTAGGTCATTGAACCTTGCATATATGGTCAAACTTGCCTGGATTCTGTTTAATAATGATAAGGAGCTGTGGGTGCAGGTGCTCCAAAAGAAATACTTCCACCACAAAGATGGGAAGATTGTCTCAGCTAAGAAAAGCAATCATTCCAATTTATGGAAAGCTGTTATGAAGGCGATGCCTTACATGAAAAAAGTCATGGTCTGGAGCCTGAGAGAGGGAAAAGACATAGGATTCTGGACCCATCCATGGCTGAGCAACGACACCTACCTCTCGGAGTTCGCTACTAGACAGTTGACTGAGGAGGAAGCCAACTCAGCAGCTGCGGATTGGACTACTGAAGATGGTGAGTGGAACTGGACCAAGCTGAAGGATTGTCTTCCTAACGATCTCCTTGTGCACATTGCAGGCATGTATGCTCCAAAAACAGGGTTGGGCGAGGACATCACCACTTGGGGACTGGAGAAAGACGGCCGCTTCAGACTCAAATCCGCATATAACCTGGTTGTTGGGCATGTTGAGGAGGATCATGAAGACGGCTGGAAGAACTTATGGAGATGGAAAGGCCCTAACAGGGTCAAACTCTTCCTCTGGTTGGTGTCTCATAACAGACTGCTCACGAATTCTGAAAGGAAGAAGCGACAACTGACAACGAATGGAAACTGCAACCACTGCACAAATGAAGAGGAAACAGTGGAACACATTCTGAGAAGATGCAAGAAAGCAAAGAAGATTTGGATCTACTTCCATGACAAGATCACTTCGAAAGATGCTAGCTTGGACTTTAAGCAATGGATCAATGCTAACATTAAGAATGAGGAAGTTGGGATCGATTTTGGTATTATCTATTGGATGCTATGGAAACAGAGGAAGTCCTGGATGGCAAAACATACAACAAGGATGGACTCACCTGCAAGATCAGATCATGGATAGCTATTTTTCATCAGGCCAACGCAAATGAAAAACAGTGCATCCTCCCTAACCAGCCTACAAAGACAAGCAGAGAACTGGCCTGGAGCCCTCCCCTTGAAGGGTGGATTCAGGTGCAGACTGACGACTCGGTCTCCTCTCCCTCTGGTAACGCGGCAGCAGGAGGATTGATCAGAGATTGGCTGGGAAGATGCTGTGATGCGTTCACTTGCAACCTTAGCAAGAGCTCGATCACGCGCGCTGAACTCAAGGGCGCTGCTACAGGGCTCGACTTGGCCTGGAATATGGGATACAGAAAGGTGGAGCTGAACTTAGACTCCACTACGGCAATCAGGATCATCAAAAACTGGGAAGACGACAGTCATTCCTATGGCGTGCTAGCCTGTCAGTTTGGGAACCTCTTAAGTAGGAATTGGACTGTTGTAGTGAATCATATTTATAGAGAATGTAACTGTGCTGCTGACTTTTTAGCGTCCAAAGGGCACGATATGGATTTTGGCACACATCGTTTCAATGTGTGCGACCCTCGGCTCGATTACTGGCTTTTGTATGACGTCATGGGAGTTTCTACCTCCCGGATCATTAATACTATGAAGTATGAATTAGGACGCTGGTCGTTCGTCTTCCTACAAAAAAAAAATGTATCTCAACCAACTATTTTTCCTTATCAGTCAACCAACTATTATTAATACCACAAATATGAATATTTGTAAAAATTAGTTACAAATTGCGTATAAAACATTAAAATTTCAAATATCTATAAATACATACTAGTTTTTTTACCCACCATTGGTCGGTGCATTTTGTTTGGTTATTTTATTTTCATTATAATAATATTATAATTTTTATGATCCATGTCTATTAAATATTTATACATGAAATTGTAATCTCATTTACCTGACTTCATATATTGTTTCACTTTATACCTTCCGTTTATTTATGAACAAATTAATTTTATTAATAAAAATCTTTGTGGACCTTTCTTTATTAATTTAGAATTTTTTTTATCAAACCAATAAATAATATCCTTACTTAATATTATAGGGATTCAAAACAAATAGAGTGCCACGTCAGCCCATGGTCAGCTCTCAGCGCCTCCCACCTAGAGGTGGCAATTTCAATCCAATCCACCAATCCAATCCATCAATCCATTAAAAATATCCACCTAATCCAATCCATTTAAATCCAATCCATTTGATCCAAATCCAATTGGATTGGTGGATTCATGGATTGGATCCATGGATCATTGGCAAATTACGGTTTAGTACCTATAATTTTTATTTTTTACATTTTGGTACCTAAAATTTAATTTTTTATACGAAAAATATCATTGGAAAATTACGTTTTGGTACCTAAAATTTTTCATTGTGACATTTAGTACCTAAACTTTTTACGTTTTACATATTGGTCCTTGGTTGAGGATGTCATTTGAATTCATGGATAATCCACCAATCCACTTGATCCAATCCATGAATCCATTAGATCCAATCCATTTGATCCATGGATCCACCAATCCAATCCACCAATCCACCAATCCAATCCATTTGCCACCTCTACTCCCACCCATCAACGAATGATTTTGTTTTTCTTTCTCAAATTTAGTACCTTGGTTCACTTCGCCTCCCTTCTCGGTTAGCTACTTAACTCATTCCATTCTGTTTTCTTCCTTTGTATACCATACCTTCTGTTTTTGCTTTTGTCCAAGAATCTAATATGATATGAGCTGCCGAAATCAAGTAGTTCTTACTTTCTTCCGCTCTTTCTTCCCAAGTACAGTTGTATCTTAGGTTTTTCAATGGCGGCTGCAAGTGGTACTGGATACAGAAAGCAGCCACCAGCTACGGAGGTGTCGTCATTTAATCACATTCTCACACCTTGAACCTCTTTCTATGTTTCTCCTATCCATCCGACCCATTGTACATCCATCCCGGCGTTGCGTTGATTAACGGAGGCGACGACAATGAGGAAGCTCTCGAGTGGTCACCGGCAGCGGGGACGAAATGAGATGGAAGAATCTTGAGTGTGACGAAATAGGGTTGTAGAGATGGCATACTGGCGTTATGGATTTTTACTGGTGTTGCTCTTGCTGTATACTTAATTAATTTCTGATATGCAGGGGAAGCGTTCTGGTAGAGAAAGGAAAATCCAAGAGGGAAGTGTTGATTGAGTCTAGCAAGTGAGTTAGGTCTCAATTCACTGATTGAAGCCACTATAGAGGACTGCATTGGAAACCTGGATTTCTTATACAAGAACCGAAATAGAACGAAGTTGAAGGCAAGGAAATGAAAACAAAGCTTGATCGGAAAACACACAGCTGTACAATGGAATTGTGTTTATGGGTTTTGTGAACTTATTTGGTTACTGGACTTTCATTTACTCACTTAAGCTTAGAAGGGCTGAACGTGATTTCCAACAAAGCTCTTAATTTCGTTAAACCCAACCAAGCCCATCTGCCCAAGACAATGTAAATTGAACGAGCTCTTGAGATGGTGGACCGGAGAAGCAGGGCGGGATCATCTCCTGCGGTGAATGGATTCCCCTGTTTACTTCCCTTGAAACAGAGTAGCAGGCCGGTTCTTTTGGGTGCTTAAGGGAGAAGATTCAAAATGGTTCATTCTTTTTGTCCCTCACGTCATCCTGTGTATTAATTGCTTTTTTCAACCACGAATAAATCCCTCCGTTTCTTACTTTTATGTTTTCCCCAATTCTGGTGTTAATTATCTTTTGTGGTTAATGTCAATTAATTGTCATCTAAGAATAGCATTGTGTTGCCATTATGGTTAAGGAATTTTGTTTTAATACATTTTCCACAACACAACCCAAGATTCATATTGCCAATTACCAACCACCTCCGATTAAGATTTAAGGACTTGAGTTCAAGTACTTAACCCTCATTTCTTAAGGAGAATCTTAAAGTCTTCCTATTGGCTGATAATGGATTAGATAGTTAATGGGGATTAGTAGTTAATAGGTATTTAAGGGTAAATGGGGTATGCAAATATAATTAATTAATGATTCTCTTTCTCTCTCCTCCCATGATTTTATCCATAACCCTCTCTCTACATTATAATTAAAAAGAAATTGAAATTAATTTTATTTAATATTTAATAAATTCCAAATTTAATAATTTTCTTTTTCTAAAATGGAAATTTAAAATATATGTCTCTCTCACATCTTGGCAACTTTCGATTAGTATTAAGTATTAATATTTTGTAATGACATTATTAATATTTATAAATTGAATCATCATTAGGGCTTTTCGTTGCATGGGTTTGGGATTTTTCGTTGTTAGGTATTCGTTTGTGTTATTATTAATGTTGTTCGACATGTTTTTTAATTATTTTATATGACATAATTAACTTTTTATGTTATGTTATGCTTTGTTTATAACATTAGCAAAAGTGAAATTGTGTTTTCAATTTGTTGGTACTTGAAGTTTATTTACTATTACATCGTATTATCAATTTGGTTCGCAATGATTTATAATCATTTGAAGTTCTTTTATCAATGTTTTTTTTTCCAATCACAATACAAACATTAGCAAAAATTTATTTCATTTGTAAGATTGCTTATGTTTAGTGATTTGAATTATTAATATTTTTTCGTTTATGTTTGTAACTTTGTCAAATGTCATTATCAAGAAGCATACTTGTTAGGAATTCGTTTGTTTATGACATTAGCAAAAGTGAGTTTACGTTTAATGATATAGCTATGATTATTAATCATTCAGTCTAATTTAGTAACATAGTTGGTGTCATTATTAATAGGTGTGTATAAGCATTATCAATGTTTGAAAAATAAGATATTAATAATATCTAATAAGGTACTTAACAATCATTAGTTGCTATCATTATCAAAGTTTTTGAATGCATTATCCATTAAAAACATGTTACTTATTAATGCGTTTTTAGTGCTATTTGACATTAAACATTGCATTTGAATATTATTAATAATTTTTTTGTTACAAAAATCTATTTCCTTATCAGTGACTTGATCATTCGATATTAATGGTTTTTAATATCTTTATCAAAATTTTGATGTTATTTATAATGTTGAAGTCGGACATTTTTACATTGATGTTTTGTGTTTTTTTTTCAACGAAATACTTTTCGTTATCAATGATTTATTGTATTGTTATTAAAAGTTTGATGTTGAGGCGTGAATGTTGGTTTGTTTGAGCTAATATTTTTTTGGACAATGTTTGTTTGACTGAATCACACAGGTGCACTATGTCATTGTACCCAAGATGTAAAGCAATATTAATTGATCATAAAACGTTAATAATGTCATTAGAAATCATTGGAAGAGGCCATGACTAGATAGTTATAAATATGATGTGAAAATGTTAAGCGTTAGTACTAAAGATGTTGTCAATCAGTGATATTGATATTCAAACTCTTAATGACCATGTTACATAACTTTGATGATTCATTCATAGGCGTTGATGACGAAACTATAAAACAGTAACAATTGATCCAAAATTGTTAATAATATAATTGTAAGGAATTGATAAGTATATTGAAGTCGTTAATAATGATGAGGTATAATAATAACGATTCATTTCATAAATGTTGATAATGTCATTGCAAAATATTAATACTGTATTGCAAGTTACCACGAAGTGAGAGAGAGTATATATTTTTAATTTTCAATTTTCATTTTAAAAAATAAAAAATATTAAGTTCGAATTTATTAAATATTAAATAATAATATTTAATTAAATTAATTTCAAATTTCCTTTTAATTGTAGTGGAGACTGGAGAGAGAGGGTTATGGAGAAGATCAAGGGGGAGAGAGAAAGAGAATCATTAATGAGTAATATTAATTATATTTTTATAATATCTTATTTATTCCAACTAACTATTAACTACTAACCCCTCATTAACTACCTAATCTAGTATCAGCCAATAAAAATGGTTTAAGAACCTCCTTAAACAATGAGACTTAAGGACCGGATCCAACCCGAGATTTAAGGACGCTAAATCATACTTGATGAAGTTTTTTTTAATAAACCGGCTTGATAAAGTTGAGATACGTATATTTAATTTAATTTTGGGCACAATTCTCTGTATTATTATGCTAAACAAAACAATATATGTTCTTACAAATATATTATGCATGAAAGTATGCAAAATAAATATTAGGCACCTCAGAAAAATAACATGGATTTATAAATGTCGCTCAAGTAAATACATCCTGTGAACTAATAGTCGTATCTGTGGTTGATTTTGCTAAAACATTTTCAAAATAGACAAAATGAGTAAGAGGAAGATTCATGATGTAGATGACCATATAGTTCCTTGCTCTTTCAAAATTGCACAATGCTTGTGGGATATAGATCGTGATATTTTCTACTATCCTATACTAACATATCAACCTTTGAGGAATCATATTATATTTAAAGAAGACGGTTGTACCCGTATTTTGATACTTCACATGTAATTTAACTTAACTTAATTTAGCATCTTATTTAGTGTCCTTTAAATCTATTAACAACTTGGTCAGGATTTTGTGATGTTAATTAATTAATCTTTCATGTGATTTAAACCATACATCATAATTTTAACTATAAATACTTAAATCTTAAACGTATGGTTCTATGTAAAATTATAAGTAAATAAAAAAAAATGTCTACAAAGAGCTAATCAAATCAAATTAAGTTCTTCGTCAACAACTGAAAAATTCAAAAGTGTTAAATAGTAGCAAAAACGATCCAAGTGAGATTAACAATTTAATGTACGTAAAAATAACATGTACAATCCATGAAAAATGTAGAAACAAAAGTTAATGATAATGTCTCTCATATTTAACGTGTCATTACAGAAATAGGCTATACATAATGTTTCTACACATATGCTAATAGTAAACATCTTTATATCGTCAGTTCAAACAAAATAGACATATAATGTGAAAGAAAAAAACACTATTACATAAACCAAAAACCATTAAGAAAGAAGATTGTAAAACAACGCAAAATAAACCAACCAAACAAAATGCAACGCCCAACGGGCGAGTAAAAAACTAGTAAACATAAGAGTTTATTGATTTTTAGCCACAAAAAAATTTGACAAAGAAGTTAAAAATTTAAAGGTCACAAAAAGTTAAAATAAGAAAATAGGTTAATTAATGAAAATAACTGAATAACTTTTCATTTTCTCTCCCTTCTCGTATGTTGGTATATGAGAAAGAATATCACGACTTGTGTCGTGCAATTTTGAAAGAATGAGAAACCAAATTGACATCCACATTATCAATTTTGCTTACTTGTTTAATTTGCCTTGGAAATGTTCTAGTGAAACCAATCACAAATAGAACTATCAATTGTCACCAATTTGTTAAAACAATATTTTTCAGCAAACTAAAATGCATATAAACATAATTTAAATTTTGTAGAGAGCTACATACCCCTTACAAATGAAATTGTGCTTTTTCTACCTAATAAAAAAACATTGAAAAATAGAAAAAGATGGAGACTTCAATACAACTCAATTCATTCTATCTAGCAGAGTCCCCATTCATGAACTGTATTGATGCTGATGCATCAATCCAAATAGTAGTTGGTGAGAAATTAATATTGCCAAAATCAAAGCTTTAGTTGGGATAAAATTAGGCCAAAGCCCAAAATCCCATCTAAGAAAATAAACTAATGTCATTGCAAATGTGTAGAAAATGAAAGAACATCGACCTATACAACCTAGAGACCACCGACAACAACCATTTTTCTTTTCTTCGTGACCTTTATAAAACTCCCATATATGTTCCCTTCTACTTGTAACTCCCAACTACATATTACTTACTAAAAAATCATCATCGTATAGCTAGCTAATAGGATACCACTCATGAACATAATGAACAACCTTCACAGCTCTGCTTTCCATTTCAACATCCAAGGAATCGGGCTGCAATAAGTCTACAAGGAAAACAATCAATCATTCAACTAAATGATAGATGCGGTAAGTCCAAACAATTAAACCTTCCAATTATATATTACATATTTACATAAAAGTATACGGCATAATAAAGAACCATAAAACATATACCTGAAAAACGAAAGAAGAAATACATTCGCTGAATTGAGTGGGGAAATTTACCATCCAACCATCGTAATTTGGAAGAAAGTAAGAAAATAATGGGAAGAAGAGTAGAACTCGGCTGGGTAATCGCAGACTACCACATATCAACAGGGAAGAGAGACCTGTTGCCAGTTGCGAATCAAAGGGGAAAAGGAGTAGTCGCCAATCCTCAGCTTGATTCGCTTCATATTTTCAATGACATGATGCAATTTTATTGTCAACAGGTAAAAATATGTTACAATTGATCAATTGTTTCCCATATAATCATTGTCTCCTGTAACTCCTGCCTTCTACTCTCTTGCAAAGAAAACAAATGCTTCATATGCCTTACCATTTCCTCCGCTATATATATTTGGAAAAAAGTAAAGGAGAAATGCTAAAAATCTCAAAATTTTGAGCAAATAAGAAGAGAGTTTTGTTCTTTTTATTGCGTTTATTATTTTTTTCTTAATTTCCACTAATGAGTTTTATTTTTAGAGAGAGAATCTGTACGGGAAAAGGATAGAAATAAACCAAAACAATTTTGTTAGATAAAAAAAACTAAAATGTTGCACTTATTGTTATTAACTTAATTAACATTTTTTTTTATAATGATGATGATTTAAAGAGTAAGCAAAAGAGTAATTATTAACTAGTCATTTGCTGAAGTGACACTAACTTAGTTTTGAATTCCCATAATATTAACTAAGGATAAGACAATGGCAATGACAGGTATTTGCCACATTAGCCTTCACTAATCACTCATCCCTTCTTTCTCATTTTCCCTTAAGCTTCTCTTTATTCCTTTTTTTCCACTCTCCTTTTTCCTCTTTTCTCTCTATAAATGATTTATTTGGAAACAGAGCAGTCTAGACTATTCATATGAGTCTCACACCAACAATGAAGTAGAAGCAAAAAAGCGATGATTAACAAAATTTTAGTAAATTTGCAAATGACTTCGGTTTGAATGAAGTCAAAATACATATACCTATGGGATGTGATTTTCAGCGAAATGAGGTTGGAAAGTAAAAGGAAATTTTACGAATGGCAAGTGGATTGAGTGGGGTCCATATACCAAACATGTAAGCAAATTTTCTTCAAATTTTTGGGAAACAAAAAGCAATAGTTGTGAATTTTTATAATAATAATTTAATTTTATAATCCTAAATTTATTCATAACCAATTTTTCATCAAATTGTGATGAACTCTATCTCATGCATTTTAACTATCTTTAAAATAAAATTCACTTTCATATATTTAAAAAAAAACATGCTAATCGTGGTGTCATCATCATGTAACATTAACATATAGTCTAAAAAATATGTCATGGTGATTTTAAATATGTTGGTATACCGTGTCAAAAAATTTCATAATCGAAACATATGAGATTAAAAAAAATTATTTCAATCTCAAACGTTAAAAAGATCCAAAAGTTTGATATTTGTTTATAAAGCCTTCATAGTTTTGGGGTTATGCATCTGAAAATAATTTAAGGTTGTTCATCTTTACACGCCCAGAAAAAGAAATAAATTGTTTCAAAAGATAAAAAAGAAAAAGAATGAAATTGCAATAGTGAAAAAGTAAAAAATTGTTTTTAATAAGTGTTCATGGAGGTTTCAAAAATTTGTATGTGTATAGAAATTGAGTTAATTATTCTCTATAAAAGAAGATTCACTTTGATATAATTTGAAACGAGAAACATATTTATAGAGGTAGTATGAAAAATATATCATGTTGTTACAATATATATAATCAAGGTGCATAATATCATAAAACGAAGAATACACAAATTTAAATTATAATAATAATATATTTTAAAAATCATGTAGATCCCAATCACTTGTTTGATAAAATGGCTCGAGATTGGTTATAAAATTTGCATATTTATGAGGTTGTTCAATTTTGAATATGACTTAAGATTTTCAATATTTAAGCCCACGGGAAAAGATCTACATCAACAAATAAAAATAAAAAAAAATAATAAATCATAATTGTATTAGATAAAAAGTAAATGCATCATTTTTAATAGGGTTAATACCTTGTTATGGCCTGAACTATGACCATGTAATAAACTTTGGCCAGTGGTTTGAGAAATTAACATTCTGACCCGAACTATGCAGCATATAGACAAAATTGGCCTGAAGCGTGGTTTGACCGTTTGTTTGGACGGTCAACACCTTTGACCGTTAGTCAACTGTCCAGGTCACTGCCATGTCAGCATAAAAAAATTATAATTTCCTTTTTCTTTTTATTTCATTTACAAAATTGAATAATTAAAAAAAAAAACAAAAACAAAAATTTTTGGTCCACCCATCTCCACCTTATCCCCTCACCTTCTTTCCTTTTCGATCAAACCCAAACAAACCCTATCTTCCTTCTTCTTCCTCCTTCTTCCCCAACGAGCCGCCGCCTCCGAGTTGCCTAGGAAAGTGGCGAGCTTGGCGTTGTCGGTTCCGGACCGGTTTCTGGCGGGGGAAACAGATTGCTGCGTGTCGAGGTTCTATCTCGTGAAGCCCGAAAGCGACGCAATGCCGATGTTGGTGGCGCAGATCGTAGGCGATTTTGTCGATGGGGAAGGGAACGTGCTGAGCGACCCGGAGATGGAGCCTCCGGAGGAGGGATCGAACCACCCGGCGGTTTTTCCTTACCGGACGGTGGGGTTCGAGGTCTACGCGATGGACACTGGTCGGAGGAACTGGGTGAGGACGGCGAATTTGGGCGGCGACGGCGGGGAGCAGGGGAGGGCTCTGTTTTTGGGCGGGAATCACTCTGTCTCTGTCCCCGCCGGCGGCGAGGTTGCGGCGGACTGCATTTACTACACGGACGACTACTGGGCGCGGATGGATGAGGATTACATGTACGGAGGGCACCATAACAAGGTATTAACCCTTTTTAATAATCAGGCATGAAAGAAAAAAAAAGAAGTATGTCAAAATGAAAAGAAAGGATTGAAATGACATGATAGACACATTAATGATTTTTTTAATAAACGTGCATAAATGCTCCACCATTGAACAAATGCTAGTGTGGCAAAATGTTTCCCCACAACCATCATAATATAAGTTAAGATAAGATAAGATTATATAATATTTTATTAGTTATTAATTTGTTATACTAGTTATTATTTTTTTTATGTGCTAATTTTTAGTAATCCTCTCATTCAACCAGTAGGGATGAAAATTATGACTTTAGAAAAATAGTAATTTCCCTTAATTTCATTTATGATAATTTTGCTTTTGCTGATTTTGTGTATTTTGATGTTTATGATTCTATATAGTTAAAAAAAGGTTTTTTTGTTTGTTTTCATTCGTACCAAATCATCATCCCACCACGTAGAAGCTCATCCCATGTAAATGCATTGGATGGTCAATCCCTAGAGAGTAAATTGGTGCATTGAAAAACCACCTTTACCACGAGATTGTACCTCAAGACCTTCACTCTTGTCCCACAGGTCGAGAAGAGGTCATCGATGCTGTTGTACTATGCACTCAAAATGTCATCGACCTTGGTTCCATAAAGCACACGTTGGTAATACTGAAAGTGAGGCATTCTCTATCATGGGCCGGGCCCCCACGATATGAGTTGGTTGGGTAGGGTTGCTCGAGTACTCTCTAGCAGCCATGTAATATTGTACATATTTCTTGGGTATAATATTAACTTTTGAAAAAGCTTTTTCAATGCTTTAAATTGTTACGACAATGACACTAAAGAATACTGCTCATCCCACCCATTGTTTATACTTTTTGTTTGAACCATCTAACTCCGGTATCGAGCGTTGATATTTGTCGGTGTGGGTTGACTCGTCGTCCGTTCGTCCGATCTCGTCGGGAGGGAGAGAACCTGTGAAAGAGCCGGGGTTGCCCCCCGGATTAAGCTCCGACGAGCAAGTCAGATGTCGGTTTGTGGAGAGAGTTGAGAGAATGAGGTAGAGAGATGAAGTGTAGAGAGATAGTGGAAAGTGGAAAGTGGGGAGAGGAGGAAGAAGTCCCCCTCTTTGGAGGGCTTCAAGCCCTTATATACCTGTAGCGGGTATCGAGCGTTGGGCATCGCCGATTATGCGCCCTACTGCTTAGTCTGTGCGCTCTGTCCCTTAGTAACACCCCCAACAATTGCCCCCCAAGCTGGTGGTGAGTTTTAATTCATCACTAGCTTATATTTTATTTTTTAAATCTTTGTCGGTAATTTTGGGTGGGGCCTATGTACCCCAATTGCCCCCCAGCTGGTGGCGCGTTTGAGTGACGCGGCGCCAGCTTTTTGCGTCTTGCCCCCCATTAGCGCCATTAACGCTTAGGATAGTAAAATATTTTAAAAATTTAATAATGATGGAGGGATAGAGTACTTAGCTTTATATTGGCAGTGGCGGCAGGAGTAGTTGAAAGGCGGGCGCTGCGCCGTTGAAACAGAACCTGAGTGGTAGCCTGCAGGTTGTTCTTTCGAACTGGGCGCGAATAGTGCTGGACTATTGCTAATTTTTGTTCTTTCGAACTAGGCGCGAATAGTGCTGGACTATTGCTAAGTTTTGTTCCGTGGAACTGGGCGCAGAGTGCTGGACTCATACTAATTTTTTGTTCTTTCGAACTGATTGGGCGCGAATAGTGCTGGACTATTGCTAAGTTTTGTTCCGTGGAACTGAGCGCAGAGTGCTGGACTCATACTAATTTTCTGTTCTTTCGAACTGATTGGGCGCGAATAGTGCTGGACTATTGCTAAGTTTTGTCATTGTTTATTATACATCACAATGTATCTTTTTATTTAACCAAAACTCATGGTTATCCAATATAATTCGATACAGTCAAACCGAGTGGATCCTCATGTTGACTAACAAGTTTAAGCGGTTTTAATTAAAATAAAAAATTATAACTACATTATATTAATTAAAATAATCAAAATAATAAATTTGAAATTTTTTAGTGCAATTTAACATGTAATTTTTTTTTAATTTTATTATACCTTGTATATGAATTTATGATTATATTAGTATTTCTATAAATTATTTAATTACATATCCTTCAAAATATGAATGTGTAAGTTCGGGGGGAGGGGGGTTAGTTAGCACATAATCGTGAAAATAAAAAATTATAAATAAATTATATTAATTAAAGTTCGCGCCAGGGGGTCAAAATTAGTTAGTACATAATCGTAAAAATACAAAATTATAACGACATAACATTAATTAAAATAATCAATAAATAATTAATTACAATTTTTCTAGTATGCTATGCTCAAAATAAATGATTAAACTATGAACGAGTTATCATGCAATTTCATGTAGTTTTCCAATATTATTATACCTTGAATATGAATTTATGATTATATTAGTGTTTGTATAAAAAATTATAACGACATTATATTAATTAAAATAATCAAAAAAATAAATTTGAAAGTTTTTAATATGCTATGCTCAAAATAAATGATAAAAATATGAGCAAATTATCATGCAATTTAACATGTAATCTTTTAAATATTATTATACCTTGAATATGAATTTATGATTATATTAGTGTTTCTATAAATTATTTAATTACATATCCTTCAAAATATGAATGTGTAAGTTCGGGGAAGGGGGGGGGGGGGGGGGGGGTTCGTTAGCACATAATTGTGAAAATACAAAATTATAACTACATTATATTAATTAAAGTTCGCGCTGGGGGGTCAAAATTAGTTAGTACATAATCGTGAAAAAAAAATTATAAAGACATAACATTAATTAAAATAATAAAAAATAATTAATTGCAATTTTTCTAGTATGCTATGCTCAAAATAAATGATTAAACTATGAACGAGTTATCATGCAATTTCATGTAGTTTTTCCAATATTATTATACCTTGAATATGAATTTATGATTATATTTGTGTTTGTATAAATTATTTAATTACATATCCTTCAAGATATGAATGTGTAAGTTCCGGGGGTAGTTAGCACATAATTGTGAAAATAAAAAATTATAATGATATTATATTAATTAAAATAATCAAACAAATAAATTTGAATTTTTTTAGTATGCTATGCTCAAAATAAATGATTAAAATATGAACAAATTATCATGCAATTCAACATGTAATTTTTTTCAATATTATTATACCTTGAATATGAATTTATGATTATATTAGTGTTTCTATAAATTATTTAATTACATATCCAAAACACATCCTTGAAAATATGATTGTGTAAGTTCAATAATTTGACTGACGTTCCCTCAAAAAAAAATAATTTGACTGACGTTATTTGAAATCACAAGATTATAATACCAAGCATGAAAATTAAAGGACTGAAGTGAAAAAAGTGAAAATAGTAAAAATGTTGTCTACAAAGTTCGAACCCTGTACCCTTTTGCCTACAATTCGGCAACAATTCGGCTAGACTATAAGCAGCGTATGTGAACAAATTTTCACTCGGATTTTATATATATATATATATCCAACTTCAATTCTATAAGTAATTCTCAAAAATTTTTTAGAGCTTTATAAGCAAGTTTCAAAATTCTCGGAAGGTCGGAGCCATCCAAAAGGCTACATTTCTCCGCCCCTGATTCAAATGTAACACTCAATTAAATATAACATCACTAACATGCTCTTGGGGAGCTTTTCTAGGGCCAAACAGACAAATAGAAACTGATCATAAATAATATTATATATCTATAGATCGTTGGGGGAAAAGATGATGATGGTATCATCCATTGACTTGTGTTTAATTTTAGTGTTCCAATGTCTTAAATCTAATGAATTAAATATTGATTATGTACGTATTAATACATAATAATCTTTTTCATTATTATTATGATGGATATAATACTTACACTGAAAGAAAATAACAGTATTTTGAAATGATTTGAACATGGAAAAAGAGATCATGGAATCCCTAAGTTGACAATTGACAATTCCAAGATGTGATCCCGAAAAAACCCAATTCTATGAAGACAGTATACACAAGTCTTATTAATTAATTATATTTGTTTTCCTAGCACCTTCCTGATTAAAGTTGCCATGCTTTCGTACGAGCTCATCTTCTTCCTATATAATTTTTTAATCGATAATTCCCATGTACATTATTTGTATAAGAAAATTTAATATAATACAACAATGTACACATCTAATGTTCACCAACAATATTGAGCCTTGTGGGAAAGGAATGAAATGAGTCAAATTATATATCATCATCAATTAACCCCCTTGATCTTTTTTTGGCCGCATTTTGAGTCTATTGACGATTCAACCTTAGTAAAGCTTCTAGTCTCTCGGGAGGCCATGCAGCGGTGTCTGGATCGTGGGCTCACGCAAGTTCAGTTTGAAGAGGGTGCGAAGGTGGTAATTGACAAGATATACTTGGCGAATAAGCGGGACAACCACGCCGGGGTCATTCTCGAGGAAGTATTACATGCGTTGGCAATGTACAATGGGTTTGATGTACATTTGTAGGTTAGATTAATAATATGATAGCCCATTTGATGACTAAAAAGCCCTTTTTCTTTCTTCCCGATCTCATGTAGATCATTTAATTATTGGTCTTGACTTCATACGAGAGTGTAATGTCTTTGATCTCAATATATAATTACCTTTTGGTAGATGTTAAAAAACTTCTTCGACCACATAAAGTAAATACCTGTCATCCCCAAATAACACCGAATTACAAGTTGTAAATTGCTTGCGTGCTTGCTACCGTTGATGTAATTAAGGTTTAAGACCTCCTAATTAATTAATTGCGACCAATTAGACTGTGGACACGATCTAATAACACATGATCACGGCCCTTAATTACGGCCCTCTCTTCAGTCTACGCAATATAGAGAGATTCACCAAACGATAATGACGAAATTACTAGTCCACAAAAGATTAATGGAGACGACGTACTTGATAAAATTAAGTAAAACAAGAAACTAAATAGCATATCCCTAACCACTACCACTTCCCCACGCGGGCATTTATTCTTTAAATATCGTACATTGTGTTCAGTGTCCACGGTAATTAATTAAGCCTGATCTAGCTTAGCTTGTTAAGCAAAGTTGAACGTACCATAGGGAATAGGGATAGAGGAGCCAGGAGGCGCTTAGCCACAACAAGAAAAAAGTGCAATACGTACCACCTTTCTTAGAACCGGTTACTCGATCCTCACGAACGAGAAAATTACACTCCGGAATGTATAGAAGGTTTTTTGACAACCAGAATTATACTAAAATAACGCAAATGATCATGTTCGAAAGCAAAATAAATCGATGAAAACGCAATTACAAACTCAAATTCAGAACCTCAATCTTCACCATACCGTTCCGAGTTTCTTGATTCACCAGACACTTCCCCAAAATGAATTTGAACTAGGACGAGAAGAACAATTTTCTTTTTTGCCAGCGATATAGTCAACGTCATAAATACTCTCTAATTAATCAGGGTTTTTGTTGTACTTTTCTTGCCGACTCGATGCTTTAATTTTCTATTGGAGTCTGTATCATTATTGGTGGCTAACTGAATCCTGATTGGTTATGAACGAACGAACGAACGATGGATGCATCTGCATCTTGTAAAAAAATAAATCGATAACTTTTTTGAATAAAAACTAGGGAGAGTTGAATTTGAATTACTAACTAGTTAATTAATTAGGGGTCCACTTGTAATAAACTAGCTAATGAAGTGGGAAAGTACTAAAGTAATTACTGCCTTTCTACGTATACAGCTAAAAGTAATTAGTGGGGGGGGGGATAATTAGTTTAATTAGTGAGATGTGTAATTAATAAGGAAAAGCAAAGTCAAAGGAAGAAGCTTTTGTAGATCATGCGTCCTCCTAGCTTTAGTGTGGGGATGAAGGAGGGATTTGACTTCGGTGCCTTTTCTTAATCTCTTGCATTTATACTTCACACACAAACACATTAGAACTAACTATATAGCCTATAGCCTTACTTCCCCTTCTTCACATCAATATTAAAACTACACATGCCTAGCTAGTTATACACGCATCATCTCTTCCCCTCTCCACCTTTCTTCCTCCCTTATACACCAACCCCTTTTTCATTGTCTTTTCAACCCTATAAACTATAGCTCATCCGTTTTCGATCTCCCCCCCATTCGAAAATTTTGAGGAGGATGAAAGTGGAAGTTGTTGATCTGTCTCTGAAAGCAGTTATGGATCCAGAAATCGGATCATCAGAAGCAAGAGACCAAGAAGGAAGGGACAAACTGCGGTCAAAGGGCGAGAAGAAACTCGACGAAGTCGATTCTCAAATTGGGAAGGAAGCCATGGATGCAGAAACCATCCAACGGGAGCAGAAACACGACGATGATGATGATGAAGGTAGGGATGAGGATGATGGCGAAGATTCGTCCATCGAGTTATCCAATTTGCAAGATAACGTGAGTAACAAGACGAAAATGGACGATCATCAGGTATATAGAAGATGTCATTTCATCTCTTAAGTTCTTGATCTTTATATCGAATCGTACAATTATCTTCGATGTCTCGAGAGAATTTAGTTACATATACATAGCTTTAATTTGCGGGTTCTGCGGGGGCAGGTGTGTGCTCTGCAGATGGAGATGAACAAGATGAAAGAGGAGAACAAATTGTTGAGGGAAGTTGTGGAGAAGACGGCCAAGGATTACTACGACCTTCAATTGAAATTCGCCTCTATCCAACAGCAACACAATAACAATACCAATTACCCCAAACCCAAGGTAACTATTAATTACTTCAATTATTTTTTCAAACAAAACCATGTGAGTTAATCTTTTTTTTAATATTTTTACTGGCCGGGATGGATGGATCTATTGAATTACGTGCCACCATTAATCCTCTCCATGGTTGGACTTGTGTTTTTGTTGTTTGTTTGTGTTGTTGATGATGAATAATTAATATTAATTAGGATCCAGAGCTTTACCTCTCCCTTGGAGGGAACATCAACAATGGTGGCAAAGGTGCACAAGCGGAAGAATTACAGAAGCCAATGAATAATATTAATAATAATAATAATCCCAACAAGAGACCAACGGACGATGATGATCAATTGGGACTGTCACTAAGGCTCCAAACTGCCGCCGCCGCCGCCGCGCCGCCGGTTCCACGACGGCGGCCGCTAGTCTTGGGAGGAGATCTGGAATTAGTGCATGATGGCGGGGCATTAATGGTGGCTCATCCAAATAAGCTTCAGAGAAGGGATGATCAGCAGCAGCAGAATTTGTTAGCTGCTGCTGCTGCCGCGTCAACTACGACAACGACGACGACGACGAGTTCTTCGTCGTGTCCGGCCAACCGGAAAGCTAGGGTTTCAGTCAGAGCCAGGTGTCAATATTCAACGGTCAGTAGTCCATGTCCATCTCGTTCACTCGTAACTTATTTTCATTTCTTCCTTTTTTTTTTAAAGTTTTTATCATTTAGTCAAGTTATTATACGATTCAAACATTTTTCTAGCTTAGCTTAATTTGTGTCTAGGATTCAATAATATCAGCGGCATGTGTATCACTTATCTGTTCACCTTAATCGATGAAAGAAACAGACCACACACATGCATGCTATATATATGTTCTTCAAATCAAATATGGGAAGTTATTAATTTCCACTTAGGGAATGCACATGATTTTGCATTAAAAAATAAAACTTTAAAACTAAAATTTTCAACTCCTATATCGATATAAATGCATGTTGAGATTCAATGACTTCTTAGGGGGTTGTTTGGAAGTTGTGATTCTTCAAATTGATGTATTGGGACAATTAGTGTATTATCATTTGATGGATTGAATCAATTGATATGTATTAGGTAAATATCTTGTTTGGAGGTTTAGATTGTGTTTTTGTTCCAAAGGTAAAAAAGTTAGTATTGAGTGATTGTGAAGAATCTCAACAAAAAGTAGAGATTGTAAATCCCTCAATATTGAGTGATTGTGGTGGGGCCTCCAAAAAGTAAATGCATGTATTCTAATCCTATATAACCAAAAAAACGACTTAATCTCACAAATACATGAATTAGATCAATACACCATTTAAAATCACAACTTACAATATCTTAGTGAGCTCGCTTAATTATCTCTTTATATAGTTCCAATTCTATTTTCAAAACAGTCTAGGTATATAAATCAAGTTCACTTTAATTTCCCCCCTACAAATTGGTATAACTTAAAAAACCATCGTTGTATAAAATTTGTAAGCAGATTGTCGTTGAGTGTCAATTATATCGCGTTCCGCCAAAATATTATCAAATGGGATCTGGTTCATATTCATTGAAGATGATAACATTTGATCTGGTTCAAAAATTTCAGTCAATAGAACAAATCACTATATATATATATATAAAAAAAAACTAGATCCCCATCAATATAAATTAATCAACCCTTTGAATTATATTTTCATGGATGAATTTCTGTTTTGGTTGAATAGATGAACGACGGCTGCCAATGGAGGAAATACGGGCAGAAGATCGCCAAGGGAAACCCCTGCCCGCGTGCATATTACCGCTGCACCGTAGCTCCGGGCTGCCCGGTCCGCAAGCAGGTCCAACGGTGTCAGGACGACATGTCCATTCTCATCACAACCTACGAAGGAAACCACAACCACCCTCTCCCCGCCGGCGCCGCCGCCATGGCTTCCTCCACCCCCTCCGCCGCCGCCGCCTCCTCCTCCTTCAGCTTATACAACCCCTCCTCAAACGACGCCACCGGGACAGCTGGCAACTTCGTCCACGTCCCGTACCACCAACAGCAGGAATTACTGTTCAGCCCTTCTCCTCCGCCGCCTAGTCAGCAGCTCTATCCTTATCCACTACTGCCCACGGCAGCTGGAAACCAGCCATGGAGGCGGAAGGCGGCTGGCGGCGGCGAGTTGGCCGAGAATGTGAGCACGGCCATGGCGGCGGATCCCAAGTTCAGGGTGGCGGTGGCGGCTGCCATTTCCTCGCTCATTAATAAAGAGGCCTCTACTAGTAATAATCACTAATTAGTAGGCTATTTAAGTTTGAGTAGTTCATTAGCCGGCAATAATTGATTAGGGCACTTGGACCTAATTTGATTTGTGTAGGGAGAATAATACCGAGGAAATTGAGGATGGCGATCCATTAGTAATTTGAGTTGGAAAGGTGGGAAATGGAAAAGGTGAAAACCTAATTCGTCTATGTATGTGTGTAATGATAATTGTGTAGCTTTATTAATTAATCTCTCCAAGAGAGACCAATATTAATTAATTTTTGCTTGTTAATTCCCTAAATTGTGTAATGATTGGTGCTCTGCATGCACTATGCGGCATAGTTAGTAAATACTTCGTTGAATACACGTATATGCATGTACCTGTACGTACGTACTTTATCAGTTTAAAATTTCTGTATCCGTATTATTGTCAAGCTGTTTCATTTGTTTTCGTACATTTGACGGCTCCTGTACTAAACACGTATAAAACCTGTATAACACGTTTAATATCCGTAGTTAATCAATTAAATTATTAACTTTACTATTTTTTATTTATTTTAAAAATAATTAATTTTATATATTTATGACTATTAACGTACTATTAAACATAACATTAGTTTAAAGACAAAGTAAAATACCCGTACGTATTTTATACATAACTTTCTCGTACCGTATTTTACTAACTATGCTCTGTGGTATATACGGCAGAATATTGGTGCACTTAAAACATTGGTGTAGTCTTGCACCGGACAATTGGTTAATTTCGCTTAAATACATGGCTTCAACTACAATAAGAGAAGAGAGAATCACTGTAGAATTATAAGAAACTGTGAACAGTTTTGTTACTTTCGAAAATTGGTGGGGAAAACCCCAATTGAGTATTTGAGTAATAGATGATTGAGAGTTAATCACCATTTAATTCTTATCAATATTAAGCATTGTAGATGTTTTGTTATCAAATGATCGAGATATATAAGTGTACATATCATTCTCTACATTTCTCTCGAGTCATATTTCGTCATATGTGATTGTGCATGCTTCTGTTTCGTGCAACGCATTGAGTTGACGTTGTATGCTCAGACAATTTATTACGTTGGAGCAAAAATTACCCTCAACTCCTCGGTCGATAGTAAACCTTTCACTTTTAAATGTAGAAGGATATCAATGGTTTCAAACTCGAACCGAGCAAACGATAATCCTAAAAAAAAAAAAGATGGGAGACAGAGTTTGCTTCTTTGCTTTTGACCTTTGGTTAAATAAATGATACTTGGTTAATCCTTTGTGATAGATTGGATCGAATGCAGCCAGCCATGTATGACATTTGGAAATACAAATACTAATGTTCTTTCTTATCCATTCTATCTGTTTGATCTTTGTTGCATATACTTAATTGTGTGTCAGGAAGATGGAAAAATGGATGCATGCAGCTGCAGCAATTAATTCTTCCAGGATCGTAGGATCTGTTCCAGTTCTCTCCATTTTATATATAGCAATATTATCTTATTGGAGATTAGCAAGTAACAACTATAATCTAAACTGACATTAATGTGCATATGGCAACTTGACCTGAATCCTAAGTTCAAGGCTGGAGAAATTAAATTAACTGAGATTTGGATAATCTATATATCACTATTTTCTTGTTTTGTTTATGTTCATGAATTATTATTATTATTATTATTTAGATGCATTTATGCAGCTCAGAAATTCAAACACTTGAAAATAAAGAAATGAAGATGAATTTTCACGTGCACAGATCACAGAAGAGGATTTGTTACATGTTCGTAGTAGTACTGTACTTTCAAAGTGGTTTGTACACGGAAACACAAGTGGTTTTAACTTGTTTCGATAAGTTCCCCACTAATTTAAGTTTGATGCATAGAAATTTTCATGCATCTTGAATTATAAACGATAAATTTAAAATTCTACGAAGCTATTAAAGTTACTAATAAAACAAAGAAAAAATTATCTGAATAGGATTCTATACAAGTTACCCAATGACTATGCAAGTTACATTTCTCATCAAATTGAGCAAATAACAATCCTGGACAGTTTTACTATACCAATTTGAATAAAAACTCATTTATTATAGCAATCTGTTTATTCGGTTATATTGGCAACCTGCATTATGATTGTTCGTCTTGATTGATACTATAGCGATATATCATCCTTATCAATATAACATCAATTAAATATATTATTTTATTTTAACAATGGCATTACACTGGTATGCAATTGCCAAATTGTTGAACCACTAAGTACCGAATTCTAGTACCAAACATAGAATTCTAATGTCTTTTTTTTCTTCCCTAAGAAGCCTCATTCATGGCTCTAAGTTTTGAACATGCGGTACATCACATTTGCACTAGACTTGAAACTCAATTTCTGTAATTGGGTTATGTACAACTATTCAATGCTGTTACTGTGTTACAACACTAACCTGAACACGTTAAGCTAGCACATATCCTGCCCAGCAGCAATGACCAAGATGGAGTGACCAATTTGATAACCTAAAAGCTCACTTGTGTGAAGTGAACTGAGTCCAATGAAAACCCGAGTCCCTCACAAAATATGATGGCCAACTATTGTGCTACTTTCTCCTTTCTCCTAATACCTGTTGGAACTCCATAACAGACTGGTGCTGCTCCAATCAAGTACTTCAATGTGCAAGCTTCCCGAGCCTGAGCCATGAACGACCCAACAGTAGGCCGGCGGTTGTTAGGACTGTTGTGTTTGGTACTATCTTCATCGTTGGAGTCTACAGATTCAGGTGCCTTTTTCTTGGAGACTCTCTTCCTGCCTTTGCCCTTGATGCTCATTGAATCGAATTCTTTGACTAGGTTGCACCGGGCAGTGTCCTTGTCAGACCTTTCGCGCATCCAAGAATCAAGTATAGCCTTACTGAATCTATCAATGTCCTTGTCAGTCACTTCCCAGAGGTTTGACACGACGACTGGCGAACCTGCTAACAGATAGTAGAGTGGAGCGCCTCTTGGAACGTAAGATCCAGTTAAAGACAGAGAACCACTGCTGCAGCCCATAAGAAGAGTTGCTGCACACTTTTCCAGCTTCTTAATCTCATCTCCTGATATGTATTGCGTGCCTGCAATTACAAGGCAGAAAAGCTTTTTAAGGATAACCAGACTCGGAGGCATCTCTAGTGACAAATGAAAGTTATCTAGACTAGACTTAAATTACCACTGCCATGGCCTAAATATATGAAGAGGTCATGATTCCTCACGGCCAAAGCCAGTTCTTCGGCAGTTGGAGCAGATCCTGCCTTTCCCTGCATTTCAAAAGTTTCAGGCATCAGCACAGCAGAGTCTCATCTCATAATTGGAAACTGAAGGAATTTGCACCTTTACCCCTAAATTTTGATCTTTAAACCACTCCTCGAACGCAGCTTGCGTATGATCCAGATCACCACTGGGATTCAAGACATAAAAAGCATCCAAGGGATCTATGCAAGGTAATGCAACAGAGATGGTTGATCCTGATTCCTGGTGTCTGAAGCTCCTATCAAGTATCCATGAGATACTGCCAACTGTAGGTAAGCGATACACCTCCTGGCTTCTCAGTGTTGGTAAATTTTCCCATGGAAGCATCTGATATGGATTAGCAACATTAGCTTCATTACAATAGAAATCACATGTGTGAAATGTTCAGTTTCATTACTATACAAACCATATGTGTTGAGTGTTATATTTTTATTGAATTTAACTGTTCTCCCTATAGCAGAGTTGGCAGGATCATCGCATTCAAACATAACAAAACCTACCCAACTCTTCTGGGGACCTTTGCATAAGCTTTAGCTTTAAAACAAATGCTACCCAGTCCCATGATATACTCCAGTATCCAAAAGAAGTGCTAAATACTGGATGGTGAACAGTACAAGAAATAAGGGTGAAGATGTCGGAAGGTAAAGCTCACCTGCACCTCACTATCTAGGACCAGAATTGTTGCCTCTTTTTTCACAGAGGCTCCCTCTTTTGCCTCTTGAATCTTTTTATGAGCCTCATATAACAACTGAACAGCCAGCTCGATTTGTCTTTTAACTGCTTCAGACTCTTCAGATTGGGTCTCAAGACTTTCTTCTTCGGACAATCCAGGTTTACCAACCACGCAACCCTTCTTCACAGAGAATAATTGCTTAATACATGTTTCTACGTCAAACTCATCTCCTGCACCAAGAATGACCTTAAACAGAATTTGATTTACAGCCACTTTGCATTTAGATTTCAGATCTCGAATCAGCTTGCTTTCTATTGCATCCATGGTCTTGAAGTTGGATAGTTCAGCAAAAAACAAGCTCCTCCATGGTCCAAACCACTTTTCTTCTAAGCTCCTACATTAGGAAAAGGAATGAAATTGATAAAACTGGAGCAGAATGAGCTATCAAAGACTCATACAAAGACGTAGCAAATAATTGCATATTTTAACAGAATCCATAGTGATCAATATTAGCTCAGACAATTAAGAAAATTGTTCCCCTCCTGCCAATGAGGGCCAAAATCCATAAACTCAAGTGAGACTAATGTGTTGCAAAATCGTAAGCAATGTGTCAATGATAAATGGAATTAGAAGACCATGAAACTCGACAGTGAAAGTAAAAGACAGTAAGACACGTAGTAACTACCTTAGAAATTCATAAAGTAGACAGTCTAGTTTCTTTCTTCGACTCCACCATGCATTTCTGTTCTCTTTGGAATCTTCCAGTGGCAAATTTGATGATGACAAGTGATTCTCCTCCAATATGTGTCGAAATACCGGAGCAACTTCATCAATGACAGTAGCACCCCAGGGGCACTGCCATTTTCTAATCAACTCATTTCTTTTAAGAATATCTCTGTAACCAGAACTAGCACAATCATCTTCCAAAGTCACTGACAGGATTCATGCAAATCAGTCAGCATAATATGCTTTTTCATGAAACAATTCAATCAGGATAACAAATTGATAAATTCCCAGTTCCTACCAAGCAACATACCTTCCAAAGTGGAGTAAACGGGAAGAGCAGCCACAACAGGTTGATTCGTAGAGTTTAAACGTGATACAAGTACCCATGCGTGGATAGATGGAGGGTATGCGAGTAGCTCTTGCAATAAAATGGCTAACTGGTCGCCAATCAAGCTTACGTAAATCACAGTGGTGCAAGGAAGGTCTGCAAAAAAGTCTCTCACAAAATTTTCCAAATCTTCGACAAATGGCGGTGCAACTCTGCAACGGAAGATATAGAAAGTTGGAACCATGGACCACAGGAATGGAGAGGGAGGGGTGAGACTCAGAGTAAACCAACATAAGTGGGAGAGCGAGACCTTGGTAAGTCATGTGATTTTGCTTCCGCCAAGTCACTTGTTGATGAATCCTGATGATCTAAATGCTAAATAAAAGACAACCCAGGTAAGGACTGATCAAAGTTACAGAAGGATAAAATCATGTTCTTTTGTTGATAACATTTTGGTGGTGATGCACATAAACATGTTACATAGAACATTTAAACAATAAAGAGAGGAAATATGACAATCCAATTACTAAACTTGGGTGTCCCATAATCAAGCATTGTCATCTATCAGAGTCGGTGGAGAACAGAAAAATAATATGTTGTGGCAACTGAAAGTTGAAAAACTAATAGCCTACCTGTTCATCCATAGCATGCCGGCGTTTGTTTTCCTGGGTCTTGTTCAACAAGAACTGGTAGTTCAGATGGGTGCCAAGTGATGCCTGATGAAAATATGAAGCCCAATGGCTCTCCGAAAGCACCTTGCTGGATGAAGACAAAGAGAAAAGTCCCTTCGAGGGGGAAAGTATATATATGGCACAAAGCAACCTGGAGACCTGCTCAATTTTCAATAAAAGAGAAATGTAGGTCATTTCACTCATTGAGGAAGAAGCGAAGCAGGCTTATTGTCAGGGAGTGCAACACAAACTGACAAATCCAACATTATTCAAGTTCGTTAATAAAATTCATCTAATTCATAACGGAACCCATTACAGGAACCAAATGTCACCAAGCCAATAAAAGCTTTCACATGAGCAACATGTATGACAGTAACAGAATTACCGATTCACTATAAGCATCAAAGGACACCAAGTGTTCAGTGTAAAGCATTTCAAATCCAAACGCAATATTGAACATGGAATACAAGAGCAGATCATGTCAAAGAAATGAAGGGAAACAATGATTTTTCACCTTCTTCAACAGGTTAGGAACTTCTCGACAAAGTACAAAGGCTTGTAACAACCAAGACACTGCTTCCGGTAACTTGATTTGAGTGAAATTGCAGCAGATGTTCCTGTTATCAGAAAATATGAGCTAATAAGTGGACTAGTAACATTATCACTACTAACAAAGTAACAAGAATTGAACAGTGATATGGCGTAACACAGAGAATACAGTACAATAAAATGAATGGAACATGTTTTGGCATTCAATCTGTAACAAGTGCTTGCCTAAAATAAGACCCCTGGAAGCTAATAAAAGGCTAAAGCCACTTATTAATATTTCAATACACAGGAAAGATTCAGGCAGTGGTTGCAGAAAGCCGGAAACCCACAACAGCAGTCAGAACGATCTTACAGATAAATTATTCATCATTAATAAAAATCTTATCAAGAAAGCACAAATAAAAGCACCAGAAAAAAAATACAACACTAGTTGCTGGGCTGCATATATAGATCCAACGGCAATCAAAGAACAAATACCTTGCGTCCTTGATGCAGTAACTCTTCAAAGAGATCCAGCATACATTGTAAAGCACTTGCGCAAGCTCAACAGCAAAAACATTCCGGAAACACTCCTTGGATAATAGATTAAGCAGGGTGGTTGATGGCATAGAAATCTGATTCAAACCGAATGGGTTTTTACCTATTAAGACAGAGATACTTTGTAGAGAAACTTTGTGTTGATCATGATGTCGAGCTCGAATCTCGTGGCACCTTCCTGAACAGCATTGGAAAAACAATGAAAATAAGAGAATAGATTATGTATAAAACAATCGCAAAATGACGTTGCTTTATGAATTCGAACAGACTCGCCAACATTACCAATTTTTACCATCTTAGCGGGATGCACTGTTATTCTCTACAAATTTCACATTAGCTTCCCCAATTAAACTCAGCATTCACTCAAAATTTCCAACCCCTTCTAAACAACTCCACCTTAAACCTCCAATTAGATCCTAAACCTCCATATCAGACCATAATAATAGGTTCGCCAGGTGACAGTATAGCATTAAGGCTTGGAAAACAAGTTTTTGATAAGGAACAGGGAGGATGGAGATATATGCAACACCAAATGAGGTTTATGCATGAATGGAAAAGGAAACAGGTTCATGACTTATGACACACACTTCTATATATATAACCATGAAGGCGGAATTGTACCTATCCCATCAAGTAATCCGATAGAAATCCGTCTGCAAGCTAACTCCCATCTCATTTGAATGTAATGACTCAATAATCCAGATTCCTTTGTATCCAGAGATGGAGAGATGGAACAATTCCCTTTGTTGCAAATGCATGTACCTTTACCCTCAACACTACAACATTTTACCTCTGGTAACAACCACCCTTCACCACTTGTTTGAGATAAACCACAACCACTTTTGGTCTCACGGCCCTTTAAAATTCCAGTTTGTGGCTCAGCACAACTATTCACATTTTGTTTCTGAGAAGAACGACACCTAGATCGAGTTGACCTTGTGTTAAGGGCAACCTCAGACTTATTCTCCTCCAATAAAGATACTGGTGCATTTTTGGTTCGTCTATTCTTTCGGACTCCTGCCTTCACTTCCGGCACAGCTCTGCATATAACAAATTCTATTCCCTCTGGATATGTTGCAACAGAACTATCATCCATATTCCCCACAAGATTTTCAACGTCCTGAAGACAACTATCAGGAGTTTTCCACTTTGGCAGGTTCAACTTTTCCAGAGCTGATGAGTACAAGCCTTCCGCAAAAGATAATAATTCGTGTGAGATGTCCTCGGTCGCAGTGACCAAACGGCTACGAGTCAAATCACCAAGCTGCTGATTCACAGAGCTTTCTAGCATCAATCTACACCAAGATTTCTTTGGCACTTTGAAGTTCCTCTTCTGATAAATCCCAAGACCGTTTCTCATGATATAGTTTCCCTAGGCATACAGGTAAAATTAATTAGCAACTAACAACAGCTCCAATGAAAAACAGATGCAGGGAAATTGGGGAGAAAGGGGGGGAGAGAGGGGGAAGGTATGAAGAACTAACCTAGAACAGTAGAAAATGCAACATTGTAAAGCGGCAAGTTCAAGCAGCTAGAGATTTCTTTTCCCCACAATAAAAAAGTCTCAGCCTCTACTCCGTTCCCGATAATTTCATCCAGGACAGCGACCTGCACAAGGAATCATGGAACGAAGAAGCATCCATAAATGTTATGCACGCCAATGGAGACCTGAACCATATCCAGAAACATAGGTAAACTGACCTGAAGAATGCTCTCAAGATAACACTGAAGCACTTTCCATGGACTAAGATAACATGTTTCCAAATCCTCTGAAATATTATTAGCGGACCATACTTGAATAGCAATTGATTTGTTCACTCGTAGGTTCTGGATGCTATATGTACACTTCTGAGTGCAATCTGCCCTTCCTGTATAATGTCCGCGTTGATATGTGAAATTGTATTGAAACAATTTGGAGCGCAATTTATATGCCTGTTTTGCAGAGGAGAGAGCCTGGAGAAAGATGAAACTTTGCCAGATCAAGATGTGTTATCATCAACCCAAGCTTGCAGCTGAACACATTAAAAAAAGTAAAATACTTCATTCCAATTTCCAGATTGAGATACATATAGGTTTCTTAAATGAATAGGATAGCCAACATATTATCTTGTAGTTTTACTACTATAGGATACCACAGCATGGTCAAACAGAGTATATGTGCTATCAAACACAAAATTTAGTTTAAAGAAACAGGCTGCACAAATGAGTTACCTCAATAAATTGCCCACTTCCAATAAGCCTTTCAGACAAATCATAGTAAAGATACGCAGCAAAGAAAGCTGACCAACTGTTCAGAGGATCCTAAAAGCATGACCAGCACAAAAGGTTAGTTGGAGAACTTTGAAAAGTCGAACTACTATGGATCTTTTGGAGCACCTTACATCAGATATAAGCTCAGAAGCAGCCTTCTTTACATCAACTGTAACATCTAACTGACAATCAGTACCAAGATTGGAAGAGCAACAAGAAGATGAAATTGATAGCTTCAGCTGGAATCCAACTAATAGAGGCATGGACACTTTTAGACAGCCTATCCAAAACCCCATGGTATTGAATTTATCATCGGAACTGCATGACAAGCCAGTAAGGAAGGCATTGTCTATTGGCGAGAAGCAAAGAGCGTGACTAAGCCTTCTACTTCCCCACAAGAAGTGCACACACTTTTCAACTGACACGTTTCGCCATTCACAGAATCTAATCATGAGCTTGTAGATGTCATGGGTGAGTTCTGTGAAACCCTGGTACAAGAATAGACCCAATATTGATATGGAATAGCCTTTAAAGGAATAAAAGACTGATTTGAAGGTGACAGCAGAACTACCTTTAGTGTTAATACATCGAATATATTACACAACATTAACAGCAGATCACCAGTACATGCACTCTCTTCAATCTGTCTAAGACCATCAGGATGCGGAATGCTCAACCATAGATTTAGGGCAGCTTTAAAATCTCTAATAATTTCCTGGAAAAAAAAGGAAAAATATCTTTAAAACAGAGATGCAAGGAAATTAACCAGAGGAGAAGCAAAAGAGATTTTGTAATAGGACCGTTGAGTTCGGCTCTACTTCCTGAATGCAGAGTGCTCGCAAACTATGTGACATGGCTAATTGATGAGATAATGCACTTCCTTGGCCCATTGTTTTAGAACTCTGTTCAACAACCAAATTTCAGACAACTCAAATTGCCAACTCTGTAGTGCACAAAATGATAAACTAAATCAGCAAGCAACATCAGAGAACAGGAGATATGAATATGATATGACGCACAATTAACGAAATTGCTTCCGATATACATTGGATGCTGTCGGATAGACCTTGATCAGAATAAGCTCTTAACGCCCATCCCTTTCTAAGCAAGATTCTTTATCTCTCTAAATAATCTTGCTCTTGGATATAAACATGTTGCGTGAGGATATCTATGACTTTCAGCAGCATTCTGTGCGAAAATACAGGGTATGTACTTTGCATTCTCTCATAAACAAGGAGCTCCTAGTAACTTAAGGAAATCAACCATAAGAAAAAAGGCAAGACAATAATATTTAAGGTAAAGAAAATCAACATGATAGAACTATATATTCATGAGGAATAGAAAATTAAACATCATGTCATTTCAAACCTGCTGTAGGAGTTTGCCCATGGACCTTACTGAGACTTTTGCAGAAGAACCTAGCAAGCAATGTAAAGTTGAAGCGCTATAGTCTGAACCCATGCTCTGGCTAAGTTCACAGTTAATCTGGAATTTAAACAGACATAAGCCACGACGAAACAATTAAAAGATCCAGCTACTTAAGATAAGAAGAGTTGAAGGTCTTGAGATCCTACCTTCACCCATTGTTTCACTAAAGTCGCTGGAGGTTGGAGCTTTATAGACAAATCCTCAGCAGCAGACCAATTTTCAAGACTTTCCAAAATTAGTCTCTGCAGTTTCATGCTTCCACACTGACCGAGGAGATCAACAAGAAAAACAGTTCTTGTGCAAGCATCGCTAACATAATCGAGAAAAGCGTCTTCTGAAGGATCACCCAGAACACTATTCTGGCAAAGAATTTTAAGGCAGCCCCACTCTGCCCTGCAGCACAATTTGAGAGCTTTTGAAGCCTGCGCAGTGATATGAAAGTTTGAGACTAAAAGAACTGATAAAGGGAATCCAAAACTTTGGAGGTAATCTCCTTATAAGACAAACTTATGTTCAGTATATTTGATTACCAAATATTCTATTTAGCTCTCTCAAGTTCACTCATTACTTATAAAGTGCCCCCAATCATGATAACATTGTTTCCTCCCAATCCCGAAAGACTCACGCTGGCGAGCTACAAGTCAATCCCATTCTCTACATCCAAAGCAAATACGACTGAAATAATTGCAATGCCACAAGCAGTGAAAAGGAAACTGCCAGTACTTTTGTAGTACCTTATCCACCACAGCAATGAACTTATGGCGTCCTAATGATCAATTTCATCTAACATAATGGCATAAGTTACTAATGCATAGAAAAGCAATGCAAGAAGCACTTATGAATCGGCGCATCCCAGAGCGGGAAACCCTTCCATTTAGCCAAGAAATATTACGACACAGAGTCAATGGAGAAATAATTCATCTGTCATTCAAATATTAGGTTTGCCATATAAGGTTACATATGATACATATTTGACTGTGTCTAAGCATCAAACTTATACAGTTTCGATTTAGAACTTTGAGACGATGCCTGTCACTGTGTGCAGAATCATACCTCATTCACTTGATTTTGCTTGTACAAAAGTACACCAATGCAATAGAGTTTCCTGCTCACGTACTTGAGCCCCTTGGGCTGAATCCAATCACTGGCAATGACCTGCTTAATGAGATCCATGGTACTCTGATACAAGAAGCACCAATCCATCAGCAAATTGAATGATCAACCAATGCAGCATGCTCATTATATATATATAAAAAAAGGACAACAATCATGGATTACCATAAATTTAAATTTCACAGGGATGTTCTGACAGAAAAAGATAAAGGAGACAAATCAAATTATCAAATATTCACACAATCGAAGAGGAAACTAACCTGCACTTCATGCTTTGTCCTGATTGAAACTATAAAGGCAGCCACAGGAATAGCAAGAACGTGATCGCTCTCATTGAATCCAAATCCATCATCCAATCCTTGTTCTTTTTTGTTTGCAATCCTGCCAAATTATTAGAAAAACTGGCTAAACATAAATAGGTGATGCTATAACTTATTATCCTAATAAACACTAAACAGGCACAGGCACAAAGTTATCTTTCTCAACAAGTAAGAGTTCCAGCTTTCAGGTATGGTAGTACGCAGAGCTCAAGAAACAAAACAAAAACAATTAAAGCAAAATATTATAATTCAGTGATCAGTAGCAACAAAAGCAAGTTATAGGAATAAATATACTTGGTAACGTACCTATGAACAGATAACAAATTATAGAAGAATTGCTGAAAGCCTTCCAGGATACTGTAGAGCACAGGAGAAACAGCTGTAACATCATTTCCAGCAAAAATCCACGTCTTTTGTGAATTTACTAGTTCGGCAAGAGGTTGACACAAGAACGTCAACAGATTCAAGTAAGCTAAACGATAAGCATCCCTATTGTGTGGGGTCCTTAATGAATTTCCAGGATAAGAAGATGATAGTAAGGATAATTGACTGGGAGAATGATTATCAGAACTCGTTTTTTCACTACTTGGCTGGGAACCTTCGACACTGTAGCTCTGCAAGGAACCCAGAAAAGGTCCTATATTGCTAAGTCCAATCCCATCATCAAATAAACTGCCAGGTTGAATATCATCCGGGGATGACACGACATCAGCTATCCTAGGCTTATAAATACGACTGTTAAAGCAGATGGAGGTAGAGTAAAGCTTGATGAACAAATCCAGTGGTGTCATGACCTGTGAAACAAGGGCATTTGAATGACAATCAAATGGTTATTTTATCAGCGAAAACCACATAACAGGTTGACATACAAGCAATTAACAAAAAGTACCTGAGACAAATCATCAGCTAAGTCATTTAGATGCCCAGCAACAGTACTACAAAAAGATGTACTTGCACGCTGACATTTGCTTGCAATGTAAGAGACAAAATCAATAAATTCCAATTGCCCATTTCCCTTTTCAACCTTGCACTCAGAGGCTAGAGAATCCAAAAAGCCCATTATAATTTGAAGGGCAATCGAAGGCCTGTCTTCATGAAACAAAAACAGTGAAGAACTTGCCCTGCGACAAAACTACAATCAAAGTCAACTATTATAAGAACTAAAGAATATCTTGTAGTATATCTTCTGGAAGTCAACTGATAAGGTACCTTAAACATCTGATCCTTCACTGAAGATTTGGCATAGCAGTTCAATGCCATCAGACAGAATGCACATACTAAACCTCCATCAAAATTCGTTAACTTCCCAACAAGATATTCAGCACATTTTGCCATGCAAGTTCTGATAACCGTATCCTTGCTCTGCTTTGTATTTTCGTCTAGAACCCTAGAGTATTCACATTCAAACAAGTTAACGAGAAATTCTGGTATCTACTATAGATGCAGATAAAAGGAAAACTTGAAATTCAATACCAGAAATAACCACCAATCAGGCACACAGTAGAGATTTCAGACACTAGCAGAGTACCATAAGGTCTATGACAAAAGAAGAACAAGAAATCCAACACATATTTTAGAAGCTTCCACAGAGAAAAACAATGGCGAAGATGTCAATAACCAATACTCAAAAACCGTCTTTCTCCCTGGTATTTTCATTTCAATCTCATTGATCCTCCCAGAAGGATTATAAATGTATAAGCAACAGATAATCACAATATAGGCAATCTACCAAGTGCACCCATATGACGAGAGCAATATCATCCTGACAAAATTTAACACTCCAGGTATTCTGGCAATGACTATTGTTTAACTTCGGCACTTTATGCATATGCCAAAACAATACAGAGACGTCAAATCTCCTCGCTCATCCTAAACTCGGAAAGTTCAGCAAAATAAAGGCAAGAAGAAGATTAGCAGCAACGCCACTTCCTCATTCAAATGCTAAACAGAAATCAATCACATACCTGAACCAGGGTTTAACCTCTTCCACCAATGTCATGACCTTCCTATAGTCCTCATCAACGGCACTTCGACTCAATGCCAAGCATTTCACAATGAGCGTGGCCACCTCCACTACCAGCTTCGCGAACATCTCATCATCGCCGCCCTGCTCAATCATCGGCAGAAGCTTTCCCGATTTACTTCCTTTTTTCCTCGACCCCAAATCCAAAGCCCTAAGCCTCTCCAAAACCCCAAACGCCAAAGTTCTCGCCTCCTCATACAGCCCCCAACCCACCAGGCAATGCAACAGCCTCGCATTCTGCAAGTAAATATCGTACGGTCTGCCCACCAGCGCCGAAGACACCAGTTCGTAGCAGTCCAGACACAGCTTGTAAGTATCGAACAGTTCCAAAATGAAATCCGGAGGTTTTCCTTCCTCCTCCGACGAGCCGTTGGTTTTCGAGGACTTGGAGAGGCGTCTGGGAAAAACCGTGAGGCAGCGATTGAGAAATGGAGCAAACCGCTTGGCTGTAGATCTGGCGAGCGTCTTGAACTCGGAATCAAGGTGGGCTTGGGGTTTTCGGGCTCCGGAATTGCTCTTCAATTTCCGGAGCTCGGCGAAGGGCTGGAGGTAGTCGGAGATAGTGGAATGGATGGGCGGGGAAGTTGAGGTTTCGAGGATCGAGATGAGGGTCGATTCCGACGCCATAGGATAGGTGCGGAGAGGGGCGATTGGCGAAGGGGAGGGATAGGAGAAAGAAGAGAGTAGAGTTGCTTATTTTTTGTTGCCAAGGCGGGAAATTGAGCCTTCCTTTTCCAGTCCCAGCAGTTTCAATTTCTTTTCAAGTGGCTTCTTTTATAAGTTTTCCTGGAAGTGGAACGGCACGGCAACTCGCTGGCGCCCGTGGAGCTTTGGCGCGGGGCATGGTCCGTGTCCGGAACCGGATGGGTTCATGACCCGAAGTGTTTTAAAACGAGCCTTGTCAATGTGGGTCATTTGCCCCACCTTGAACCCAAAAAAAGCAAAAGGTCGTTTGGATGGATCAATCTAGAAATGAGTCAATTTGATCAATTGTTTCGTTTTATAAACGAGACAATTAAAACGAGTCAATTCGAATTACCTGCCCCCACCCCAGGTAATTGAAATTGACTCAAAACGGATCAATTCAAAATATCTCAGACAGATTGATCCATCCAAAAAATTTGCTGGCAAACGAGGCAATTTGACACAATTGTCTCAAAACGAGACAATTGTGTCAAATTGATCCGTTACAATTCCTCATCCAAACGACCAAGTAAATTTTTATCTGATTGTGTATTGAGTACAAGATTTTCATATTGTCGAGATAATAATTTGATGAAACGTGATGTTTTGTGATCCTTTTTAATTTATATATTCTATAGGTGAGTTTAAAATAAACAAAAACTTGAAATTTATAGATGTTTTTTGACATCTGTGTGTCATCACAATCACAAGTGTTAAAAGGGCATTTACAGTAATGAACAAAGTGAAAAATACTTCAAAATAAGATGAGTTGCGGAATCATGAATGATTTTTCGTTGTGGTATCTTAACATCCTTCATAATTTGTATGGTGATTGTATTAAAAAAATTAAGAAGATAAACACATACTGAAACTTATGATTTTTTCTCATGTTTGACCTACCTTACATGAATTTGTGGCTACGCCACTGAGCCTTGACTCTTGAGATAGGGATGACAAAATAATCCATCAACATGGGAATCCAATAAAACTAAAATTGAATATATGTTTATGTATTTCTATGAGAAGCTATAAAGCACCTACGATCCCACTAACAAGATGTTGGAATATCGCGCGTAATAAATATTTCAACGGTAACAGTTATGATCATCGTGGTTGTGGTGAAGTAGGCACGGGCATAAAATACAACTCATATTACTTTTGGATGAGTATTTTTTGAACTCGACAAAGATAGATAGTGGGTTCAACATTTTAAGTATTCTCACTGAATCGCTTGATTATATGCTACAATTATCTTCCAGACTCACTCGCTTCAACCTTTTGGTCATTCACATCGCTCATGCATTATAATTGTCTCTTGAACCCCAAATCTCACTCATTATACCTCACTTTCATAAACAATGTCTAAGAAACTTCAATTAAGATTGATATTTTAATAAAAAAAATACATTAGATAAAAGAAAATAGATATGGTTTTATGTGGATGTGTGTGGTTTTTGACCAAACCACATACGAGTAGATTTTGATATGTTACATTAAATACCCCGCCTACTTTTTTATCACAGGAATGGTATATAGGAAAATTATCCCAACTCGATCCCATTGTCATCCCTGCTACAAGGTGACACAACAATCTTTGACCTTTATGGGTTATTTGTAGGGGGTGGCACATGTGTGGTTAACATGCGGTATGATATCGACCCACATGCTAATAACTCAACCCTAATTAGGGATGGCAGTAGAACCCGAATCTATGAGTACCCTACCCGACCAAACACAGTCAACGCGGGTAAACTCTGTTTTGAAGGATTGCAGGCTGGGTTTGAGTTTAAACTCGCTATACTTTTAGCGGGTTGGGTTGGGTTGGGTTGGGTTTGGGTTTAGCCATATCCAATCCGTGGATACCGCACCCAAATCCATACCCCCACGACCCATGGAACCCTTAACTAATTAACTATAATTTTTAAATTAATTCCTCACACATTCAATTAATCATATTATTTGTGGATTTTTATCTTTAATATTGAAGTAGTATGAATGATTTGTGAGTTAGTGTGTATGTAGTAGAAAATAGTAGTGAAAACTAGTGTAATTGCATCTTTGTACATGAACTAATGGGTACCCATGAACCCGTAGATACCCAACGAGTTGGGTTGGGTTTGAGTTTTCTAAATCCAGTGGATTTTATCCTGGATTTTTGGGTGGATGAACCCATGGGTTTGGGTTTGGCAATAACCCGCTCCAACCCCGACCCATTGTCATCCCTAACCACAATGGGTGAGTGAGATGTCAGTGGATTGTGGATAGATAAACCTCTTGTCCACACTTATTCTGGTGGGTGGGTTGCGGGCCACCCGAAATGACCCTCACCACATTTTCACTAGGAAAAAAATTATTTCTTGTTTATACTACCGAATGATCTTTCTATTTTATAAATGCACTGACCATCCGCTTATAAAAGTGAAAATAAAGATGATTTTTTACAACTACCATAGGATTCTATGTTTGTAATATCCACAACATATTGAGATACACATTATAAAATATTATTTGTATCAAAGTCAAAAAAAGTGTCAACTTTCTCTGCACAATTGGTTGATGGGGTAACAAAAAATTTGATACAAGTACTAGACCTCATTTGAGATAAAATGACAAGTGTAGAAATTGCTACAATCTTACTAATTTGTAAGAAATTTATTGTAAATGCTAGCCAACTTGTCTAATCTTAATTAGGAAATTGCATTTGCGGGTTATTCCGCAACCACAACCTAATCACACACATTCGCCACCCGCCCAATCCAACTCGAGAAGAGTGTAAGTGAAATACGAATTACAATCATACTAAATCGTTATTCGTTAGTCAATTTGAAACTAAAATCACCCAAGTTGATGCATTTGAGGCAACATTATTAACCTCAGAGGTTGGATCATTGATGCAAAGAAAAGAGGGAAAGGAGGTGGAGTAGACAAAAAATCGAGCTCTTATAGTTGCATGTTGATGTTGTCAACATTTCCCATCTATCCTCCACTATTCCATGAGAATTCCTTCAGAAAGAAGTAAACCCATATGGAGGAGAACAACACAAAAATAATCTATGAAAGTGAAAAATAAATAATCTCCCAAAAAAAATCATCAAAGGAGGAAGATCTGACCTTCGCCATTTTTCTCCCTCACCTTCCCAAAACAGCTTTTTCCGAAACGTAAATAATAATATAGTAATCATTATAATCTCTTGTCTTCAGCACCATCCACTAGCACACCACTACCAACAGAGTTAGCTTTGCTTTGTCCACCAAGCATGTGCTGCCTGCGAGAGAAGCTCATGGCTTCTTTCTTCCACCCTCTCTCTTTCTTCACCCGCCTTTCAGCACCTTCTGCTGATCTCTTCTTCTTCTTCTTCTTCTTCTTCTTCTTCTTCTAAATGTTCAGGATTCAGGGTGTCGTCTGACCGGGAGAAAGGAGACGAGGACCTTAATTCGTGCTCACAATATAGTAATCAACTATGGATGAAACTAATTAGACACTCAACCCATCGAATCCACATTGTTTGTATGTAAGAGATTGCTTCCTCGGGCTTATCACGATTGCACAATCCACCGAGACCTGCAAACATTACCAGGACGGGAAAAGAAGTTGGTCCAACGACAATGTGTGGATGGTATCATCATCTACCATAGACTAAGATTTCGAACCAGAACACAGCAACAGTAAAATGGCAGAACATGAAAACACATTCATGGAAGGCAAAAAACTGAAAGCATAACCAACTACCCCCGTGGCCAGGAAGAAGAAGAAGAAGATGGCATGCTACTACTACACCATATGATGGCGCCTACGAAATGTGGATAGAGTTGGAAGACAAGGAACGACCACTTCACCATCAAATAATGGCGCCTACCAAACCAATCCATTTCTTCATTCACACCCACAAGACATGCTCACTTCACTTTCAAAGGACCTTTTTTCCATTGGGACCGAATAGTCAATCGCATGGCCCGGCCATATTAAAACACTAAAACGGCATCGGCGCTAAGGTCAACAATGATAGCAGCAACAGCATCTCAGTTCATGAGCCAACAAACAATTCGGAAAGATGTGAAATGAGTAGTTTGTTAATATTAATATACATAGTATACGAGTTGCGCTAACATGTTAACTCTAGGTAGATCCACACACTTGATGATGATGATGCTGTTGCGGATTGCCCCAAAATCCAAAGATGTTAGCACCCAATAAGCATAATGAATTCGATTCATATAAAATAGCTGGATGGTAGTAATATATAGATTTGAACAATGTTTTAGTTGTTAGCGAGACAGTCGACAAAAAAAATACAAAGCCCTTATTAACAATTCAACTGTAAGAAAATACCAGTATAAAATAAGACTGGGTTTCAAAGTGTAGAAGATAAAGAAAAGCTGCTCCATTTGTGAAAAAGACAATACTAGTGCTGCAACAATATGGACCAATATGTAAAGTTTCACCTCGGCATAAACTCCAACCAACATTTTAACCAGTAGGCACTATCAGTCTATCTGTCACCTTTCTCGATTCAGGGCTCGGCCCAGATAGCCAAAGGAAACAAAGACCTAAAGATGATGCCATCAACTTCTTAATCGTTCTAGTTTGTCTACTACTAGCAGCCCATGTTAGCACACGCAAAAAAAAAAAAAACAAAATAAGGCAGCAGCGCATGTTAGCGGAGGAGTAAAGGACGGAGAGAAGAGAGGCAGAGTCGTGGCCCGTGGGAGTGGACACGAGACAGTGGGGATGTCGTAAAGATCAGACTACCAAAAACCAGACGAGGCTCCACCACTACCCAAAAATCACTCTCTCTTAAATCCCCCAGTTGAAAGTTCAAATTCTCACTAAGCTAATCTGATCCAAAAATGAAGTGGGTAGCATCCAAAGTTCGGATTTTGGAGTTCTACGGAGCTTAAAAATGGCTGATAAGCAGAGCACTGAAACTAACCGGAGCTTAAATACCAAATTCTGCTAAACCATTCATCATTTTGAACTGGGTTGCCTCCAGAACAGGGAATTCATGAAATAATTAAGAGATGATTAGGTGGGGTGAGAGAGAGAGAATTAATGGGGGAAAAGCCTGACCTCAACACCAGGGGAATCGAACTCCAAGACCCGGATCTTAGCCCCGACTTCACCCAAAACCCGGAGCTCCACCCGGTCGTTCAACGAAGCATCTCTGATCAAATCCGCCGCATCCGCCTGCATCAAGCTGTACCGATCGACGGCCACGGTGGCCTCCACTTTCCGCTCGCTGTGAGCTTCCTGGAAAAACCCAGGGACGGAGGCCTTACCGAGCGGGATTCCGCGGTACATGACGGTGAACCTGGACTCGCCGTACTTGATCCCGACCTTGTTCGGGTTGACGGCGGTGAAGAGCATGTGAATCGCGAGGGAGAGGGAGGCGGTGGCGGCCGGGTCGGAGGGGGTCGGGGTCGGGGTGTTGATCCCCATGTACTGGACCCCGACCTGCTGGAGGTCGAATTGGGGCTTCTTGGGCTTCACGGCGAGGACGACGACGAGCGCGACGGCGAGGGCGATTAGGAAGAGGAGGGAGAGGAGGAGGAGGAGGCAGCAGCAGCAACCCTTTATGGAGGCTTTCGAGGAGGTGGAGGTGGAAGGGTAGTAGGGATGGTAGTGGTGGCGAGGATGATGGTGATGGCCCCCGCCGCCGCCGCCTTCGCCGCGGTGGTGATGGTGGCTGTGCTGGGCGAAAGCGGCGGCTGAAGGAGGAGGAGGGAGTGGAGGCGTTGGTGGAGGCCCCGCCGCTCCTGCTGCTGGGGGCGGCGGCGGCGGTTTGGTTTGGTGTTGATGGTGGTGGTGGTGGCGGCCGCCGTTGAGAGTCTTGTCGGCGGAATTCGGCGGCATTTTTTGGTTTCTTGTTTCACGGCGGCCTACCTTTCTTTCCCTTCTCCGCTGCTGCGGTTGCGCTGCTTCGGGCGCGGAGGAGGGGAGAGGTGACGACAACCGAAAATGAAGAGAAGGAATCGGGAAAAGGAGAAAAGTGTTCACCAGAAGATACGAAACGGTAAAGAAATATATAATTATCAGGAGAGGGAAAATGCAACTGCTGTAAGAGGAGATTTCTCCTTTGCTTCTTTGCCAAATATGAAGGATGGTTCCAATTTCTGTTATGGGAGCTTTCATTTTCAGAGCTTTATTCACTTTTCCTTTTTCGACGAACAAAGGAGGAAATTTTCTGATATTTAGTTCATTTTTATCTTACGGTTGAATAAAATGAAAACATTATATCAAGATTGTCAACCCGCGGGTTGACCCGGACCCGGTCGAGCTAGTGGGTCAAGGATTAATGGATCAACCGTTTTAGTTTGGTTTGGCCCGGAAATATAAAAAAAATCATTATATTGTACTTATCCTCATAAATTATATCAAATCTTATTTAACATATGAGTTATAACATATAATATTACACCAAAATAACATATCATACTTAATCCAACATATAATGAAAATTCACACACACTTATATAACATAAATATTCAAACGTTCAACTTAGGATTCCAAAGATTGAGTTGGGCGAAAAGAAAAATCGGAAAATAGGCGCATTTCGCAAATCAAATGAAGAAATGACACAATTTGACCTCCAACCCAGTACCTTATAGCGATCGGCCCGGCGAGTGCGTACGGCTTGTTTTTCTCATCGGATCAGGGTCAAACTGAGTCGACCCGCGGATCAACCCGCGGGTTGACAACCTTGCATTATATCGACAAATACAGGCGAAAAACTACACTTATATTGTACTGTTGTTAGGACAAAATACTGTAAATACAGACAAAAACTAGAGGATATAAATATAGATTATCAAAATTTTGCCGACTAGCGCGACTTTACCCCATATATGTGTAGTTGTATACCACATCGACCTAACCAACAATAATGTAACACATTCGTTTACATTTGGTTCACATACAAACTAAAAATAGATAATCATGTATAAGAAATCACAGTTTTTTTTTTACTAAACAATTAATGGTTCCAAAGTTCGGTAAATGTAACCGTGCTCAAATTACCGTCAGCCCACACCAAAAAATGAAGAAAAAAAAAATACACTCTTTTACACCAACAATAATTTAACAGCATCAACAACCTTCAAACAGGGCACATGGTCATCTACCTTCTTTTACACGCTACTGCCATAAGTAAGAAAGAATCCATCTTTCTACCAGAAGAAAGCTCCATCAAAGGAAAAGCAAAAGAAAAGAGGGAAAGAGCAACTTAAAAAGAGCAGCTCCACTAATCACCAATCACCATCCATTCCTTATCTAAATGACTCGACCACAAGCTTGACTGGATCCAAATAATCATCTTCCTAAGCAGTAGAACCAAAAGTGTGATTAGACTCCAACCAGATCCAACTCCATTCCCATTCCCATTCCCACCTCTTAAGTGGTATCTCCTGGCAAAGCATAACAACAACACGGGAACCCTAGAAAGTAGAGACAGCCAAGTATATTCAGCATAATTGAACCCACATCAGAAAAGCCACAACATGAGACTGCTACTACAATTCAGGAAGATCAAATACTAGTAAAAAGTAATCCTGAACAAACAACAAATAAACAAAAACCCATCAACAACATAAGGGCTACCTCAAGAACAACACAATATGCTTACATAGCCATACTTAGAATTCAAAACGGATGGGCGGTGCTTACCCTCCACATCATCACTGATCGGGATTCTTAGGCAGTGACGAGCTGTTGTTACCACCTTCGCCCGTCTTTGGCACGTCATCAACTTTCGCGTCGTTATTATCCTCCGCAGCTAGCACGTCATCCATCATGTCATTATCATCCTCCCCAACAATGATATCTTCCACATCGTCATCTTCTTGGTCTTCGTTGTCACCTGGGATCTTTCTGGTGGTCTTCGGACCATGCTCGAGCCTATGGCTCTCCAGCTCTTGGTCCATTGTTTCTTGCAAGTTTGCGTCGTTGTTATTACCTCTCCTAGCTTTCCTTGCATTTTGCCACCTCTCTAGCTCTTTCTCAACGTTTTCAAGGTACTGTGACTCTATCTGCTTCTGGTACTCGGATAACTCCTCTCTTTTGGCGGCCTTCCATTCCGAAAATAACTGAAACCAAATCATAGTGAACACAGGGGGCAACAAATTAGTCGCATTAAGTACTTACAAGGAAAATGCCAACCAGATTTCGAAATAGATCAAACTTGGCCATTGAAAGAATCTCTTTGGAAAGGTGGAGAGCCATTTTTGGTTTCCACCTAAGCAATAATTAAATAGCCTGTAAACAGTTTCTTTGGTTCTAATGTTTTGGTTCGGTGATAGAAACCAACTTCCGTTCGGTTTCTATAATTATTATTATATTAGAGTAATTAGTCTTTTAGTCGTATTAGGTTAATTGTTAGGGTTTTATGGTTCTTTCCTATATATGTACGTTGTTATTCGTCTATTCAATCAATAAGAAGAAAGTTAAGAAAAACTCTCCCAAACCCTAATCTATCTATCCTCTCAATTCTCGTTCTCAATTCCTCTAAGGCCTAGTCCGATTTTGTTCTTCTTCTTTCCCAAATTCTCAATCTCAATCCCTAATTCTATCCCCAAATCCCTAAATTCCCAATCAACCCACACTATCGATAGAACCCTAGAAATAGGTTTCTATCATTCGGTTAAGGTTTCTTTGGTTCTAATGTTTTGGTTCCACCTGTGAATCAGGGGGCAACAAATTAGTCGCATTAAGTACTTACAAGGAAAATGCCAACCAGATTTCGAAATAGATCAAACTTGGTCATTGAAAGAATCTCTTTGGAAAGGTGGAGAGCCATTTTTGGTTTCCACCTAAGCAATAATTAAATAGCCTGTAAACAGTTTCTTTGGTTCTAATGTTTTGGTTCCACCTAGTGAATCAGTTACGGCATGCAAGCATCAGAGTTAAGGTTTCTTTGGTTCTAATGTTTTGGTTCGGTTAACTTAATCAAATTGGTTAACCACCCCTCAAAGAGACATTTATCAAGAGGAGGTTGACTAGGACATGGAGGAATGAGCCCTCATTTCAGAAGTGGCATCCGGCTTACCTGTTCTTGATGCTGCTGTTGCAAGGTTGCATCTTCATCCAGTGGTTTCTTTGGCATATAATAAATATGAGGTTCAGTCTTGCTCCTGAAAATTGAAATGAAATAATCATCACAATGTGGATCAAATAAAGATCTTTTGTACAAACAGAATTCAACTAATATCCTGTAAAGGATCAAGAAAATTAATGCTTCAGCTCTTCAACACTGCTATATGCACGTGAAAAAGAAACTTATCTTGTCTCAATAAAATGACACTTTTGGACCTAAGTTAAAAATAACCTGCATGAGAAAAACTGATATCAACCAAAATTGATAGATTTTCAATATAGCTAGGACGCAAACAGATCCACTTGTTGAAAGGAAGATCTTTACCTTGTAAAATTGGAAAGCTTTTTATGATGATCGCTCCAACGAAGAAACAGCAACTCCAACTTCTTTTCTTCTGCTTTTGCAGCAACTCTTGCCCTAAGGACCTGTTGCACCAGAAGTAAGAAGAACCTTAATATGTGGACAGGTTTTTTGGCCACTCCCACAAAAGCAACACAGGGAAATAAGAACAAACCAGATCTCTCCTCCTCTTTTCTGCTATTTTCTCACGCTCTTCCTGTCTCAGCCTTTCACTTTCTTCACGGGCTCTTTGTTCAGCCTAAGGAGTTTCAAAAGTTGTTAAACCATTAAGCAGATTGACAACAAGGGAAAGGCAAACATGGTGAAAAATTGTTCTCAATGAAGAACAGTAATCACATGCAAACATTGGAAACAAGTCATACCAAACAAAATGAGATTCCATGACATATCGCAAACTGAGACTACTCAAGAAATTAAGAATGTATCACCATGACACCATCCACATAAAAATATACGGACTTGGAAGTTCTTATTACCTACAATACAATTAGCTTCCAATTTCACAACTGACAGTAACTGACCCTAATTTATACACGGACACACACAAAACATCAATTTAGGATTGCAATAAGTAGGATAGTTGAACATAGTTATTGTAGCTCAACACCTCTTTTATCACATTTACTCGGTAAACCAACACCAGAGCAATATAGGAATAGCATATACTCCACCCTCACCTTTTGCAAAGCATTCGACCTCTTTGTGTATGCCTCAGTCCCTGAGAGCTTCATATCCTCTTTTCTGAATTTCTGGAGCAGTTCAAACACAAGGGGACAAGGTTATAACTCCGGAAAAATATATCACCAGGCAATAGTTTGATGCATATTAAGTGACCTTGTGCAAAATAAACAGAATACAACTGAATTCTCTGGCCTTGACTAAAATGAACTTCCATGTACATTATCAAGCAAGCACTTGGATCAGAGATCACAGGACTTGAAATAAGAATGCATTAAAATCAATCCTCATATGCCACCTATGCTATGTTTAATGCTTCTCTAAGAATATAAAGAAGAGGATCAGGCTGAATGCTTGTAAGAAATCCAAGATAGTTAGAGCATAAGCACGTAGGTACCTACTAAACGAGTATGTTGAGTGTTGACAAATATGGGAAAAAAATGCGTTGTCAGTGGTCATTCTCTAGTCCTTAACTAAATACAATATCCAGCTAGAGTGAAGCTGGTGCATATTTTCCTACGTCAGCCATGATATATCAGTTTTGTTTTGCAGGATAAGTGAGAACCTTATGGATAGACAGACCCTCCAAGGAATTAATTCACAGCCAATCCAACGTCTATGAAAATCTATTTCCAACTGTAATCAGGATGAACAGAAAAGAGAGCAGCTAATACATGTGTTAGCAACATACCTCCAAGGTACCTAGAAGCTGCCCCAACATCCTCTTGTTTCTGCTAACCAAGCTAGGGTCCTCATTCTTCGGTAAAACCCTCGGCACATGCACATCAGGTGGAATGTCTGAATCCTGACAGCAAAAGACAGTAAATGAATGAAAAAACTTCTACACCTCACCGGCAAACAAATGGCGACGACCAATCCACTATCTAGACAGTATCTGAAACCAGACAGAACATAAAATGCCAAGACTTACTCTTCTCGGTGGTCGTTGGTTCCAAGGTAAACCACCTGGACGCAAATTTAGCGGCTTTACTTCATCTTGCTGATTATTGATGGCTGCAACAGTAGATTCTTCCTCATTAACCCCATTCTTAGCACCGAGCTCGACTATCTCGCCATCCTCAGTCTACAGTCACAAATCCAAGAACAGCAGAAGGGGAAATGTTATGCACTCATTCAAGAGTAGAGGAAGAAAACTTTCAGCAACACATGACAACAAAGGACAACAAAATAAACCCCATGAGTAATAGACATCTTTTCAACTTAAACTATCTCCCATTTTCATCCCAAAACTGCAACTCATCCATCCATATAGATAATGCTGCAAAAATATGCTTACAAGCGAAACAGATAAATGATGGCATTACCTTGACAACAGCAGACAGAAGCCGTTTCTTTGCAGGTGGTTGATCCGCTGAGTCATTCCTATCCGCCTGAGACAAAACTTAAGCTCCATTATTATGAAAAAAAAACCCAAACAAAAATCTCGAAATTACATCATATAGGCCAGGCGTACCGGCCGAACAAACCCTCGCTGAGGACCGCCGTTGGAGGCGAAGTTCCTCGGGCCGCCACCGGGCAGACCTCCACGTCGGAGCCCTCTAGGATCACGTAACCGTTCCGTTATCTAAAAATTTCCGTAAGACAACCGATAAACCAATCAAATCATCAGCTCCAAGCACCAAACTAAAAAATTTGAAGAAGATAAGCAAAACGAACCTGCCGCTGCTGGCGGTGGAGCTCATCGATCTCCTTTCGAAGCTCTTCCTCAGTCTTCTCCGGCGCCGCTGCTACGCTCATTGTGACCCCTTCCGCCTGGTGCGACTCGACTACTCCAAACTCCGCAGTCCTGATTTCTCTCCCTTTGGGTTCGGTTCGGCTCGAGTAGAGAGGAAAGAAAACCCTGGCGAGAGGCGAGGGTTTTTCGGGAATTAAAATTTATTTATTTCAACGCAAGCAATCTAAGCGGTTAGAGGGAAACGATGCCGTTGTCAGAAGCAGATATAATCCCCCTCGAAGCCCGCCTCTGTTTCCCTCTCTTCCAGTCTCAATTTTCCACAATGAAGTCCATCAAGAGGAAGCAACCGTTTCTTGATCTTCCGATCATCTTCCTCCTAATCACCGCCGCCGCATTCGTCCCTACTCCGGCGAAATCGATCCCTACTGACTCACTCGACTACATCCTGTACTTCCTCCGCAGCCGCGGCCACTCTCTGTTCGCGAATGCGATCTCCACCTCCGATCTCCTCTTCGACGTCCTCTCCCTCCCTTCCCTCACTCTGTTGCCTCCTTCCGATCCGGCACTCTTCGCCCTCGACATGACCGAATCGCCGGCATTCTACCTCGCCGTTCTCCGCCTCCACGTCCTTCCGTTCCGCTTCGACCTCCGCTACCTACAGAACAACGCTTCGCTCCACACTCTGGTCCCCTCCCGCCGCCTTCACGCCACCAGAGCAGATCGGCCCCCCGCCGCCTCCTCTCTTCATCTTGACGGCGTGGAAGTACTCTTCCCGGCTCTTTTCTACTCCAGCAATGTCGCCATCTATGGATTGCAAGGTATGCTTCCTTCTCGCGTCGTCTCTGTCCCAGCACCTCTTCCTCCGTTTCAGTGGTTCCGTCCTCCACCAGTTGCTCCTCGGCAACGAAATCGAAATCGGAATCGGAATCGGAATGCGACGGTTATTCTTCCGCTGGTTCCAACTACTAGGCCGGTTCCGTTTACTCGCCCGATTTTCCCGCGACGAGGTCCGAGATCGCGCGGAACGAATTCTCCATTGCCGGATAGCAGAACGGTGGTTCTTTCTCCTCCTACTGCTCCTGTGAATCTAACGGCTTCGCCAGAATCAGCGCCGGGAGATTCGGTTCTTGATTTGCATCCGTTTGGGCGCAATCTAACTATTCATCCTCCTCCTGCTTCAGCGAATCAGACGAGTCTTCTTCCTCCGGCCGATCAGGGAGCCCCTGCTCTTCCCCCGCTTGCATCTCCTGTCAACACAGCTGTTTCTTCTGCTCATGATAATCTCGGCGGCGGCGGTATTGCTTTTCCTCCAATTGACGGGAGCAGTCCGACGCCTCAGACGAGTTTGCCTCCGGCCATCGGCGGCAATTTTCTTCCTCCGGAGCTAGAAGTTGACAATCACACAGCTCGCGGCGGCGATCTTGCTTTTCCTCCAATTGATGAGAGTAGCCCAACGGCTCAGATGAGTTTTCCCCCAGCCATCGGCGGCAATTCTCTTCCTCCAGAGCTAGAAGTTGATAATCACACAGCTCGCGGCGGCGGTCTTGCTTTTCCTCCAACTGACGTAAGCAGCCCGACGGCTCAGATGAGTTTGCCTCCGGCCATCAGCGACAATTCTCTTCCTCCAGAGCCAGAAGTTGATAATCACACCGCTCTTGGTATCGCTCCGACTTCACCACCATCTTCAGACGGCGCTTCGATTGCTCTCGCTCCCAGTCCAGTGACCTTGACCGAAACTCTACCGCCGGCTATTTGTCCTCCAGTTAATCTGACCGAAGTGGCGGTTACGGTCCCGGCGAGTCAATCTCCTCCAGAATCGGCTGCAAGAGCATCGCCATCTCCAGGCGTCGAAGACGGTGGTTGGCCGGGACGCAACGTTGGCGAAGCCACCACCTCCGGCGACGACTATCCGGCTGCGAAGCGAGATGACGAGGATTGGGAAGTGTCGGCCGGGGAATTGGCGGAGGTCGCCCTCGGACCGGCGTGGGACCACGTCAGCACTCGGGACGATTACGCGATGCTGGGCCCCAACGGAGTGGACTATGGTACTGATTGAAGACCGGGTATGGACACGTGGCGAAATCTGAGAAACCCTCCTTTTGTCTCTGATATGCGCCATCTTGTTGCGAGTCTGTATGGCTATAGTTGACCAATTGTGAATAGAATTGAATTGGGCTTCAACGGATGAAGGCAGTTTATTGGGCCTGAACCAGAGAGCAATAGCCTTTTCTTCTTAGTTGATCTTAAGCTGTAATGAATCTGAGCTCTTCCCTTTTCTGAATAAAACTGCTGCTCAATTTTTGACTGTGTGAAGAAACTTACTCCTTATCCTTCCATTCATGTCTTTTAAGACAAGATTAATAAGGAATGAAATGATTTCCTAAGTTATAAAAAATTTACATGAGTTGAATACGGACTATGGAGCTCTATTGCACAGGGGACTGCAATGGTATGGCATAGTGATTAGAATTTAGAGAGAGGCCAAGCAAATGAACAGAACCAAAGAAACTGTTGATCACTGGAGGATATAAAAGTGCAATGTCGATTCAGTCCTCGTCCATACCGCCGCCACCATCCTCCACGTTATCGTAACCATCGTCATCTCCTTGGTCTTCATCCCCGCCGCCATCATCTCCTGTGTTGAGAGCATAATTCATTATATCATTCTCCATTTCAGGCGGCAACCCACCTTCCAGCAATTCACTATGGATTGTCTTCTTCACTGTGAATGCCTCCAGATTTGAATCGCTGAAGAATGATGCATAAGGCTTCGACACCTGCACACGAAAACAACACAAATCACGATAATGGTAACAACAAGCTGCTTTGTCGACGTGCAAGTGAGCGCTGGTCTTCGGCGGTGTCTGTCTTACCTTGAAAAGGACATTCCTCTTCTCTGCACTTTCAATGAGGTTGCGCCAATGCTCATCCCGCCTCAATGTTGATGCTGATCCCACGACCTAAACAACACCAACCCAATAGTAGACTATTTAGCAAGCGAGCAGAAATGTGGCTGCAGGTTAGAATGATATTGGATAGCTAATTAGCTACACTGATAGATTTTGTACCAGAACAGTGGACTTCGCTCGTGTGATCCCGACGTTCATTCTCCGTGCATCAGACACAAACCCAATACCTTTACTCTCGCTTGCTCTCACACAAGAGAATATTGCAACATCTTTCTCTCGGCCCTGACATTCCATTTCAAACACCCACAACCAAAGCTCATCAATTCAACCATTCTGAACCATGGTTCCAGTCCAAAAATAGATTACTTGACACACAAGTGCAATCCAAAACGAAGATGAAAAACTTGGCTTACCTGGAAACCATCAACTGTTTGAATATCCACGAACTCCCTCGAGTCTTGACCGAAATTATCCTTGAATTTATCTTGCAGAAGCTTCACTTGGTATCTATATGGCGAAATGAGGGCGAATTGTGAACTTGACCCAAGTTCTGGATGCATCGACACCAACTTACGATAAAGAAGGAGCACAAACTCAACTTCGTCCGTGTTCACGTAGGACCCACTTCCTGAGGGTTGGGACTCTTGCCCTTCGTGTAAATCAAAGAAGCAAAATGGGCTAAAGCACCGGTACTTGTGCCAGTCACGTTTGGTCTTCACCTCCATATCTGTTGCATCCTGCAGAGCCTCATCATAGAATTCTCTGGAAGGGAAGTGTCTAATCTGTTTGACAACCAACCACAAGATATATTTAGATCTCAACTTGGAAAAACTAAAGTTTTCAATAAATTGAGCTAAGAGAACCTCACCTCTGGATGCATCCGGTACTGCATCTTCAGCATATTTACTGGATAGCCAGCTCTTTGAAACCTCTCAAACAAACTTGTGCAATAACTTCAAAACAATGAGGAAAGAAAAGAAGTAGAAAGATTCAATCAGAAGATGTTATATGCCCCAAACAACAAAGTCAATATGTGTGCGGGAAAAGGTACACTTGACTACCCAAATTTGCTGGCAGTAGAAGAAATTACAGTGGCTGGTAATTGAACTGGATCCCCAACCTAAGTACAAGTAAAAAGAAATGTGGAATCAATGGGAAAAACAGGAATAATAACAAGGAACCATCTACGTTATACATAAATTATAAATATATGTGCTCGGAAACTTTAAAAAAGAGCTGGCGGGAAAAGAGAAATACCAGGAAAACTTGTTTGCACCCATTGGACAAAGGAACAAGGGTTGCTGGTTCCACCTGTTACATCACAAGTTCACAACTAAATTAATTAGTACTGTACTTGCACTGCAATAGCAGGTATGTATCGGTCAATTTTATGTCATTACCAGCAGTTCACAAACTAGATTAACCAAAAACTGGTGCAAACCATGAATTTTGGGCTCTAAAATTATTTGATATCTTTCTTTTAATTGTTAATAAACATCAAATTGCTTATCAATCTCAATTAGGTTCGATGTTGAAGTTTAATTGAACAAAGGTGGCTCGCTATAGTTTTCCCTTAACCCAACAATGAGATTTTCAAATTTGATCTCGAATGTTTCCCTATTGACTGCTAGGGCACTTCCCGAACTTTATCAAGCATACAAAAAAAAAAAAAAAAACCTACTACCGCCATCATTGATTTCTTAAGAGAATCTTTACATCCTAACTGATGACTACACTATCAATCAAACTGATGTTAGAAAGAGTGAAAATTCAGATGCGGGATTAGGGACTAACAGCTTGGGCGGCTTCATCAATTATCACTACATCAAAACCATGATTCAATTTACTGAAAAGGGCTGAACCGCTGAAGCTGAGAGTTGAAAAGACCTGCAGAACACAGAACACTGTCAGGAGATTAAAAATATGATAATTTCTTTGACACTAAGCAATATTTGGTATAAATGATTCAATCAGGACATCGCATCAATTTCCCGATTCAACATGACATAAAGTTACATACAATAACAGCCTCATCAAGAATTGAAGAGCGGATATTATCTATATCTCCTCCAGCAGCTCCATGTTTATGTTTTTCGGCAGCTGACTCAGATTGCTTTTGTCTCACCTGCAGACAGATTTATGTTATGTCAGCAACGGAATCTTCATCAGCATATGTAAATTACATATAAGCAGAAAAATTAAGAAGAATTTAAGAATTAAGCTCTCGCTTGGATGGCAGCATAACAGCTTTTTTATCCCCAACCAGGATGATATGAGACTTAATTTGCCTTTTGATGATTAATGAATGTGCTTTCAGACCAATACGTACAAGGTAATCCATGCTGACAGACTGAACTGAATGATGTGCTTTCAGACCAATACGCACAATTTTAGGGTTATAATTACGAACAGTTTCATCAAGAACACCTGCAGAAAAGCAACGAAGTTCACAGCTCAGCTGCCAGAAAGAAAATCACACAATTTGAAAAAAGGAAATGCCAATACCATTCTAAGTTAAATGCACAAGGAACAATGTTATTATGAACACTCCACTAGTTTCTATCTCAATTTGAGATGTAGGAACTACCGGTGGCAAAAATATCCACCAAAACATGAAGAGAAACTCGTACCATTTCTGAGAAGGCGCAACACTATCTCATCAAGGGCAGAATTTGAAGGGGCGCATACAAGTACTCGTAGCCGATACCTGCGGCTCGATGCAACTATTTCTGGTTTCTGCAGGAGTTCAGAACTTATAAGAAACTACTCAGTCCGATAACACAACAATGGCAAAATGAATCTTACCAGCTCACTTCCGGTGGTAGGAAAGAAGCCATCATCGCCACCTTTAGGCATGATGGCATCTCTAGGATTTACACCAGCCAACCATGGAGATGCCCGTGCCCAATTCGTGTACCTGCAACCATTAAATGCATTAAGCCATTGAACAAAATGAATGCTCTGGTTTTCATTGGACCAGTAAATCATGAAAGCACTAGTCATGAATATTTGCTGTGAAACACGTGAATCTTTGAGTCACAGGTTAGATAGTTTCTCAGACAGAAGAATGTGTCCTGTAAGTTTAACTAATATCTCTTAAAGAAATAGATACATCCAACTAGTAGAAGCACCTAAGATAATTATTGCTGATGAGTCTTCGACTAATTCAAGATCAGATAATTGGGAACATCAAGACTAGGAAGACATCAGACAACAGCCCTTGAACAGCAATGCTGCAGCCGTTGAGGGATCATCAAGATCAAAGGGTCCCTGTCCTAAGACCACCCCTAAACTTTTAAACCACTCTTTAGGGAGTAGCAATCAATTTGAAATGAAAGTGTATGGTTTGAGTTGTATACTTGTCGATTTACATAATTTGTGAGAGCAATGCTACAAACTAGAGCTAAGTAATTAGGGTCCAGTCAGACACCAGGTAAGCAACCAGAAAGAACTCTAAACACCAACAGGTATAGACATGACACTTATTCCCAATCTCAGAACATACAATTGGATTGAGTGACTGGTTCTACTAATATTAGAAGCACCAACGACAGCCTAAGAGAATGAACATGTGCAATTATGCGCAAACAATAGTAGTATACTCAATCTGCACAATCATTAAGAGAATGAACATGTGGCATTACATACTTGTCTTCAATTGAGAGTTGTGGTCCACTTTTAGTTTTAACTGATCCAGCCCTGTTCAATAGCATAGAAGAGACATAAACATCAGCCTCACACATGACAAGATAAATACATTAATCACGATCATAAAAATATCAACAAAGGCAGGACGTTTCTCACTTGGTGTGCACTCGAGCTGGAGTGGCATGAAGAATAGCACTAAGAAGTGCAAGAATTGTCTGTGTTTTTCCAGTTCCTGGAGGGCCCTGCAGATCACAAGACTTGATTCTATTAGCACACACAAACCCCGATTTTTCTTATGCCCACAATAGTTTCAAACAGTGTGCTTTCATCAGTAACCAATATCATCTCTATTGTTTGCAAGTCTCAACAGAAACTGACACGTCCCTATTAGTTGAGTAAGAACTAAGAACTGGAAATACTTCAAGACTACATTTTCTACTAGTGCCTCAAGTAAACCAGAGCTTGACATTGGAAAAAGAAAAGATACTACAGGATCCAAATCAAGAGAAAGGAGAAACAAATTATATACCTGTATCAAGACAAACGGTTTACGTGATAGACCAGCCTGCAAATAACAAACTGTATAAATTAGCACTGCGTCCCTGGGAAGTACCTTTAAATCCTAATTTGTAATTTAAGTACATCTATTTTTTTTAAAGTGAAAACTCACATTTATAGCTTCCATTTGTGATGTGTTAAGAGTTTCTTCAAAATGTCCACGAAGAGATTCAGAAACTTTCCATGACTGGTCTTCTGAACCAATTCTGTCTGTTGCTTTTATGATTAAATCTTTGAATGGAAGAGAGCCAATTGACCGCAAAGCTATATATTCACGTGAAATGGTTGACAAACTGCATATCTACAAAATAAACTTGCATACTATGAGGTGTACCAAAATCAAGCGGCACGCAGAAACAAGTTATTCCCTGGATATTGTGTGTATATAAGTAATGGAAGTTGAAGTATTGATAGAGCACTACTCAAAGCATGCACACTTCTTCTCAAGACATGTCAAGTGTGCTTATATGTTTCCATACTTCTGAAAAACCAAACAGGTCCATTCTTGTCCAGAAACATAAACGATCAAGGGTTCACAAGGTTCTTCAACGTGCCTAGGTTTTCCTGTGTCAAGAGTATAACCTTGACAACGTCCAGAGAAAAATAGATGCTAAATAATATTCATTTTCATCCATTTGATGGTATCATTTTGAATATGAGAAGGTTAAGCACTTTTTCGTATTAGCAGACATACCATCTAAGAAGATCACGACCTACACTTCAGAAACAACATCAGCAAAACAAAATTAGCAGCGGTGCTACCAGCCACAGTCTTACAGAAAAACATATCCATTCTTCCATTAACAATAAAAGCAAACTAGATGGTCCAGCTTCACAGTTGAAGTGAGTAATAAAAGGCAAAGATCGCATTGTTAAAAGTTGGAAAGGTAGTTAGTTACCTTTAAGCTGAATAAGGGCTTCTCTTGTGGCTTTACGGGAGCAGTAATAAGAGCCTGCATGTTTAACAGCCTCGGCTGGGAGTCAACATCATCGAAATTCGTGCTCTTGATTTCTCCAGACAAACACATTCTAAGCCTAATAATATCATGCTGGGTATGTTCCACCAGAGCATAAGCATATGCTGTTGGTTTGGTCTGCAATAGACAAAAGAAAAACCCACATACTATAAATCAAGGAAGATCCAGTGGACAGAAAACCAGGTTCAGGAAAGCAGAATTAGTACAAAAAGTTAGACGTATCCTTCACTTAGACACACAATCTTATGAACCACATTCTTTTCGCACCATTTGCTCAATAGTCGGCACACATCATTTCATTCACAGTAATCAAGGCTAAGATAATAGAAAAAGAACAGACTATCAAAGCTAATAGAAAAGAAGACAGCACAAACGCCAGAAAAGAAGCAAAGATGTCCAAACTCCAAAGCATAAAAGATCTGTAATGGCCTGGTGTCAAGCTGCTAGAGCACTTCATCAAAAGCATATCTGTTAAGAGAAAAGTTCAAAATTGAGTATCATTACCTTCTCTTTCGAAAGAAGTAGCAGATCATTTTGGGAGATTCTCTTTTCCTCGTTATCCCCAAGAGTAAGTGCTACCTGGAAAAACCCTTCCACTTCATTACACTCCGTCACCAGCCTCATTTCCCACTCCGTCACTACAATGTACCCCCAAAAAACAAAATCAAGTCAAAGTCTCAAGTGATTACAGGCAGCTACACGGAACTGAGCTAAGCTTAAGCTTAAGCAGAATAATAAGTAACCTTCTTCGTCATCTTTCTTCTGAGTAATATTGGCTTTGACTTCCTCGAACAAGAGCGGCTCGAAGGTGGAAAGGTAATCATCAACGTCTTTGTAGGAATTCTTCACTTCTTTCAAACCCGCCGCGTCCTTCTTTCCGTTGTCTTTCTTTTTCTTCTGCCGGGTAGAAGCAGGAAGATTGAAGTTCGCCAAAAAAAGAAAAACGATAGTAACTGAAAGGGAATGGAGGAGGGAGACAAGAGTGGAGGTACCTCGGCGCCGGAGACGAGGCGAAAATGGTCCCAACCGAGCACGATTTTACAGAAACGGTTGAAGGAGACTTCCTCCTGAAGCTTCTCTTTGTCCGCGACCACCATTCCGCGCGCCTTCCCTTGCTTTGCTCAGGGAAGAGAGAAGGAACGGCGGCCGGGAACGGAGATCGTTAATTCAGTTCGAGTGGTTTCTCTCAGTTATGTCGCCGGTGGAATTGCGTTTCGGGTTTTTGCTCTGGGGTTCAGGGCGGGGTTTGTAGAACGTTTTCTTATAGGAACGGAGGAAACTTACAGTTTCGCACCCGAACTTCCATTGAGCTCACTTTCCAGTCCCATAATTTCTCTCACGTTGAGGTGTGTGAATTATGGTGGAATTTTTTCCTGCCAACCCCTAATATATTTTGCAAATTCCTCGTTAACGTGGTGCCAACCTCCCATAAAACTAATACTACGTAGAATCCAGTTAGGTCGCTACGCCTTCATAAGCAAGCAGAGACGCGCAAAGTAAAACCAAGCTGATTTAATGATAACTTTGGACAATCAAATGTAACTGATTTCTGTCTGAATGTTGTGAGCAAAACATCAAATTCATTCAGAACAAAATTCGTAGCCACAAAATTCGACGCAAAATTCTCTATGCTGCACATCCTAGTTCCCGATAGAATTCGATTGTATGTACTCGTCTTGCTCAGATGCTCGAAAGGCAGATTTCACAGGTTATCTGGACGTCACGTCAGTGCTCTAAGTAGAAGACATATTCTGTCAAGCGCTGCAGCTTATCTGAGTCCAGTTTCTGCTCCACGGCAACAGCCTGCTTCTTCACCGTTAGCATCTGAGAAGCAGAATCAAGAATCCACCCTTGGCCCACCACATCTAGAAATTGGCAACAAAAAGTTCATTCGTTCGATACAAACCAGTAAAATGGAAATTGCAGAACTTTATCCCTCTAAGAACAGGTCGGGATTGCAGGAACTATGCATATAGAGAGCGGGGTGGTGTCCAAACCTAATACACGAGTATAAATGATAAAATCATAAACCAAGATTCTTTAGTGATATTTGAAGTTTTGTATACTGGTATTATTAGGCACATAATGGAATCCCAAGATATAGGGATACAACAGATGTTGATTGATAACAACCGTGGACTTTTCACAGCACATAATGGATTTTCCATAGGTATAACTAAAAGCTTAATACTAGCGGGTCAAATATCCATGTTTTCTTGGAACGATGCCAGCAATTCTTGGAAAGCGAAAATAAGAAGAATCAAGTCCAATAAGTAACAATGAATAAGATTCAGAAAAGGATCTTACACTTTGTAGCATCATCCTCATTCATCCCCAAAAAGAGAGCTGTGTCTTGGATGCTTATAGTTGAATAAGCAGACAACAGCAACCGGAAGATCCTTTGGCTATAAACCTCTGCCAATTATAGTAAATAACAGCATTAGCATACACATGATATCACAGACTAGGAGGAAAACAGGACAACTTTCGGTAATCATAAGCATCAACATACATCCCACATGAGCAAGAACTCAAATTCCAAATGTTTATGCACTTACGTCATACAATTTCTAAAGGTATATAGCCACAAAAGGCTGGAATAAGGTATCAACATCTCTATACCAGTCATCAAAGTACTTTGATTTCATAAAGGAACCGAAAAAGAACATGCACTAAAAACAAGAAATTGCTCAGTCCTCCAGGATTTGTGTATTGATGTCTCTATAATAGTCCGACGATGGTAAGGACTGTAGCCTTTTTTTAGCAGGGAAAATGAAAGTTCATGCAGACAGGAGACCGAAAAAGTTCGTAATGAGGAAAAGGAAATCATAACGAACTAAAAACATGATTGGATGGACTACGAAACCTACCTGCAAATGCAGCAACAAGAGGGCGAGTCTGTTCGCTCCAATCAAAATGACGAACAGCCTCGTGCACACCAGAATAATCGTGCGTCCACAATTTCTGACCAATGTTCCAAGCAGCAGCAACTTCTTGCTGTCCCTCCTTGATCGTCGAAGGGATTGATTTCCACAGAAACCGAGCACTGTTACTGCAAAACCCAATACAAACCTAGTGAATCCTAGTTCATCATCCGCAATGCCAAGCTGAGGATAACATCAAAGGAACAAAAAACAAGGGTTTCTGGCATCAACCCTCGGGCACAAAATCCGTCTAAGAAGTAAAAATAGCGCAGGCGAAGGGATTCTTACACATCATTAACGTAAATATAACCGAGAAGATGAATCGCATAGGGCCACTCGTCTTGAAACGGAACCCCCTCAGCTGCAGCCTGTTGACAGAGACCAGACACAAAATTTCCAAACGAGAAAGAAAGACTTAGGGATTCGGCGAGAAACAACCAATTGAAGAGCTGAGGACAGGAACAAAAGTTGAGAAAATATTTACCTTGAGCATGAGTTCATCGCAGAAATCAGCAACCTTATCATAGGATTTGGCGGTCAAGGCGTTGCTGAGAGGAGTGAAATCCATGGCTGCTTTCTCCAACGTGCTTTCCGTGCAGCTCCGTCGAGTTTGACACTATGGTACTGGGAGTATCTAAAATTGTTTTGCCGGACGAAGAAGAAACACTTTGAACAGCACTCAATAACAAACGACGCCGCATCATATGTGGTTCAATCTGGTCACCGCCGGTACTCAAACGGGCCAATCCGGTACACAACTATCCCAAATCCAGCCCATAGGCTCAGAATCGCGGGCCCAAATTGACGGTTTAAGATAATCGGCTTCCGTCGTATTTTGACAAAACGGCCGGAAAGCAACACCAAAGTAAACACACGCGTAGGAAATCAGCGAGCTGAGAGGGAGAGGGAGAGAAAGAGAAAGACGAGAGCGAGACAACTGTCATAGTCTTCTTCGTTATCCCCTTCCCGGCCCACTCACCACTCGCTATCTAACTCCCATCTCCCATCCACCAGATCATCTGTTCTCCTCCGCCTCCTCTCTCACTCCTCAGATCCCTCATCCCGTCCGGCGATTTCTCCCCATGGCCACCGCCGTTCTCGAATCCGTTGTCGTCCCTCGCCCCTCTTCTTCTCTTCTCAGACCTTCTTCCTCCTGCCTTGGCGGCACCGCTTCTTCCTTTCTATCTCCATGCCCTCGATCCCTCCCTTTCCCCACCGCCAGAGGTCTCAAACTCGCATACCCGGCTCGCTCCTTCCGATCCCTCACCCCCACTCCACCTCGCCGCTCCTCCATCGTCTGCGAGGCCCAGCAGGAAACCGCCACCGAAGGTCTGCCTGCATGTCCCCTTCTCTCGATCCTCGATTAAATTGGACTAATTAGGGTTTGTGAATTCTCAATTCTGTCTTTTATGGTGCAGTCCCGGCAGTTACAGACGGCGACTGGCAGTCCGTCGTCATCGAGTCGGAAACCCCGGTCCTCGTGGAATTCTGGGCGCCATGGTGTGGCCCCTGCCGGATGATCCACCCAATCATCGACGAGGTGGCTAAGCAGTACGCCGGGAAGCTGAAATGCTACAAGCTCAACACCGACGAGAGCCCGTCGGTGGCGACCCAGTACGGCATCCGGAGCATCCCGACTGTGATGATCTTCAAAGACGGGGATAAGAAAGATGCGGTGATCGGAGCTGTGCCCAAGTCCACCCTGACCACCTCCATAGAGAAGTTCTTGTAGAGGGTTCTTCGGTAAGTGTTTGGGAGGAGTAATGGCAGTGAGCCTGCTGCTGGTAGCTGGCTATTTGTGGGTAATAGTTCACAAGAACGTGGTTATCAATCAGTCTGCAATAAAGTCTCTTGTTTGCTCGTGTACAGCATTCTGCGTTCTTCTCTGTGTGCCCAACTGCCCAATTTACCATTATTAGATGTAGATGATATATTAACTCCCCACCATTATTAGTGTTATTACCTACTTGAATCACTCTCTGTTCTTTGGTAGATTGCTGGTTTGTTATAAATTGGGAGGAAGCTTCTCCATTGCTCTTTTACAGATCTTGGTGGTGGTGGGTTAGGTTGGTTCAGTAATGCATATATACTAGACCTCCCATCTCTGTAGTAATGCATAAGGACTTCATGAATGGAAGGGGAGTCTTCATTTCTCATGAATTCTATAAGGATTTCATTCCTTCTTATGAGTTTGTTATCAACAACAAGCATTAATCACATCAACCACTAGCCTAATAGAGAGAGATTCAATGAAAGAAGGAAACTAACCATGAGTGGTGAAGTGATGCACTTCTCGACAGCAAGCAAGATACCTTCCTTCGTGTCCAACACCTTCCTTCGCATTCAATCCAAAGCGTTTTGATGATCTAAAAGTGTACAATTTTACGCATATAAGTTTTAAAACACGATTTTGGCTACACTTATAAATGAAAAACACAATTCTATCGTAATTGTGCAGTATAGCATAGCTCTAACAAATCTTTATTGAATCTAACTGGGTCTTGACTTGAGTCACAACTCACAAGAGAGAAAGAGAAACTAGCGTCTCCAGGGCCTAGGCCCGTTGTTTCATTGCCGCTCCGGGCCTGTATTGCGGTCCATATAACTTTGTTTTCCCCTGGTAGAGATCCATATAGTTTTTGGCCTTTTCTTCGAAGAATTGAAATTCTAACTCGTGGAAGTTTCGAACCGAAACGGGACCCACATGAACACGCGCGTCCTATTCTTTCCAGGTGCCTCAGGCCGTCGTGCACGGCACAAATGGCGTTTCCGTTTCCCTCTTCCTTCCTTCTCTCTTCTCTTCCTTCCCCACCTCCACCACCATCTCCGCCGTGCCGGTGCGTCTAACCACCGCGCACAGCCTGCATCGTATCCAGTTTATCAAACCATAAATTCCCCACCTCCAATCCGAACAAAAAGCCGGCCTCACGTGATTCTTCTCGGTTCTCCGCCCGCACGGCGCGCCTCTTTCAATTTATTAAAATTTCCGCCGCCACGGTTGGGCTCTCACATGCATATGCTTTTTGAAATTCCGAAAGAACGATGGACGAGGAGAGCCAACAGCAGGGGATCGGCACAACGGCGGCGAAAGCGATGAAGCTATCTTCGCGGTCGCCGGTCCTCGTGCTGGCCGCCGCCCTGGCAGCGCTTCTCTGTTTCCAAATCACGACGAGAACCGTCTACCCGATTTGGGTGGACCGGACCCGGGGATGGTTCGAATCGGATTTCCCACTAGACGCCGAAAGCTGTTCTGGGTTCTATGGGAGAATCCCGGCTAGGAAGACGGTGATGTCGATTACTGATTTCGGAGGGGTCAGCGATGGGGAAACGTCCAACACGGAAGCGTTCCGGAAAGCTGTTCGGCACATGCAGCGGTTCGGGTTGGACGGTGGATCGCAGCTGAATGTGCCGGCGGGGAGGTGGCTCACCGGCAGCTTCAACCTGACCAGCAATTTCACATTGTTTCTTGAACAAGGCGCTGTGATTCTGGGTTCTCAGGTAACCCCAGTTCAATTTCGTTTCTCCTTTTTAACTTTATTTAGATTTTTGGGTTTGTATGCTATCGATTTTGGTTTTTGGACGGTCTGCTTTTTGTCGTCTTTTCCCCATTGTTTATAAAAGCTTCTTTCCGGTAAGATCTTGGGCTCTTTTGGATCAAAGTGTTGTCCATTTCTTCCTTTTCCTTCACGAGGAAATGCAGAGGGATTAGATTAGAATAGATGAGATTAGATTTAGATGGATGATGACAAAAAGGGAAGTGCAATTTGTGAGCATTTGTTGGCCACCGAAAGGAAATGAAAGCTCTGGCTGGGAGACGACGATTCGAGCTTGTGGTGTATGGTTCCTTCTTACTATTGCGGTTCTTGTTAGACTAAAGGCCATGTGAGGTTTGGAAGTGGAGTTTGTCAACAGGACCAGATTCACGAGCGGGCTTTGGAGGCTACTACTATAGAATAACTCTGTTCACATGGCTCTCCAGTTTAGTGCTCTAGACGTGGTAAAAGGGTAGTGTGCTGACTGTTGGGGTTTTTGTCTGTAGCTTCAGTGTTGGGGTCATGGTAAGAAATGGGACTGCCTTTGTTTCTTGCTTTGCAAGTCTTTTTGGAAGAACTTTGTCTCAAAGAATCTGGAAAATGAGATGACTTGGACCCAAAGGGTGCTGCTGTTGACAGACTGTTTCAAAAGTGTGCTGCTTTTTTACTCTGTTTTGTGTATTTTCAGGACCCAAAGGAATGGCCTATAATAGAGCCATTGCCTTCTTATGGAAGAGGGAGAGAGAGATTGGGAGGGAGGCATATTAGCCTTATTCATGGAGATGGTCTCTTCGATGTTGTTATAACAGGTATTCGAGGCACTTCCCGTCTTAGATTCTTTGCATAGTTTCAGTTCTAGACTCCATTGAATGAAAGGAAAGACTGCATTTTGTCTCTTACGCATTCTCTGCCATCCTGTAGATTCTGCTAATGTGCCCTGTTTCTTTTCCTACAAATATTTCAAGACGAGATTAGAGGATTATGATTGCTGTATCAGATATAGGTTCTAAGCAACTTGTCTATCACATGTATGTGATGTTATTCGCTAAGATAGAAATCAAATCTAAGCAACTTATGTGTCTTACCCTATCTTACAACTTCTAAACTTGATGCCCTTTTGGAATTACTTTGTGCTGCCATGAACTAAACTGTTTTACTTTTACATTGCCAAGATATCACTCAACCATGATTACCGGGACTATTGTTGTTCATTTGAACCACAGAATCAAATGCAAACTGCATCTTTTGTTAAATGTTAAGTTTTAACTCTTTCAGGACAAAATGGAACCGTTGATGGTCAGGGGAAAATGTGGTGGGACTTATGGTGGAATAGAACATTGGAGCACACAAGGGGACACCTTGTGGAACTAATGAACTCCCACAACATCCTCGTCTCAAACCTCACCTTCCGCAACTCTCCGTTTTGGACTGTACATCCAATTTACTGCAGGTGGTTTTTCCAACCTCATCTTAGCTTTCATTACGGTTCTCCTTGTGCTACATAATTGATTAATGGTCGTACTATTGATGAGTTGTTACCAGCTGTACATTAGCACTTTTGTACATGTTTTATTAGCATTTTGAAGTTGATAACTGATACTGGTGGCCCTGTATTTTGGTTTAGTAATGTTGTGATCAGAAACATGACAATCTTGGCGCCACTTAATGCTCCAAATACTGACGGGATAGACCCAGGTACTCCGCCTGTCCTTTCGATATTCAATTCTGTAACCTGCTTCTTTCTGAGCCATAATGATTAAGAAAAGTGAAAATTTGGTAAAAAAATGTTTTGGCCTTCAATTTATTTTTCATGTAGATTCTAGCACAAATGTATGTATTGAGGACTGCTACATCGAGAGTGGGGATGATCTTGTAGCAGTGAAGAGTGGATGGGACCAATATGGTATCAAGACGGCCCGCCCAAGCTCCAACATAACAATCAGAAGGATCTCTGGCACCACCCCTACCTGCTCAGGCATCGGAATAGGGAGCGAAATGTCCGGAGGCATTGCCAATATCACGATCGAGGACCTGCACGTTTGGAATTCAGCAGCCGGAGTGAGGATAAAAACCGACATAGGCAGGGGAGGATACATTGCGAACATAACCATAAGAAATTTGATCATGGAGAAGGTGAAGATACCGATCAAGCTCAGCTGGGGTTCGAACGATCATCCTGATGAAGGGTGGGACCGGAATGCAATTCCCACCGTGAAGGGAGTCAGAATCAGCAACGTGCTCAGCTTGAATTCCACCAAAGCTCCGCAGTTGCTGGGCATTCAGAATGCTCCGTTTTCCGGGATATGCCTCAGGAATGTCACGACGAAGTTGTCATCGTCGTCTCCTGCTTCGTGGCACTGTGAGTTTGTGTCCGGTTTTGCTCAGGACGTGTTTCCACTGCCGTGTCCCGAGTTGCTGCAGAAAGACGTCTCTGGGTGCTCCTAATTTTTGTTTCACAACTTTGTTTTCCTTGATTCTTTTTTCTGTTGGTTTCTGAGTTTGATAGATGCACATGAAGGATGAGTAGTCACATTTCGATACGTGATTGCGGAATCGTGTAGTTTACGTAGAACAGACTAAGAGTATAGACAGAGTTACTGGTATGCCATAGATGTATAGCGATTGATAATGCACATTCAGGCACATTCTTACTGATTTAGATGGTATGAAAGGAAAATGCCAGAGAATACTTCATAAAAATAATACAATGGACGAGTTTGTTAAAATTTAACCATGAGTGACCAATTTGTTAATAACTCTAACCGCCAATGGCCGTTTCTGTAATTGACCTGCAAGGAAGGATACACTATTAGAAATGTCTGGGGCTCTGGGCCAATCGTCTGGAAGTTGGGCTGTATCATGAATAGGCCTTATGCCAAAAGCCCATTAATCATTTGATATCGCATGCTAAACCAGCAGAAAGATGAACGGAAACTACTGGAAGTTAACAACTCTAAACAGTAAACAAACAAATCTTTCACTGCTGGCCGGAGTGTAGCGAAAATGGGCCGACACCGGGACGGTTCTGTCTCCGAGAGAGACGAGCTGGAAGAAGATCGTAAATCGAAAAGCAGAGCTCGGGGAAACGACGACGTGGATTCTCCGGATGCCGGTGACCGAAAGAGCGATGGCAAACACAGAAGGAAAAGGTTAGCGGAGGACTCTTCTGATTCGGATTCCGGAAAGGAACGGAAGCGCAGGCGCAGCCGGAAACACAGTGGAAAGCGAGAGTCTCGAAAGCGTCGCAGCGACGAGTCGGATTCAGAGTATTCCGATAGCGAGGAGTCCGAGTCATCCGAGTCGCTCACTGAAGAAAGCGAGAGCGAGGAGGAACGGAAGAGGAGGAAGCGGAGGGAGAAGAGGAAGAGGAAGGAGAGGGAAGAAGAGAAGGAAAGGAAGAGAAGAAGAAAAGGAAAGAGAAGCGGAAGAAGGAGAAAGCAGAAATTGGGAAGAGAGGTGCTGTTACTAATCTATGGGGGAAGTATGGGATTATCAGAGAAACCGATATGTGGTAACTTACTCTATCGTTCGTACTTTCTTCCAAATTTCCTGCGCTTCTTTCCTGTTCCATGATTTTGAACTTGGAAATTGGCTTGTTAGTATTTGGTTGGTTAGATTCTTGTGGGTGGTTGGGAGGGTTTTCATTAGGGTTTCTGGCTCATTTTAGGTCCTTGTTTCTTGGAAAACTTGATTTGATCTTCCAAGTCTTGCTGCTCAGCCTTACATAGTGCCGAGAAGAATTAGCACTTGTTTCTGCTTCATGGACTCTGATGGTGCTACCTTCTTATGTTAGCAATGGATTGCTGCTACCCTGACATATCGAATTGCATATGGGAAAGCATCTGGTTTTGTCTTCACTGTTGTTCTTACTAATCCAATCTCCATTTTGCAGGAATAAACGTCCTGAATTCAGTGCATGGTTATCTGAAGTGAAGCAGGTATGTGTTGCACATTTTTAGCTTTCCATCTTTGGCTTATGTTCTATAGTTCTATCTCCTATTCTTATCTCATAGTTGGAGGATAAAGAAAGATTGTGTTCTGACACTTGATATACATGGTGCCTACAGCATTATAGGCTCTGCAATGATCAATGTTTCTCGTTGTTTTAGAGTACCTCCTTAGTACCTTCTCATTCTACCCATTTCTTTCTTTTGAAGCTTTTCTTCAATAAGGCGAGTTGATATTTATGTTTGAGTATGCATGGTAGATGTTGTCAAAAAAAAAAAAAAAAAAAAAGTTGTAAAAAAAAAAAAAAAAAGAGTATGCATGGTAGATGGTAGTTAGGTTTGGCTTGATGGTTGTTATTGTCATCAGCTGATTGGAAGGAAATGAAATCTGAAAGCAGCATTCACGTTAGGATGTTCTGATGACTATGGTTATAATCAATTAATTATAGTGTGGTGCATTTTTTGTTTGCGTTTTTTAGGTGAACCTTGAAACTCTGCCGAACTGGGAAGAAAAGCAGATGTTCAAGCAGTAAGTGCACATAGGCACAACCTTGATGGCTGTCATTGGATAAGTCTTTCCTGTAAAGAGCAAATATACATGGGAGAGCTTCTCGGTTCATTTATCATCAATCCAACTGATATATAACAAAACATGTCTGCAGATTTATGGAGGACCACAATACTGCTACCTTTCCTTCCAAGAAGTAAGGCTCTAACTATGAATAGTGTTTGCTTAATTTATCCATTCACTGCAAAAAGGAGTTGCCTCTTTGTGAGAATGTAATGTCATCAAGTCTTTTGCTTCATTACCTAATTAGCCTGCAACTCATGTTCATGGCCCACTGATTCTTCTCCGCTACCTGTGAACTGGACTCCTGAATCAATCAAATTGTCGGGGTAGCGTGCCTGTAGGATACAGTTTAATTCTTTAATTCAAATGGGCATTATACTAATAAATGTTCTGAACTATAGGTATTATGATCTTGATGCCTATTACAAGCGCCAAATGTTGAAGGAATTGAAGAGCGGTAAAAAGGTCCAGGAAACTGAACGTACCATGTTTAATGATGAAGAACTAAAGCGGTATGTATGCTCTACTACTTGCAATTCCATTTGCATAATTTGTTTGATCTTTGAGATGGCCTGTACCTACCTGGTTGGTTCTCAATCTCAACCATAATGCCTTCTTTTGCTGGCACTGATGTTAGTAAGTCCAAAAGTTTCCATTGCACCCCATCATGTATCTATTTTCGAGTCACATGCTTAATTAGAATAATAATGTCCTTTCTGTAACTGCAAATGGATTTACATTTTTATCACTTCTATCTTCTGGGTATGCTCTGAACTACTTGGTCTATGAGTAAGTTTGAACTTAAAAAGTACAGCGACTGCATTTCATCCTAAAACTATCCTGTGTCCCTTCCCCGTCAGGAAATACTGCTCCTTCCTCCCAGCTCCTTTTTGCTCTCGTCCTCACCTTTCCCTTGATTTTTGGTGCATATTTGTTCACAGGCAAGAGCAGATGCGTGAGCGAGAAAAACAGAAGGAAAAAGAAGTCGAAGCATTAAAGCTATCTATGCAAAGCGGAATGGTTAGCAGCCTTCATTATCGAATTCTTGATTTCGATTCTCTTAATATCCCTGTGCATTCTGTGTACCAATTAAGATGGATTATGATCTTGATCCAAAATCTCTGGTTGGCAGGCACAAGCCATGAAAGACCAAGCACTGCTTCGGGAAGAGATGGCATATCAGTATAAGATCGGCAACTACGAGGTGAGCCCACAAAGACGTTCCATTTCCGAAATGTGGTCCAATCATATTGATCAAAGGCTAAAGTGTATCTTCGTGACATTTTTTTCGTACAGGCTGCAGCAGCAATTCAGCGGAAGCTGGAGCCAGATCCCATTTAAGGTACTCATCATTCCATCCTTGCCGCCAAGATGGAGGCAGAGAGTTATTAGAACTAGAACTTATAGAGTCTGATTTAGTAAAGGGGATGTAGAGCTACATCTTATTCCGGGATGGGATAAAAAGATGAATGAGAAAAACCCTACTTGTTTGATGATTTGATGCTGTTGTTCAAAGCTCGAATGCTCTCATATTAAACTCTACACATTTTTGGTACTGTAGCCGAGTAACTGGAAAAACAGATTGGATATAGAGATTGCAGGTACTATTCATTTTCTTCCCCTGAATCTGTAACTTTCCAACAAAGGAATTGAAATTTGAAACCACCAAAATCCAGCAAAAAGAATGTGACTAAACACTCACAGCACACAAGATTTCATGGACCCTATTCGCGTCACTTATTTGCAGACAAACAAGAAACGAAGAGAAGGGGAGCAATAGTGGTAGCCTCAGTTGCGATCATCATTTCTTCCCTTTGCTTCCTTTCTTCACCTCAACAACCTCATCTTCGTCGTCGAGAAGATCTTCGTCGTCGAGATCATCTTCGTCAATGTCGTCAAAATCCTCCTCATCGTCGAGTAAACCCTCGATGTCGGAGTCCTCATCATCATCGTCCTCGCTCACCGGCTTCCTCCCTCGAGCCAACAGCGAGCCGTCCAGCTTCTTTCCGGAAGGGGTGAACCTCCAGCTCAGGAGCTTAATGTCCCAATCGACCGCGGCGGAGTCCAGGCGGGCAGCTCCGGCGGCGACGCCGAAGCTGTGGGAGGATTGGTCTTGGGACAGGACGATCTTCGTGCCTCTGTTGCCGCCTGCCGCCGCCCTCCTCAGTCTCGTCTGCGAGAGGATATTGGCTTCCACGGAGGACGACAACTCACAGGGCACGCCGCCGCGACGGAGGATGAGATGAAGCGGCGATAGTTGGCCGCGGGATTTCTGGAGTTGAATCAGCTTGGTCGCCATGGTGCCGGACCTGCTTTCTTTCTCTCTCTCTGTGGCTGACTTTGCTGTGTGTTTCAGTGGAGGCGAATGGGAGGGTTTTGGGGATTTGGTGCGTTTTATATAGCTCAGGGTTTAGGGTTTAAGCGAAGAAGACGTGTCATAGCAGCAAAGAGTTAGCAAGTTGTTCGCCTTTTTTGGCCTATTTTTTAATTTGTTTTTTAAATATTGTTTTTATTAGTTTATTTTGCTTTTTTTTTTGGGGTACAAATTAGTTTATTTTGCTGAAGAGGAGAAAATATGGAACGGGCCTACGAAATGGAATAGAAATTAAGTGTGGATTATGGCTAATAATGGGCCGGGCGCCTATAAGCATCCAGCCCACAATTGGGCTCCTTCCGGTTTTTTTATTTATCTTGCGGTCAATATCCGATAAAATTGGAACGAAATTCTTTGTTTTTGCTCGAATATCTCACATCACAATTGTAATGTTTTTTAATTGTGCTCGACAACAACTTGAAGCTTTATCATTGCTCCGCAGCACTATACTACGCCCCCTCTCATGATAGAGGTTTAACTTTTCGAAGAATTCAAATATTCTTTATAGATTAAGTTGTTCTCGCAACTCGCGCAAGACATAAAATTGTATACATTTCCTTAGTAAGATGTAGTTGCTCCACCTGCAAAATAATTATTTACTTACCCACATAGTAAAACTATCGCTAAAATTTTTTGACGATGAACAACATCTCGATGAAAATGCTTACATATTTCGAAACCAACTATCTTAACTCAGAAAATTAAAATTGCATATCCGTCATTTTTTTTCTTCCCCTTTGTGCAAACAGGCCCTTAGTTATTTTATATTATCATCCAACTACTTGTTAAATATTATCTTCAAGCACCTACCATGATATCTTACGGCTGCGTCCTCCATATCCACGGTTGGCGGCTTAAATAATTATTATTAAAAAAAAAGACGACGATGACATTGACATGAATGAAATCAATTATTGAGTCACCAAAAAAAAATCAATTATTGAGTCGTTCGTGCCTGGCGACTGTTATCGAAATCTGCCTTTTCCCATTTCCCAGTCTTCGAACCATCTACTCTCTCGGAAAAATAAGCAGCTTTTCTCCGGCGCCACCGGCGCCCTCGTGAGTGCGTAATCGATGGCGCCGGTTATTGGGCCTGAGGAGGGGAACGGGCCTGGGCCGGGCTCTTCGACGGAAAAGTACTCATACGAGGGCCAGATGACGCGGTACGTGGTTGGGGCCTGCCTCGTCGCAGCCATGGCGGGCCTTCTCTTCGGATACGATATCGGCATCTCCGGTGAGCATAATTTACTATGTCTAATTTCTCTGTCCCTCTGAGCAGTGGAGTTAATTAATTAGTGTGAATATATATATATATATATATATATATATATATATATATATATATAGGAGGCGTGACGTCAATGGGGCCGTTCTTGCGGAATTTCTTCCCGTCCGTCTACGCGAGAGAAGCTGCGGATAAATCGACGAACCAGTACTGCAAGTTCGACGACGTCGGTTTGACGATGTTCACGTCTTCGCTGTACTTGGCGGCGCTGGTCTCCTCGCTCGCGGCTTCATGGGTGACCAGAGAATTGGGCAGGAAAGCTTCCATGGTTCTTGGAGGGTTCGTGTTTTTCCTCGGGGCTGCCCTGAATGGATTTGCTGTCAGCCTTTGGATGCTCATTCTCGGCCGCCTTCTCCTCGGCATCGGCGTCGGCTTCTCTGTCCAGGTAAGCAATTGAAAATACTCAGTTTGACTTCAAGGTTAATGAAGTGGTGGCAGCCAGCTGGTGCATAGACCGACTCCATTAGTACGATATTGTTCGTTTTGTATTATCTTTTGCAAATTTCAAAATTTTAGGCGTCAGATAAGGATTCACCAAAACTAATGCCATTGCTTCAAATTTGCACACTAAAGCCAAACAACACAAGGCTAGATACCACCTGTGAGAGATCAAATAGCTCCACTAATATTGTCCGTTTTTTGGTCAGGTTCTCATGGATTTATTTTTGGATATCCTACCCAGAAAGTTTCACTAATAATAGCTTCACTAATAATAATCTTTTTTACTGATGGATCGGGATAATCAACAATGCAAGAAAGACAAAAGTTAGCAAGAAAAATAAAAATATACAAATTTACGCGGTTCACTAACACAACGTATGTTAGTTAGACCATGAACGAGACAGAGAGTTAGTTTCACTATACTTGATGACATTACATACCGTGGAACCTAGCTTGCTCCACCGAGCCTACTAATTAATCGGACGCTTCATCCTTGAACCCCGACTTGTTGACCAAACAATGAAATCCCGTGACTTCCAATCAACGACATATAATGTTATTCAAGTTATATCGACATGTACACTAATTTTCAATGGTTTTTTTTTCTTTATATTTTCGAACTTCGGATGCGATTTTACCCTAACATTTGGAATTTATAATTTAATTTCTAGCTTCCACCTATTTTTTTCCCCCCTCCTGTTTAACGTACAGTCAGCGCCGCTCTACGTATCTGAAATGGCGCCACACAAGCACCGGGGCGCACTCAACATCTTCTTCCAGCTCAGCATCACAATCGGGATATTATCCGCCAATCTCATCAACTACTTCACCCCAAAGATCACATCCTTCGCCGGATGGCGGCTGAGCCTCGGCGGCGCGTGCATCCCGGCCCTCTTCATCTTCATCTCCGCAATCTTCCTCCCCAACACTCCAAACTCAATGCTCGAGAAACCCGGCGGCCGGGAGGAGGAAGAACAAGCCCTGGCCATGCTCTGCCGCATAAGGGGCGTCACGCCGCAGCAGGCGGCGGCCGAGTTCCGGGACCTGGTCGCCGCCGCCAAGGCGTCCAGGGCGGTTGACGGCGAGCACATGTGGAGGAAGGTGCTCGGGAAGAGGCAGTACCGGCCGCAGCTGACGATGGCTGTCGTCATCCAGGCGGCGCTGCAGCTGAGCGGGATCAACGTGGTGATGTTCTACGCGCCGGTTCTGTTCAGCAGCATCGGGTTCGGCGACGGTGCCGCGCTGCTGTCGGCGGTCGTGACCGGGGGTGTCAACGTCGCCGCGACTTTCGTTGCTGTTTATGGAGTGGATCGGTGGGGGAGGCGGGCTCTGTTTCTCTACGGTGGAGCTCAGATGTTCGTTTTCCAGGTAAAATCTTCTTTACTAGAGTTATTCGGATGCTTAAAAAAAAAAAAAAGTTATTGAGCTATTGGGATGAACTAGTTTTTCATATGGGTATGAGATCTTTCTGTGACCAATGGCATAACCAATTTTAAAAAATGCGAGTCATGAATCTACATTAGTTCAGGATTAGAACGATAAAAATAATAATATTTGTACATAATTCATAATACTCAAACCCAATATTTCATATCCACTAGTTATACTTGCTTACCAACAAATTCTAGAAAACTTTGTGGCACGCATTTAAACTCTAGATTTTACATAAAATTGTGTCTTTAATTATTTATTCTGAGTTTTTTAATTGGTATCAAATTCTCCATCTTCAAATGAAAATCAGTCCACAAATTATAAAACGCTTTGTGAATTATTTAAATATCATTAACATTTGATTTATATATTTTTGTTTTCTTTTTACGTCAGACCCCACCTTTAGTAATATTTTGGCTATGCCACTTTCCGTGCTTGAAATATCTTATGTTCGAATCTAGAGACTTTCATTTATGAAGAACATGGTAATCTCATATTCAGTACCTACGCGTAGATCGATGAAAGCGCGTTCATGAGTTGATTGATTTCCGTTTTTAGGGGATATTAATGTGTGATATAAAATCTATTATTAAATCTTTCTCAATACCTCGAATTATAAGGATTGACACACATATGCAAAAAGGTTTTGGTGGCAGGGCTGATAGGATGGAAGTTTGGGGTCACCGGAGAGGTGTCGAGTCTGCCCAAATGGTACGCCGTCTTGATCGTGACATTAATCTGCGGCTTCGTTTCCGGCTTTGCCTGGTCGTGGGGCCCGTTGGGTGTGGTGGTGCCGGCGGAGATCTTCCCGCTGGAGATCAGGTCGGCGGCGCAGAGCATCGCGATCTCGACCAGCATGGTGTTCACGTTCCTGATCGCGCAGCTGTTCCTCACCATGCTCTGCCACATGAAGTTCGGCCTCTTCTTGTTCTTCGCCTTCTTTCTGGCCGCCATGTCTGTGTTCGTCTATTTCTTCCTCCCGGAGACGAAGAACATCCCGATCGAGGCGGTTCACCGTGTCTGGGAGAAGCATTGGTTTTGGAGGAAATTCGTCATTAGTGATGATGATCATTGATAATTAAGTTTAGTACAAGGCCTTTTTTTGGCACATGGGCAAGAACTATAGATATATGATCTTTTAGCTTAATCCTTGATTGAAAAAGTTTGATTGTAGCGCGATAAAAGGTTGGAATTTTGTATGGTAAGAAAAATAAAAATATGATAGTTTTTTTCTTTATCTGTATAATCCTGTCTATATAATCTTAATTTACTAAAGTGTCACACAATTTTTATAACTATAGTAAAGAGATATTATATTATCGTGGTAAGAATCGTATCATCAATAATAAATGGAGTCATACAATAAAAGTAGATTATATATCCACCTAATATTTTGCTAAAAAAAATATATGATCAACTACTATTATTTTGATTTAAATATAAAAAATAGTTCAGTTATGTCAATCATCACACAAGAAGTGACTGATGAGTTGACTTGAAATTTTGGTTAATAAATCATTCAATTGATGATTTTCAGAGAGTACTTACTGAAATCAAGATAAAACTCGCAAGCAAAAACTCGTAAAACCATTAAATTAAACCATTAAAATTTATGAATGATTTATGGTTTTACCTACATTGCTCAACAAGAAACAACCCACCGAAATTTTTTAGTAACCTCCGTTTGCCATTTTTGAGCCTGTATTGGCTCCATCGTTAACCACGCATCATGCTCAGCATATTGCCTTAATCTTAATTACGCCAAGTATATTCCCACTGTGTTGTTGCTTCAACCGTCATTCTTCCAAGGATTATATTATTGCCAACATAAACTCCGTAATTCTTGACGAAAGCACAAATAAGAATCCATTTATAGAAGAAAAAAAAATTAAAATTAATCAAGCTTTGAGAGGTTTGGCTGGTTGTATCGTTTCACATTCCCTGCCGATCGATGATGGTACTGTTGCCACGTATACAATTTCGGCGGAAGATCCATAGCCAAAGCAAGCCTGAATTAGAAGCACGATGAACTCATTGGTAAAAGCTAAGCAACATGAGAGTAATTTCTGTCATTAATTAATTATTATATATATAAGATTGAAACGAGATTGGCATTCCTTCATATTGATATTGCATTTGCACATGTTGTCCTTCTTCCATTTTACATGGCGCAAGTTGGGGACGATGATGATGTTGGTAATGGAGGTCGTGAAGATCTAGCAACGAGAGTACTTGAGGTTTGTTCGCTGTACGTTAATCAATCTAAAATTCGAACTCAGAGTGTGTGTCTGTGGTTTATTCTCTTGAAAGGGTTTTGCTTACAGATGCAAGGAACTCGAGGAAGGGAGAAACATTTACAGGGGAAGTACAGAGCGCAGCTGGTTTGCTGGATTCTTGGATTTGGATCCATCATTGCATGGAACGCCATGCTAGCAATTGGAGATTACTACTATGATCTGTTTTTTTTTTTTTTGATAACGAGGAACACCCTCCATATTCACCTCCCCCCCCAAATTCTTTCTCGCCATTAATCTAGTGGCATGCTGTTGATATTTGTAGCGTTTTTGTCGCACGTTTAAATCAAGTACGAATGTTGTGCGACTATCAGGATTTGGACAATGCACGGTATTTTTAATTATTAATATCATGTAATGAAAAAAAATCTTATTATTAGGATCGAGATTAATAATAAGTGTTATTAGCTAGGATCGAGCACAAGACTTTTTGCTCCATTCATGAAACAATCCTGTCTCAAGTCAATTTTGTAGGATTACCATCCTGCTAGGGTTTTCACCCTGGTCTACCAACCCTTTGCCCTTGGAACAATGGCGATTCTAACTTACAACGAGGCAAGGATCAACACAAGAAAGCGGAACATAGTGGGCTACCTATTGGCTTCTGCCAGCACTTTGATGCTGCTTCTTGTAAGACATATATATAATTAATTCCATCGCAATTATCAAATCTCCCTAATCGTTACACTAATCGTTGCTAGCTTGTATCCAACACAGCTGGATCTGGCCACTTCAGGCAAGGGAGGGATCGGACCTTTCGTCGGAATCTGTGCCGTCGTTGGTATCTTCGGCGTCGCAGATGTCCAGGTGAACGGCGGGATGGTCGGTGACCTGTCTCTTATGTGCCCCGAATTCATCCAGGTGCTGAAGACTTTACTCTCCCCAAACACGTTACACTTGCAAAATTCTTTCAGTAGTGCTTTAACGTCCGAAATGTGCACAGTCCTACTACGCTGGCATGGCTGCATGTGGCGCCATGACCGCAGGCTTAAGGTTGATCACGAAAGCAGCTTTCGAAAATGCTCGTTATGGCCTTCGCAAAGGAGTTCGTACGTTGAATCTCTTACCGCACAACGCATCATTATTGAATCCAAACTACTGAGTTTAATTTTGATTTCACATATATATATAGCTGATCTTCCTTTTGTTGCAGTATTGTTTATGGCAGTCTCGACATCCATGGAGTTCCTCTGTTTTTTGCTCTACGCATTCTACTTACCCAAAATCCCCATAGTTAACTACTACCGGAATAAAGCGTCCATGGAAGGATCCAAGACGGTGTCAGCCGACCTTAAGGCTGCTGGCATACACACACCAACTACCGATCAGGTAAACTGTAAACATATATACTTAAACGTCATAAAAATTTGTCACATCGATCATTCATGCACATAAAACTATTTATGCACATTCACATATGACCCAATTATCTTTTCATTGAACCTTACTAATTTAATTTCATCAATCAATGAACCGATTTTTTTCACACAATCTCACGAATCATATAATTGTATCTCGTCGACCGCTCTTTATATTGCATGCTATACGTGGATATTGAATTAATAATAGAGTGTGTCATTATTCTTTGTGTCACATAGTGTGACATGAAATTTCCTCTTTTTTAAAGGGAGAAAGAGGCTTCAAACCACATGTTCGACTAAGCAGCAAAGAGCTACTAATTCAGAACATGGATTACGCAACAGTCTTGTTTCTTGTTTACATGCTGACGTTGTCCATCTTTCCTGGATTCATCTCGGAAAACACTGGCACCCATCGTTTGGGTTCCTGGTAAGTACTAATGTTAGTTAAAATCGCGTTTTAAAACTTACGATTTTATGTTTTTAGGTCATCAGAACGCTTCCACACATAATCTTAGTTTTTTTTTTATAACTAATGTAGTTAAAAACTACGCTTTAAAGCTTAAAAACTTACAATTTTACGCTAGATTACCAAAACACTTCTATCGTAGAAACGCGTTTTTTATCACTACATTGGTACTAAGTATTTAAATTTAAAAAAAAAGTATTTAACACATATATGTTGGAATTGACCATCGTATTTAACACAGTACTGTTATACTCATCATTTTCCCCGACCGGCGGGGGCTCTTTTTGTTTCCTTGTCTCTCAAGGTACATGCTAGTTCTCATTGCAACGTTCAACAGCGGGGATCTGTTAGGGCGCTATGTCATTCTAGTGGAACGGATCAAGCTGAAGTCACGCAGGGGACTGATGACGGCAGCCCTAGCTCGGTTCTTGCTTGTTCCTGCATTTTATTTCACGGCCAAGTATGGAGACAAAGGATGGATGATTGCTCTCACTTTGGTGTTAGGCCTCACAAACGGCTACCTCACGGTTTGTGTCATGACCTCAGCGCCACAGGGCTACAAGGTAGGGTTATTATTTCCTCCTGACCATCGATCTCATGTCGTTGTTGCGTGCCTATGCGACCACGAATCTGTTAGTGTTGTGATATATGATCCACGATTGAACCTCTCCCAACAACTCGAGTTATTGGGATCAACTGGTTCTTGACAGAATCATTTTTTTTTTCAAGATTCGAGTGTATAAGATATACTAAATCTTGGACATTGAATCTTTGTGGATTGGCAGGGTCCAGAGCAGAATGCATTAGGGAATCTGCTGGTGTTCTTCCTGTTGGTCGGAATATGCGTCGGGGTCGTGCTAGACTGGATGTGGCTGATTGGAAATAAGAATGCCTTCTGAGAAGAGCTACGTACTTTCTCAAGATGGATTGGACTAGGCATTAGGTATAAGACCGGCAACGACGCAACGTTCCGTAAAAGAATGTTGTTTCTTTCGAACGAATTTTATTGTAAGCTAAGCGACGACTTTGGAGAGAGAATCAGTGAATCACAATTATGGATTACCTACGCTATGGTAGGTGTCGCTTCTGCTTGAATGTATTATGTATGCTAGTAAGGAAAGCCCGCGCTCCGGGACGGGCGGTAGTTTGCTATATGTGTTGCACTACATATAGCGATTTCTCGAAACAGGTACAGTTAGTGTGAGCAAACACATTAACGATGGAAAGATTTCCTTTGGGTGACATTATCTTACAGAGTTCATTAAAGCGTTGATTAATGGTTAATTACAAAACAACCACGCCGCATCAAACCAGTCTTATCTAACGACTAAAACCCAAACGACCTGCATTCCCCATAAAACAAAAGAAATGAACATAAAACACAGAACAAAATCGAAAATCATTTGCAAGGTCGGCAAAATTAATGGGGGGGGGGGGGGGAAACGATCTAACGACCCTCAGCATGATCGATAAGCGAAAGATAGAAAAATCAATAGATCAATAGGGGCAAGAAAAGTTTTCAGGGTCGGAGACTAAAAACAACGAACAATAAAAAAAAAACTAAGTTCATGTGACTCTAAGGGATAGGGCCAATTCTACTTGTTCTTTGATATGATTAATTTGCAAGGTCGACACAACGAACAAAATGGGTAAACGACGCTAACCATGATCTGGGCAAGCGACGAAACAGGTATGGCAACCAACCCGATCTAATGACTAAAACCCAAATGTCCTGCAACCCCCGAAAAACGAAAGAAATGACCATAAAATACGACACAAAATCGAAAACCATTTAGATCGACAAAACGGGGGAAACGGTGTGACGCCCTCAGTGTGATCGATAAGTGAAGGATGTGATCGATAAGTGAAGGATAGAAGAATCAATAGATCATTAGGACAAGAAAAAATTTCAAGGTCGTAATTGAAAATATCCAATCCCTAACGGTTCCAAAACCATTTGCAAGGCCGACACAACAAAAAAATCAGTAAAATCACTCTTGCCCTAAGTATCAAAAACCATTTGCAAGGCGGAGACAACAAAAAAAAGTAGTAAAACGAGCGTAACTGTGATTGATAAGTGAAGTAAAGACAAAATATTTGCTCGACCCAAAATTCTTGAATAGCGAGTTCAACTTACTTTATTGACTTAAGCGTGTAAAACTCGCTTACCCGGGTTCATCCCATTGATTTAAGAGTGTAAAACTCGTTGTTGACCCAATTATAAAAATCGAGTTTAACTCGCTTTAACCTGGTCGAAACCCATTGATTTGGGTTCAATTATGATTCAATTGTCATAAGTTAATTTATCAGAACCTTAATAGCATAAAATTAATTGATTAGAAGTTTAATGGCATAAAAACTCCTCCAGCAAGAGGGATGGGATATGGTGACAACCCCTAAGGGGGTTGTCAATCTAACAACCAAGGGTATTTTGGGTATGAAAAAAAACAAATTTATTAATTATTTATTTTTTATTAATAACACATTGAGAATTAAAAAATACATATTAAATACATGCATTTTTTTAGAAAAAACTAGACCCTACAATTAATACACTTATATATTTCTCTATCTCTCTCTTCTTTTTCCAACAGCCTCTCAGCTCCGACCACCAAATTTTCTCCGACCGGCATACTTTTTCCGGTGAAATCCTTCGATCAGACTCACTTCAGCCACCTGCAAAAAAGTACCACTTCGTCAGTGCACTAATGGTAGTGATTTTCGACTAGTGGTACGCTACCAGTGGTATGGTAAGCTGCGTACCACTACCACTGGTAGAGTACCACTAGCAATGGTAGCATACCACTACCATTGGTAGCGTATCACTAGAGATTAATGCAAAAAAAAAAAAAACCAGATTTGAAATCTGAAAAATCACAGATCTGGAAAAAAAAATCGGGGATGAGGAAAGTGGGAGGCAGGGGAGAGGCCGCGACCTCGCGGCGACGGTGGTGGTGGGAGATGGAGGGCGGCAGGAGGGTTGCGATGGGGAGAGGGTGATGGAGCAACGGTGGTGGGAGGCGGAGGGCGCGATGGCTGCGGCGGGAGGGCTGTGGCGATGGTGGGAGGCGGAGGGCACGACGACGGGAGGGTTGCGGAGGTGGTGAGAGGCGGAGGGCGTGACGGGTCCGCAAGAGGGATGCGGCGGCGGTGATGGAGATGGAAGAGATGGGAGGAAGAAGAAGAAGGTGTGATGGCGTGAGAGAGAGAGGAAAGAGAGAAGGTAGGGTTTTGAGTAAATTAATAAGGGATCAATTTTCAGTTTATTCTATTTAGCGCCGGAAGAATGATGTGCCCTGGAGTTTCTTTCGCAATGATGTGCCCTGGAAGAAACTTACTCTTGCAACTTTACTTTTTTACTTTGATTGGACACTTCCCGAAGAACAGAAATGCTTTGGAATAACACTCAAAAGACGATATTCTCTCCATCTGATTACAAAAACCATATGGTCTCATGCTTTGAATAGAAGAAGATCAAATGCCGATAAAGATACACCTTTTATTTTTGTGCTTTCTTTTGTTTCTTCGTGTGTAATTTTCTTACTCCTATCATTATGTTATGTATGGTGTACTTCGTAAAAGAAAATTCGTATAGTTCTACATACAAAGTCCTACTACTTTTAATGCTTACAACTCGAAAATGAAGTTTAGAAGCTAAATCCAAACACGAAGTATGAAACGGGTCGTAGAAAATAGAAATGCAATATAAACCGGAAAAAATTGTCATACTCGCCTCGCGTACGGACAATCGAACAAATCCAGCAGATTTTTGTTGTGACGCATCTTCACGGGACCTGCTCAACCACTCTTGGACCCTTGTCCCCGAGCAATAAAATACAAACAATTTGCATTGTAATAATACTTAACAGCATAAATCGTCACTTAGTACATTTTGGGACGCCTCACAATTTTGTCACTTATGCTTGTTTTTGAAAGGTGACAATTTAGGCTAGTACTAACTAATCAGTCTATTAATCTGTCTCCGTCCAAATTAGGTACATTATTCATCAATATTTTCAAGATTCATTTGTTCAAAAAGTTATTTTATACACTAAATATTAACATCTATTAATTTTAGATACCAAAACCTTAATTTGTACGTAAAACCCCAATAAAAAACTAGTTACTACAATATCCTTACTAATTGTGTTAATAGATGTGATGAATATTAACCCACATCACATCTCATGGCATCAGCAATCGAAGTAGAGGTGGCAAATGGATTAGATCCATGGATAAAAATGGATTTTTGGATTGGATCAAGTGGCATTGGTGGAATATCCATGAATCCAAATGACATCCTCAGCCTTGGACCAATATATAAAATGTGAAAAGTTTAGGTACTAAAATGTTGTAATGAAAAATTTCAGGTACCAAAACGTAATTTCCAATGATATTTTTCGTATAAAAGTTGAACTTTGGGTACCAAAATGTGAAATATAAAAAGTATAGGTATCAAACTGTAATTTGTATCCATGGATCCACCAATCCAATTGGATTTGGATCAAATGGATTGGATTTAAATGAATTGGATTAAGTGGATATCTTTAAATGAATTGGTGGATTGGATTGAGAATTACCACCACCTCCAGATCGAAGAGCAATTATATATATATATATATATATATATATATATAAGCTTAGTAGCGCGGTGGGTGCTTTCACCAATGAGTTTCACTGGCCATGGAAAACCTCATCCAAAAGACGATGCTCTACTCTTGCTCTTCCTTGTTCGGCATCCCCTTCCTCCTCACCACGCTAATTGCAATCATCCTCGCAGCCACCTTATTCATCGTCCGAAACCATAGAAGAAACCTATCCACAACCGCCGGTTCAAACTCGCCGCCGGGCCCATGGAAGCTCCCCATCATAGGCAACATCCACCAGATGGTCGGCGACCAACCCCACCGCCGGCTCAGGGACCTCGCCCGCAAACACGGCCCCGACGTCATGCGCCTCCAGCTCGGGGATCTCTCTTGCATCGTAATCTCGACCCCCGAAGCCGCCAAACTCGTCATGAAAACCCACGACGTAGCTTTCGCTTCGCGGCCCTATTTCCTGGCCGCGGAGGTGATCTTCTACGGCAGCAGCAACCTATGCTTCTCGCCCTACGGAGAGCTCTGGAGGCAGATCCGCAAGATCTACGCCCTGGAGCTCTTCAGCGCCAAACGAATCCAATCCTTCCGCCGCATCAGGGAGGAAGAGGTCTCCAATCTCGTGGCCCGAATCGCCGCGGGTTCTTCGACGTCAGGGAAGCCCGTGGACCTCAGTCGGATGCTGCCCACTCTGACGAGTGCCATAATTTCCAGGGCCGCATTCGGTAAGTCGCAGGAGCTGACCGACGCTGTTATGGGACAATCCAAGTACCACATCGGTAATACAAGGGAAGGAACCCTTGTATATTAGTGTCCACCAAGCTCATTAGTACGAGGCCTTTTGGGGAGGATACCCAAGAGTAAAACCGTGCGGGCTTGGCCCAAAGCGGACAATATCGTACTAATTGAGCGACCCGATTTCGACAAGTGGTATCAGAGCCTGGTTCGGTGCGGGGCGGTGGACGTAAGTTTGGTGGACCCTCATTCGGTGGCCTCGAGATTTGCGATCCGCGTTCGTTTGGCAGATCAAAGAGAGTTCTGCGTCTGGGCTGTTTGGTGGATCCAGGAGAGATCCACGTCTGTTTGGCGGATCATAGAGAGTTCCGCGTCTGGGGAAATCCTTGTACCGAGAAGCCCATCGATACAAGGTGTCTGGCGGATCAAGATAATCGCTGAGGTGAGGACACGAAGTTCGTGGTCCTTGACTTGAGGGGAGGATTGTTAGGGTACAATCCAAGTACCACATCGGAAATACAAGGGAAGGAACCCTTGTATATTAGAGTCCACCTAGCCCAATTAGTACGAGGCCTTTTGGGGAGGACACCCAAGAGTAAAACCGTGCGGGCTTGGCCCAAAGCGGACAATATCGTACTAATTGAGCACCCCGGTTTGACAAGTGGTATCAGAGCCTGGTTTGGCGGATCCGGGGCGGTGGACGTCAGTTCGGTGGACCCTCATTCGGTGGCCTCAGGATTTGCGATCTGCGTCTGGTTTGGTGGATCCACGAGAGATCCACGTTTGGGCTCATCTGGCGGATCGAGGGAGGTCCGCATTTGTCTGGTGGAGAGATCCACGTCTGTTTGGCGGATCAAAGAGAGTTCCGCGTCTGGGAAAATCCTTGTACCGAGAAGCCCATCGATACAAGGTGTCTGGCGGATCAAGATAATCGCTGAGGTGAGGACACGAAGTATGCGGTCCTTGTCTTGAGGGGAGGATTGTTATGGGACAATCCAAGTACCACATCGGTAATACAAGGGAAGGAACCCTTGTATATTAGTGTCCACCAAGCTCATTAGTACGAGGCCTTTTGGGGAGGATACCCAAGAGTAAAACCGTGCGGGCTTGGCCCAAAGCGGACAATATCGTACTAATTGAGCGGCCCGGTTTGACAAGAATCCTGAGGCCACCGAATGAGGGTCCACCGAACTGACGTCCACCGCCCCGGATCCGCCAATCCAGGCTCTGATACCACTTGTCAAACCGGGCCGCTCAATTAGTACGATATTGTCCGCTTTGGGCCAAGCCCGCACGGTTTTACTCTTGGGTATCCTCCCCAAAAGGCCTCGTACTAATTGGGCTAGGTGGACTCTAATATACAAGGGTTCCTTCCCTTGTATTTCCGATGTGGTACTTGGATTGTACCCTAACAGACGCTTTCATGGTCGTCGTCGATCATGGTTCGGATGTCTTCGGAGGTTTCAGAATCTCCGATCTCTATCCTTCCCTCAAATGGCTGCCTGCCCTCACTGGGTTTAAAGCTAGGCTGGAGAAGATGCGCAAGGGATCGGACTTGATACTAGAACGAATTATCGACAACCATAAATCGAGGAGATCGAGGGCCGCCGCCGGAAGCAAAGGTGGTGATGATGATGATTATGATGGTGACGAAGACAATATTCTTGATATCCTTCTGACTCTTCAAGAAACTCAGGAGCTTGGCGTTCCCATCACGATGAATGCCATAAAAGCAATGACTTTGGTGAGTAATAGTACTATATATTGTTTTTGTTGGGATCCTTCAGGGACGAGGGTATACGTACGATAGCCCGAGACCGGGTGACCAGGATTGTGATAGAGTCGTGAACAATGTTCACTTTCCGAAAAGAATATTTCCACCCTCTACAAAGCCTTGGGTTACAGGAAATTTCTCCTGAGGATAAAACTATCACCACTTTAGGTTCCAGGCTCAAGAACACTAAAGCATACTTAGAAATTTTGGAAGAAAGAAGAAGAATATGTTTGATGGTATGTGGCATCATCCACCCCACACATATTTATAGGGGCCGAATCCATGCATTGTTTCATGAAAGGTTGACTTTATCCATACGAAAGGTTGCCTTTATCCATATGAAAGGTTGTCTCTATTCATATGAAAGGTTATCCTTATCCATATGAAGGGTTGCCTCTATCCATAAGGTTATCCTTATCCATAAAATAATGCAACCGCCACTAGGCCAAAGGGATGTGTCCCTTCACGGAATTAGAATATCGGTTCGGTCGGTCTAATACCAAACCGTTTGGTCGGTCCAACCCAAAACCGGTTTGACTTGGTTAGTCCGGTTCAACCAAATTTCCAACATTCCTCCCCCATTTTAGTTTATTCATAGAATTCACTAAAATCACAACATTCTTCCAACAAAACTTAAGCATAAATGAAAATGTCGTGACGATTGAATTTTCACCTTAGTATATTACACTTGACAAATATTCGAATACAAAGGGTGTCGGTAACGATTGAACCCATTGACTCATATGAATATTCGAAGATAATATACACTTAAGTTTTCAAAACTTCTAAGCGCCTTGACACTATTATCCGCCATGTGTCCAATCCTTCTCATAAGCGTACACGAAACCAAAGTCCGGGTTTCTTGAAGCGGCTACACTTCATGCTTACGTAGGTCGAATCTTTTATTCGTGTACCCGCATAATACACTTTGTCAAAGATTCAATTAAGAAGTTTTGAACTTCATCCTCTTCTCTCATGCAGATAACAAGCACATACCTCGGGATGACAAATTTTGTGCTTCAACTTCTGATAATAAGCTTTCCACATTGAATTCAACCTCTAACGTTGTATTAGAGGGGAATTGGGTGTCCCATTACCAGAAATTATATGGACTTTAACCCATCCCTTTCACAGACTTAATAACCAAGTCACTAGTTAACCACTTCGTCAAATGATCAACCAATTAATTCGAGTTTGGCCATACTGTCTAGACACAACACTATGAATGATCAGTTCACAGCTTTTACCGTGCCATACTCCCACATGACCGTACTTATCATTTTCACTTGACTACCTTAGCCAAATTAGCATTACTATCACTAAGAATAATAATAGGTGAGATTGGTTTTGCCATAAATTAATGTCATAAACCAAGCATCTCATCAATAATGTCTTTTCTCTAAGAGAAATCAATGTCACAAACTTTGACTCCATAGTGAAACTTAGTGATGCAAGTATGCTTTTAAGAGGCCCAAGATATGGCTCCTCCCCCAAGCAAGAGGACTCATCTCGATGTTGAAATATCACCTTTAACATGAGAAATCCAACTAACATCAACAAATCTTTCCAAAATTGATGGAAAGCCACTATAAGTCAATACAATGTGCCTTTGACATATCCTAGTACACGCCTCATTTCATTTCAAATGTTGAGAACTAGGATTCATCACGTACCAACTTAATTGTTCTATCGCATATGCGATATCTAGCATCATGCAAGTCATGCATACATCGAGCCCCCAATTTGACATGGAATACTCCAGTTGTAAAACTGATTTTCAGTATTAACCATAAGTTCCATACTTGGATCCATTGGGTTCTTTAACCCACTACAATTCCTACTATGGAATTTATGCAAGTACCTTCTCATGCAGAAAAATTGAGAGAAGGACTCTTTCTTGTCGTTCAGCTTGATTCAATACACAGAATCACATTTGCCTCCCCCATGTCCCGCATGGAGAATTTAAATAACAACTTTTTATCAAAGTTCACTTATCTTTTATTGGTTCCAAAGATAAGCATGTCTTATACATACAAATGTACGATGACTCCATCACCAGAATCATCATAAATGGTGTACACATTTTGTCTTCTTGGTTTAAAATAACATAAACCACTAGACAAAATCACTTATCTTTGATTGGTCCCAAAGATAAATATGTCATCTACATACAAACACAACGACTCCATTACCAGAATCATCAAACATTGTATATACAATTTTGTCTCCTTGGTTTAAAATAACATAAACCACTAGACAAAATCAAACCACCAAACCACTAGACAAATCCAAATTTATCTAGAACTCCGTAAATGTCGAATAGAGAATTAGACTAATTAACCCTTGAGTATGTAACCTACACAAAGGCAATTTTCATTCTTCTATTTCTCCATTTTTATGAAGCATTCTCCTTCTTCCCCATCTTCGAATCATCCCTCTTCCAAGTTACCTTCCGGATATGGAATACACCATGAGACAAGTACGAAGAAACCCCATCTTCTAGTTCCATCGATGAAAAACCCATCATCGAACATTCTCATAATTCCATAGACCGAACCGATTTATTGTAAAGAGCGGTTCGAGCCATCGTACCGGAAAAATATTCTTTTCGATTGTTGGGATCCTTCAGGGACGAGGGTATACGTACGATAGCCCGAGACCGGGTGACCAGGATTGTGATAGAGTCGTGAACAATGTTCACTTTCCGAAAAGAATATTTCCACCCTCTACAAAGCCTTGGGTTACAGGAAATTTCTCCCGAGGATAAAACTATCACCACTTTAGGTTCCAGGCTCAAGAACACTAAAGCATACTTAGAAATTTTGGAAGAAAGAAGAAGAATATGTTTGATGGTATGTGGCATCATCCACCCCACACATATTTATAGGGGCCGAATCCATGCATTGTTTCATGAAAGGTTGACTTTATCGATACGAAAGGTTGCCTTTATCCATATGAAAGGTTGCCTCTATTCATATGAAAGGTTATCCTTATCCATATGAAGGGTTGCCTCTATCCATAAGGTTATCCTTATCCATAAAATAATGCAACCGCCACTAGGCCAAAGGGATGTGTCCCTTCACGGAATTAGAATATCGGTTCGGTCGGTCTAATACCAAACCGTTTGGTCGGTCCAACCCAAAACCGGTTTGACTTGGTTAGTCCGGTTCAACCAAATTTCCAACAGTTTTCTTTCTTAATTTGGTACACACTCACGATATTGACATTATTAGGAAATATTTCTTGCTGGCATCGATACGTCAACAACAACGATAGAGTGGAATATATCGGAAATGATAAAGAATCCAAGAGTACTGCATAAAGCACAACAGGAGGTTAGGCAGGTGTTTGGTGACGACTGTGATGAGAAGAACGCTTTCGGCGAAGCTGGCCTTCATCGGTTGAAGTATTTGGATATGGTTATCGCCGAGTCGTTCAGATTGCACCCGCCGGGTCCTTTGCTTGCTCCGCGAGAAAACAGAGATCAGCGGGTGGAACTGAATTCGTATGATGAGGTCCCGGTCAACAGTTACGTCATTGTGAATGCGTGGGCGATCAATCGGGATCCTCGTTACTGGACGGAGGCGGAGCGATTCTTTCCGGAAAGATTTATGGACCGCTCGATTGATTATACGGGGAACGATTTCCAGTTCATCCCGTTTGGTGCCGGAAGAAGGATGTGCCCTGGGAACTCTTTCAGAATGGCGATCGTGAAAATTACTCTGGCAAATTTGCTTTTTCACTTCGACTGGACGCTTCCCGCGGAACAAAAAAACATTGATATGACGGAAAGCTTTGGAGTGACGCTCAGAAGAAGATATCCTCTTCGTCTTATTCCAACTCCATATCGTCACATTCTTTGAATGAAGGAAAATCAAATGCTAATAAGGATGCACATTGTATATGTGTGCTTTCTTTTGTTTATGTATGTGTAATTTCCTTAATCCTATCTATCGTCAGTTGTTTGTGTGTTCTATTTATGAACTTTTGTGTGTTTTAATTTTATTTTTTATTTCGTACTATGAATATTTAGTTCTCCACAAGACTCTGATATAAGGCATTTTTCTCTTTAATTTCTCTTAGGGTCGTTTGGATGAGTTGTTGTGTAACGAGTTAATATAAAAGTGGAATTTCTCACAAAATAAGAATGTGGTATTTGTGAGTTATTTCACAATAACTACCCCTATGAGGTATTGAGGGTTAATTGCACAGGGTGCCACTTAAGTAGGGATGGCAATGGGGCGGGTTTGGGGCGGGTTTGTCTAAACCATCCTCATCCCCATCTTCAAATACTCAAATCCATACCCGCCCCATACCCATGCGGGGGAATGTTTTGCAAACCCATCCCCATACCCGTGGGTTTCGGATGCCCATGGGTAATACCCATCCCCGTACATCCAACATTATTATACCTAAAACTTACGAGAAAAGTTTTCATTATAACCATAAACAAACCTATTATATCATGAAGTCAACAAAACACGATCATTTTCTAAATACGATTCAAAGAATATGATCTTAAAACATCCATTAATACATAATATAGGCTACAGTATTTTTTAAATTATTATGCTCTAACTCTTTATACATTTACTAAGTAATAGTTAACTAACATAATCTTGTTAACAAGGGGGAAAGTGAAAGAGTGGAAGGAGAATTGAGGGAAATGAATTAGGTTTTGATTAAGGTGGTTACTCAATTGCATTTCTACTATTTATTTTCTCGAGTTATCATCATCATCATTGATAGATTACAATTTAATCCACATATTTTTTTTATATGTGAAGAAATTCGCATGGTGGGGCGGGTATGGGTATGGGTATGGGGCGGGGGAGGCTAAAACCAAACCCGCCCCATACCCATCAAACTTTTTGCGGGTTTTACCCATACCCGCCCCATACCCGGTCAAAGCGGGGATTCCCCGCGTTGATTGGGTCGGAGGCGGTCGGGTACCCGCGGCCATGGGTTTGATTGCCATCCCTACACTTAAGTTCACCATTTGTTACACGATAACCACTTAAGTATGTTTTATTGCAACTAAACCACTTATATCCAATTCCGGTAGCATTGTTACCATTTCCGTCTCCATGACTAACGGCGGGTAACAATGCTACCGGAATTGGATATAAGTGGTTTAGTTGCAATAAAACATACTTAAGTGGTTATCGTGTAACAAATGGTGAACTTAAGTGGCACCCTGTGCAATTAACCCGAGGTATTGACAACAACTCATTAATGAGTTATTTCAAATTAACTCAAGTACAAATAACTCATCACCAACTTTTGTAGACAAACGAGTTATTGCATCCAAATAACTCAAAATGGGTTATTTGGGTGCAAATAACTCATACGAATAACTTATCCTAACGACCCCTTAGGTGTTCCACAACAACTTATAAATTTGGAACGTGGCCGCGCAGTTAGACGACACTTACGTGTCGCCTAGGTGCAATTAATATCAAAGGGAAATATTAACATCATATCAATCTCAATCTTACTCTCAATCTTTTCAATAGCTCAACAACTTTGTGAATCTGTAATCTATCATTATATTAACTTGTGAGCTATTTTCTTATTGTTAAGTGATAAGTATTATTGACAATCTAAATATTTAAATTCATATTCTCCAAATCTGTTAAGCGCAACTGGAGGGGTTTTTTATTTGCATGGTAAAAAATAAAAAAACAATCTTGCAATTCTGTTTCTTCTCGCCATCACCGTCTCAGCATCAAGAACAAGCAATCGTTACCGTAGCTTCATGCGGTCAAGGGAAAGACCGATCGAGTGAGTGGGAGAGACGACGCTGCCTGGGATAATCGGGGTGAAGCTGGTACGTCAATGGCGAAGCCAGGAACAACACTTCTACTTGGATGGTTGACTTGATACTGTAGCTTCAAGCTCTTGGTGCGTTCCACGACTCCTTGACTACATCAGATCAATTGTAAGGGGCGATCAGACGTACGAGAAGGGGAAGGTGGTGCTATAATTAGCTGGGTAGGTATCGTGTATATATACATATATTTTTAGTTACACATTCTTGCAAGTGACCAAAAGGGTGTTAGAACCTAGTACTCTCCACTTAGATAAGATTAAAACGTAGCAAAGCAATAAAATAAGTAGTGTGCATGTACCGAAAAATTAAGTTCATATATAATAAACCCTTATCCTAGATTTTTCAAAGGAAAGATACCTTATGTCGGTACCAGCCTACACAGATCCATTATTTAAGCACCTTATTTATATAGCATATGTCACATTACCCAATATTATTTTGGTTTGATTAGTTGTCGCGAACTCGAGATCAGATATCATCACATGCAACCATTTTTTTCATATTTATTAACCACATCAGAAAATATAAACAACTAATCATCCCAAAACATGAATCAGATAATCACACGAATAAAAGCAGCTTCATTACCATGGAAAACTTCATCCAAAAGATGTTGCTCTCTTGCTCATCTTCCATGTTCGGCATCCCTTTCCTCTCCACGCTTGCCATCATTCTTGCAGTCACCTTATTCATCCGAAAGCGGAAAACCGCCGGTTCAAACCTGCCGCCGGGGCCATGGAAGCTCCCCATAATTAGGGATGTCAATCCAACCCGTAACCATGGGTACCCTACCCGATCGTAACCGGTCAACGAGGGTAATTACCCGCTTTGACGGGTTAAGGGGCGGGTACGGGTAATACCCGGTTTCAAAATAAAGGGTAGGGTACGGGTATGGTAATCGATAATACCCGCTCCGTTATACCCGCCCCGCTAACCACATGGTCAATTTCCCTTGAGAAATTTAGATTAGCTTGAGAAATTGAGTTTAGCTACCATTATTGATGATGAAGATGTAGACGATTATTATATTTGTGTGGATTGTAGAAGCAAGAACAATTATTATGTGTTTGCTATTTTTATTTGTGTGGATTGTTGAAGCTCGAATAGTTACAAGTATTGAGATTTTTTTTTTATAAAGAAGTATTGAGAATTTTTAATGGACAACAGTATTTATGTGCATATATGTGTATAAGTTCATAATTTAGAATTCATACCCAAGGTTACCCGAATATCCGTGGTTACCCGGTGGGTAGGGTATGGTTATATAATTTTCATACCCGGTGGTTATTTGGTCGGGTATTTTAGAAAGCTCTACCCGGCGGGTTAGGAGTTGGTATAGGGTAAACCCGCACCCGACCCTACCCATTGCCATCCCTACCCATAATATATAGGCAACATCCACCAGATGGTCGGCGACCAACCCCACCGCCGGCTCAGGGATCTCGCCCGCAAACACGGCCCCGACGTGATGCGCCTCCATATATATATATATATATATGGAGGTATCATGACATAATGTTACTATTGTTCTTTCTTTGGTTGCTTTTGATTGATCTGATTATTAATGTTCAAATGGTAAAATGATTTGTGACAAAGTCTGATAAAGCTTGGGGGGCTATAAGGTATCATGATGTTACTAGGGATATAGCAATTTTAGTTTGGTCAATTTGTTGCTTTCTAATTACCATACTCACAACATATTGATTTTATTAGGAACTGTTTCTGGCTAGTATTGAGACAACATCAAGAGCAATAGAGTGGACCATGTCAGAAATGGTAAACGATTCGAGAGTGCTGCAAAAAGCACAACAAGAGGTCAGACAAGTATTTGGCAATGACATAAAAAATCATTTCGATGAGGCAAGCCTTGATCATTTGAAGTATTTGGATATGGTTATCGCCGAGAGTTTAAGGTTACACTCACCAGCTCCTTTGGTTGCTCCAAGAGAAAATAGAGATAAAAAAGTGCAACTCAATTTATATGAGGTCCCGGTCAACACCAATGTCATCGTGAATGCATGGGCGGTCAATCGAGATCCTCGTTATTGGACAGAGCCAGAGAAATTTTACCCAGAAAGGTTTATGAACTGCTCAATCGATTATCAAGGAAACGATTTTCGATTCATTCCATTCGGTGCAGGAAGAAGAATATGCCCTGGAGCTTCTTTTGGGATGGCAGTCGTGAAAATCACTCTAGCAAGTTTGCTTTCTAATTTTGACTGGACACTTCCCGATGATATGAAAAGCATTGATATGACGGAATGCTTTGAAGCAACACTCAAAAGACAATATGCTCTCCTTCTAATTCCAGTTTTACGGCCGCCCGCTTTGAATTAAGAAAAATCAAAACGCTAATAAAGATGCTCATTATGTATTGGCAATTTCTTTTAATTCTGTATGAATAATTTCTTTATTTCTACCGGCATTTTTGTATTTTATATATATATATTTGCTTTATCAAAGAAATTAGGGTTAATTATACTAGAACATAGGGGTGGGCATTGGGTGGGTCGGGTGGATTTTGACCATAAAATGCACCCACCCGCGCTTACACGGATTGATAATTTCTAACCCACCACCCACCCACATTTAGTCTCGGGTTGGGTCGGGCGGATGGTGGATGATGCGGGTGGGTTTGTGGGTTCACCCACATCACAATGTATATAATATAAAGGAGTCAACTTGACATGATAATAGGTGAAGAGAATCATCGAGGGAAACAAGAAGTTGAAATAGGGCGAAAAATGTTGAATTAGTTCTTAAATTGGATAGAAATTCTATTATGAAAGAGTTTTCTACAGATTGAGACGATTATTAGGTGCAAGAAACTAGACGATTATTAGGTGCAAGAAACTAAGGAAAATAATTCCACAAAGGAAAGAGCGGTGATCAAGGCACGAGAATTAGAGGAAAAAGTAAAGGGAAGAAGAGGGGATCTCTATTTGGAAGGTTGGCTTTGAGGTTCAAACTCGAGGAGCAGTCCGAGTTTATATCTAAAGTCTACACTCTCCTCTCTCTAGCGCCAACAACTTTGATCTTTTTGCTGTTGGGTTGAGCGGGTCACCCGCACACTCACCCACAACCCACCCACCACCCGGCGGATGGCTCCCAGCTCAACCCGTCACCCACCCACTGACCCATCCACTTAACGAAATTCGGGTCAAATGCGGGTGGGTCGGTCCAAATCCGCGGATGATCCGCCCGCATGCCCAGCCCTACTAGAACATACGAAGTATAAAAAAACCTAACACTTCACTAATAACTAACAAGGATAATTATCACAGAATGAGCCATTTTAAGGAGGACAAACACCACTTTTCTGCACATGCCAATGCTAATGTAGTTCAGCCTTTGGTGTTCTTATTAATCTCCCCCTATCATTAGTTCTTAAAAAAGTAGTATCATTATCTTGATAATCGAAGTCAATCTTCTATATACAACAAGAATAAAGACGCGGAATAACCTTGGATGCACAGAAATCCCATATCACAACAATCATATTTTGAGGGGGATAAAATCAACAAACTGAGCACCAAACCAAATCAACAAGGAAAAGCAATCATAATTAGGGGTTTGGATGAAGTGTTGTTTGCCATTGGTGAGGATTGAGATGTCTGGAATGATAACTTTAGTTTTGTGTTGAATCTTGAGACTTTAACTTTCCTCACAATAAAAATCTAAAACGATGTGGTTTATACTATTAGACGATTATTGGTTAACCACTAATCAAGCAAAATCGATAAAAAGTTGTTAGGCACAAAGCGGACGTTAAGTCTTTGCTTCGCGCCTAGCTCGTCGTTGGAAGAAAAAAATTATTTGCAATGCATGATGAATGAAATAATAATTTGCAACACTTCTTCACTTAAGTTAAAATATTAATAACTTACTTAACACTTAATAATAAGGAGAAAACAAAGCTGACAAACTCATATAATCATAGTTTTCAACAGCTGACAAAGTTCTTGAGCTATTGAATACATGTAGTGATGTCAATGGGTCGGACGGGGCGGGTACCTCAATACCCATGTCCCGCCCCGCGCTAGTACGGGTCGGGGCGAGTAATACCCGTGCGGGTACGGGGCGGGTCGACCTACTCTTACATGCTATTTGAGAATTTGAGAAAAATACACACTAAATTTTACTTTTAATGATAAAACGAAAGAGAAAAGACTTTATGAATGAATAATAGTGATAATATAATGGGTAACTGAGTCTATTTAGTTGAAAGATCAAGTCTAACTAGTTGAAGAAAAGCCAAAATAGGAGATATATGAATGGATGGAGTAAGAAATTGACCTAGAACGGGTCAAGAATGGGGTTGGGAGGCTCAGGGCGGGTCGAAAGTTGATACCCCTGCTCCGCCCCACGCTACTGCGGATCGGGTAATACCCGCCCCATCGTGGGTCAGGTTGGGAAATAGCCGGCCGGTGGGTTCAAATTGCCATCTCTAAATACATGAAGATAGGAAATCGGTTTCGTAACACTTTTTGATATTGCTGAAAGCTGACGCCTAGGCATACCTAAACATAATAAGATAATTCACGCCTTTTTGAACCATGCTGTGGAGAGAGAAAAAAGATATACACGCGCGCGGTACGTAGGTGTACCTTGAAGAGCAGTGCATCAGCTTGTGGAATATCGTCAGTGAGCATGTCGCCAGCCACGTAGCTCAGATTACTACTATGATGGGTTTCTTCTGCCGCGGCGACCACGTGCGGGACATCGAACACGGTGCAATGAATCCTTGGGAAGGCCTCGGCGATGACCTTAGCCGTGGTCCCGGTGCTCCCGTTGACGTCCACCAGCGAGCTCAAGCCTTCGAATGCCTCCTTGCACTTGGCCACCAATGGCATACTGAACAGCCAGCTGTCGGCCCCCATATCGCTTCAGCAAACATCTGGCCGAATGGTGAGTCCAACGAGCACACCTCGTAGAGCTTCTTGCCACCGTGAGCTAAAGCAAAAGGAGGCAGCGGCAGTTGCTCGACGACGACGTCGTTCTCGCAGGTTTGAAACCAAGCGCTCATGTGGCGCCAGGGTTCCACGAGATTAGGATGGTTCATGCACGTGACGAATGACCTGTCCTTCAACAGGAACCGGCCGACCGGCGGCTGCAGCCGGTACCGCCCTTCTCCCTCTACGAAGTGACCCGTGTGGACGAGCAAGCGCATGAGGCGCGAGAGGGACGGGGCTTTTGCCGGAGAGATTTTGAGGGCCGCGGCCAGCTCGCCCAATGAGATGGGCTTGCCGATCAGGAGATATTTCAAGTTATCGTCAAGACTCAAACCGGTGATTATGAATGTCAAAGTGGATCGACAAGGTTTAGAGGAAATCATCATCATCAAGTTTAGTTTAATGTCAATGTGTGTTTAGACTTTAGTTTGAGTTAATGTTTTACCTCTGCAGTCTCCAAATGATAGCTTGCACATGTTGTCTTGTAGTGCAAAGTTTTTGTCTATTCAAACCCAAAGATGAATGAGAAACACCCAAGGCTTTTAGGGTTTCATTTTCCCCAACTCATCTTTGTTGTTATGGTATCAGAGCCTCTAGATCCTAAAGAACCCTAAAACTTTCTACCCACAAAATAAGGACTATGTCCAGATCTGAAAATTTTCAGATGTAACCCTAAAAATCAAAAACATTTACAAATCTTGATCCCATCTCCCTTAGCTTTCATTATTCTCTTTACAAACGAAATTGCCAAATCCAAACCCACTGTTCCTTCCCATCTTTAGTTGCCGCCGGTGATCTTTTCGACCCCCCCCCCCCCCCCGAGCAGAGACGAGGACTACACACCGCCGCTGGAGACGTTTTCCTAGCCCAAAAGCAAAGTTCAGAGCACTCTCTGTTCTTAAGATCTACTTCTCCCCTGTTCATTCCCGTAAAAAAAATAGACATAAAGTCTACCAATTCAAGTCCTACGACTGAAGAATCATACCGGTCAAAGCCGGCAGCCGAGGAGAAGCGGGAAGCTGAATCCATGAAGCTCCTGGAACAGGACAAAAAACAGAAGCCAGCCATGAAATTGCTGAACCGGCACCTTCAACTCAAGCCTGGAGACGACGGTCAATAGGATCTTCAGATTGAAGGTGAGATTCTTGAAACCAAGGTTGAAATTAATCAATTGAATGCTCAAAAGAAAGCTGCCGAGAAGGAGGTTCTGTGGATTGAAATTGCTTGGAGTTCTGTTAAGATGGTTGTGTCGAGCAGTGAATTAGTAGTTGTGTACTTTGTGTTTGAATGGTTTCAAGATGATAAGCATGTGTTTGAGATTGAGAGAAGTATTCAGATGGTTAACATGGGTTGGTTGGAGGAATTGTTCAAGAGACAAGAGTGTCAAGTCTCTTGCTGATTCTCAGTAAGCAGAACAACAAAGAAGAAGCTGTTGGTTTCAGCAGCAGCAAAAAGAAGAAAAAAAAGAGTGAAGTTTCAGAAATGAGAAGCAACAGAAGAAGCTTGCAGCATCCAAGAATGTATGCTGCTGTCATTCCTGTGTTTGCTCGACATAAAAAAAAAAGTCAAAGCAAAAGCTGCAAGTTTCAGCAGCAAAAAAAAAAAAAAGAAGATGAAGTTCATGTTTCAGCAAAGTGGATCAGAAGCAAGGGAAAGAACATTTCCTTGTTGCAGAAAACAAGAGTGAAGGCAGCAGCCTGAGATTATGCAGCAGAGGGAAGAAGCTTACTCTCCTGTTGAGTTTGAAGTCAAATTATTCTCTTTGGAATGCTAGCTAGCTCAAAATCAGCAGCATATCATCATCAAGTCAAAGCAGAAGGAAGTAGCCAACAGAGCACTCCCCTGTTGATTTCAGATTTTTTTCGGATGGAGTGCTAGCTAGCAAAGTCAGCAGCATATCCGGACCACTTTGAAGATCCATCTGAAGCAGAAAAGCTGAAGATGAGAAAGTTCAGCCAGCTAGCCATATTGCAGCAGCATCCTTGTTTGAAGAAGTAGAGGGAAGACGCCCAAAAGGGCTCCCCGGTTGAGTTTGAAGTAATTTTTTGGAATGCCAGTTAGCTCAAAAAACAGCAGCATATCCTCATATACTTGGAGAAGCAGAGGGTAGTAGTCAAACAGTACTCTCCCCTGCTGACTTCAAGATTTGTTTCTTGGAAGGAATGTTAGCTAGCAACAAAGCTGCAACATACCCTACCCACATTGAAAACCTAGGTAAAGCTTTACAGAAGATGTTTGGGAAGTTAGCTAGCAAGATGCAGCAGCTTCACCATTTGAAGTTTGAAGGGAAGTTAGCTAGCCAACAGTGTGGCAACATTCTCAAGTCAAAACTGTTTTCTCTCCAAGCTTGGTGTGCACATTCTGTGCTCACCCGCTTGCGAGGGGTATCAGGAGATATTTCAAGTTATCGTCAAGACTCAAACCGGCGACCATGAATGTCAAAGTGGATCGACAAGGTTTAGAGGAAATCATCATCAGCAAGTTTAGTTTAATGTCAATGTGTGTTTAGACTTTAGTTTGAGTTAATGTTTTACCTTTGTAGTCTCCAAATGATAGCTTGCACATGTTGTCTTGTAGTGCAAAGCTTTTGCCTATTTAAACCCAAAGATAAATGAGAAACACCCAAGACTTCTAAGGTTTCATTTTCCCCAACTCATCTTTGTTGTTAGTGGTCGTGAACCGCATCTACGATCTCCAGCTCGACTGCACATTGGACGGTCATGGCGTTGACGTAGCTAAAGCAGCGGTCCCAAACCCGGGGCTGGGCTTCGAGAAGCGACATCGCAGTGGTTGCATCCATTCCCAAAATCGATCTCTCTCTAACTAGCTTACTGATCTATTTATTGTGTACTTATAGAGGCGGACATAGAGAAACAAAGCATTTTGGAGAGGTGTATTTCAAATGTAAAGTATTTGAAACACATGTAATTCAAATTGGTTGTTTGAATACTTATTTGTAATTTGTTTGTATTTTAAATTTTATAATTTTTTATTTTAATTTTGAATTTTTCTTGTCACTTACTACAATTTTGCTAAATTACTGTTTGGTATCTAAATTTATATTTTCTTATAATTTAGTACCTATAATTTTAAAATTTTACAAAAGTAACCTAATTTTTTATTGAAAAATTACATTTCGGTACCTTTATATGTTCGGTCTCACACTATAATACCTAAAATTTAACAAATTCGTCCAATCCTTTTTTAGGAGGTAGTTCAAATCACTAGTTGTTGAAATGTATTTGAAGTTGAGAAGTAATACACTAAACATGTATTTGGAAATCACCTCATGAATTTGGCACAAATCCAAATAACAAATGTAATTAATATCCAAATACATAATTTGATATTTAGAAATGAAAATCACAAATACCAAATCCAAATCGCTCTGTCCAAGCACACCCTAATATATTAGAACATGCTTTAGATGGCATGGATTCATTCCATAATTATTCACAATATTATTTTTGAAGGGAACTCGATTCATATGAAGTCCCAGTCAACACCAACGTAATCTTGTGTGTATGGTGTTTCTTTTCTTCTTGTTTTTTTGGTTCTTTTTTTTACCGTTTTTGTTATTGAAATTGTTAATGTTTCTTTCCTTTTATGTGTTGAATTGGTAGTACACGAATTTGGATAATGCCTTACACATAATTAAGTGCATCTGACATGAATTCATCCAAATAAGAAAGATTGTTGATGTAACCCAAACTTTTATTGATACGAAAACAGAGAAAAGATGAAAAGGAAAAAGGATTTGAACAACAGTCGAGGGAAGAAAGGAAGCACACATCACACACATAAAGTTCCAAAAGCACACAACAACAACAATGAACAACAACTAAAGAGAAGAGACCAACATATTTCTTCAAAGAGGCACGGGATTGATGAACAACGAAGCAAGGTGATCCTTCAGAAGGTGGGAGTTGGTGTAGCGATCATCAGCGTCGTAAAACAAATTGACGGAACGTGTCAAGTGGAGGAAGCGGTCGAGGAGAACTACCGGCAACGGAGTTGGCCTCTGATACACTTCGGCAATATCTTTCCAATTGTTAGAAATCATCTTCCATAAACATTCAACCGCTTCTTCCTCCGACACCCCATACTCCTTCATGTAACATTCGACAGAGGAAGGGGCATGACTCCTCTCTTGTTCAAACTGCGCAACAACACCAACAACAAAACCACAATATAACTCTGAAATGCACTTAATTACTCCCCCGTGTTATTTCATAAAATAACACAATACTAATTATCAATGATCATCATGTACCTTGTGAGACAAAATGTCATTTTGAAGCCTAACAATGACAGAGCCGGCTCTCATCATTTTAGAGTCCATAGCCAGCCATTCAAAAGCCTCCCTGTTGGCGATCTCTGCTCCCATACCAATGAAAGCGCATGCGGTGACTATGGCCATTCCGCTGGTGACAAATCCTTCTGTCATATACTCTTCCAGCGTCGGAACTCGGCCTTCAGTGCGCCACCGAACCTCACCCAGGTAGGCTCGGGAAAATTTCTTGAGCTACAATATATATTATGTATAACCAATACCAAAATTTAGCGACAATAATCTTTCTTTTGGTTCACTTGGAAAGAACAAGCACAACCTTACATGTCTATCATATATAATATACAACATGAATTTGCAACAAATAGATTATTACCTCTTCCCTATTGTAATCCATAGCAAAAGTGGGTCCTATTTTTTCGATTTCCCTCTCGATTTCATCGTACAGAATAAAGAGGACATCGTAAATGTTTTTCATCCTGTCAGGTAGTCCTTGAAGAGCGCAAACATCCATCCTGAAAGAAATATGCACATATAGATATGCATTTACACAAATCAATTATTAAGAGAAAAAGCTCCATATATCTAATTGATACATCTATAGAGATTTCTATGGTATATATATAAGGATATCGCATATGTTAATTATTAAAAAAAAAAACTTTATCTATCTAAACATTGAATTAACTAGAGAGTTTATGGAATGATGATATATGCTAAACCATAATAACTAAGTAAAACATACATCTTAATTTTATAAATCATATACTCTAAGATCAATTTCATTAGAAACAATAACCGGGGCCTGTGATTCGCCGAAATACATCCAACATACTAGAGGCATCATTTTAGGATTTAGCTTTTAGTGTTTAGAAAATCAGGATCTAAAGTTTACTCATTAAGGATTAGGGTATCATGTCACAAAATCTGGTTAATTCAAAGTGTAGATATATCCTAATTAGCACGATAGAAGCAAACTATATGCAGGTATAAGATATTGCGGTAAGAACCTTTCAATAGCTTCGGTTAGGGTTCGAGCCTCTTCATATGTAGCCAAGTTATCGTAAGTGTCGTCTAGGATTGACAACACTGCCAAGATCTTGGTGGCTATAATTCTTGCAAACCGATATTTGGGCTCAAAGTACATACAAATGAGCCAATAATAGCACTCCACAAGTCTGTCTCTTGCATACGGAAAATTGCTCGGCACGTCAAGACAATTCCACCATCTGTATGAATATCACAAAATTTAGACAAAGCAATTCAGGTGATCAAATAAATAAATTGTCCACATTAGAACTCACTCAGAGAGTTCGTAGAGCTCCTCTTGATGGATCTTTTGGACCATGTTGAAGTCCAACTTTGCAAACTTGAGAAGCTTTTGATTCTGGACAGAGTCCTCAAAGTAGAAATTATCTATGGAGTGCCTAGCAAGTGACCTTGGGACACATTTCCAAGCGGGAATTCGTAGGGCAAAGTCGATTTGCTTATGGGATGAAGGGTTGATCTTATCGTGTTGAAGCATTGATTTAAGGGTCTTCGTCGTAAAATCTAGGGCTTCATCTAGTTTTTCTTCTCCATTAAATGCAATATGTGCTGCCTCATACAAACTCAATAGCCCTTGCTCATCTCTCACCAACCATTCCTTGAACTTTCCTTCACTGTTTTTCAACTTTCCAAACCCATCTGCACACATATATATACACACAAGAGAGGCGTTTACTATATAGTTCTCAACTAAATATATCTAACTTCTGACTATATATGCGCGCGCACACACATGTACCTTGAGAAACACGAAATCCTTGTTGTCTGAGAAGTCGAAATCGAAGAGCCTTATGGTAGAGATCGGTACCTTCCTCATCAATATTAATGAATGTTGAGTCCTCTCCCAACTCATGCACTTTTTCAAGTGCTTCTTCGATCTCTGTTTCAAAGTGATATCCAATGCCTAACCGTTGAATTGCATCTATCACACGCAACTTGTCGGCAATCATTGCCTCATCATTTCCGCTTTCTGCTTCATATTTCACCATCTTCCTCACCTCTTCCTTAAGAACTTCATATTTGGGGTGTTTTTGTTTTGCCTAAAAATTGTGGATTTAGAAGTTGAAACGAATAAAAAAAATCTAAAACTTCTATTCATGATAAATCCTCATATATGGTACGAATGCATCATTATAAATAACCTGGAGGGACAGATCAACTTTGTCGAGGAAGCCATGGCCCCAGACTGTGCTAGGGAAGGTTGCCGGCGAGACCCGATCCACTACGCCGCCGGTTGCCTTTCTAGCTGCCGCTTTAACTGCAACAGCTGAGGGATCAAGTGATAGTGGAGAAGAGGAAGACGACATAATAATAGCAATATGCATGGCTAGCTGTAGTTTCGATATAATTAAGTTGCTCAATGTGATATGGCAAATTAAGGTTCTGCTGGTGATCAATTCCTCACGGCTATAAATAGGTGGGATTGTCAATTCTAATAACCAAATTAACCAAGTTGAAGGTGCTGATTTTTTTTTTTTTTTTGGGTAGAGTTGCAGGTGCTGTCGGTGCTGATATTTAACAGCGCGAATCTTAGCATCTTTCGACTTACATTGCTTGTTTTTTCATGCGCTGGAATTATAAAGAAATCATTAAATTGTCCAAATTTCGAGAAAATTGCCTGTTTTGGTCTGGCGGATTGTTAATGACTCATTGACTATGACTAACGTAATCCATGTGTGCCCAAATTGGGAAAAGGGAACTTCGGTAGACGTAATCCATTACCATTTCTTATATTATATCATCTAGGTAATCGTCACATTTGTTACTTAAATTAATAAATCATGTCATGTTTAGTCACTAGAAAAAATTAGTATCAATTTTGGTCACTTGAATTACTGAAACATGACACATTTAGTCACTCTCTCGTTAGTTTTCACCCTACTCCGTTAATGGAGTTGGACGGAGACTAACAGAGAGTGACTAAATGTGACATGTTTCAGTAATTCGAGTGACATTCATAAAAAAAAAAAAGTAATTCGAGTGACTGGAATTGGACGAAGTCTGATGGGAGATTGACTAAATGTAACTTGTTTTAGTAATTCGAGTGATCAAAATTAATATTTTTTCTGGTAAGAAGACAGATGCTAAAGATTCTCAACTCATATATATTAATTAACCGAGATAGGGAAATTCCCATAACATCGTAATCAAGCCATTTACAAAGATCATGACTACCCACATCAACATGATGTGTTCCAAAAGCAAGACTGTGGCCAAAATTAGCAAGAAAATCAGCAACCTGATTTCCTTCTCCATATTAATTTTTTCTAGTGATTAAATATAACACGATTTGATCAATTGTGGCATTTACCCATTATATTATTATCCGATCAGTTCTATATATTGGGTTGGTCATGGTTGTTAGTGGATGTAATATTTCTTGGCCCATGTATCTTAGCCTAGCCCATGAAATCCATAGAGCTAGACCCGGGTAGACAGTTGTTAGTCTAGCTTAGGGTTCGGCAAGTCAGGTAGATGCATCTAGGTACGCTAGCAGCAGCCGTGAAGAATGTTATGTCTGGCAGGAGAATGACGAGAACAACGTAACTACTACTTGTTGGACTGTGGTAGTATGCAAATGCTTTCTGTTCTCCACGCTTACCAAACACTGCTTGTTCTATCTCATGATGAAGTTAGTGGAAAGTTTGATGTCTATATATATGCTGGCCAAGAAGTTATATGGTTGGGTTGGTTTGATTTTGGTTATACATTGATGGATTGTTAGCAATGCATGTATAATAATATATATGTAGATAAAAAAATTGATGTATTGTATTATACATATTTTGGTTTATATGATAGTTATTGTAGTATTTAAATAAGATATAATACTTTTTGGGTGAAATGTCACTGTCACCCTTTGTTTTTAATATAAAAAAGCAAAATACATCAAAAGGTAAGGAAATAGTTGGAAGAAGGAAAAAACTCCAACGATCTCAAACAAACAATCTCATTAAAAATTTGAGATTTAAGTAATACTCATTTTGAGTAATAATTTGCGTTATATCAGGCAAAGAATGCATGGATTGATTGTGCAGAAAATCCAAAAAAATGATGCAGTATGAACAATACATGCACGGTATGTAACTATCTCAATCAAATTATCATAAAAACCAAACTACGACGAAAAGTTAGTGGAAAGTTTGATGTTATATGCTGGCCAAATAGATGATTCAAATAAATATAGGTTTATTTCTGATGTGTTTGTTTATTGTTTATTTCTGATGTGTTTGTTTATATATTTTCTGTTTCTGATCAGTACACTACAAAAAAAAAAAAGTCTATGATAAGGGTTATTTTCGCCTATAACAAGGGTTTTATGAACCCTTGGACCAACCCTTGGCAGTTGGCAATGCTACCCTTGCTACACATAGCAAGAGTTTTAAGTGACCCTTGGTGAAAGTCACATGCAGGGGTTGTACCAAGGCTTTTGTTTACACTAAAAAAATAATCGTGTACCGCTTTGATTATTTACAAGACATTAACTGTCTTTATAAGGCCAGATCAACAATAACAATTAATGTTATTTAAACTGAGCCTACGATACTAGATTTTTAAACCCAAACGATTAGGCCTGACATGACGCGTGAGAATAAACTAAGTCTGGTGCCTCATCGCGACAAGCCTCCTCGCGTCAAGCCTCCTCGCGTCAAGTTGGTAGACCGCCTTGTCGCGACAAACCGCGTTGTCTAAACCACATCGCGAGTCTACAAGATAAGTGGAGAGAAGGTCACAAAATAAACGAAGTTCGAGCGCCAAGCCTCCTCGCGCCAGGCCACTTCGCGAGTCCGCCAAGCCTTTACTAAGTCTAAGTGTCAAGTCTCCTCGCGTAAAGTTTGGTAGACCGCCTCGTCGCGACAAGCCTCGTCGCGTCAAGTTTGGTAAACCACCTCGTAGAATTGTCATCATGTCTGACAAACCGCCTCGTCGCGAGATCTGGAATAGCCATGGTAAAGGAAAGGGCAAGTAACAAGACGTCAGTTCCAAAATTCTCACCAGACAATACAATGTCAAATTTTATCCCTTTATCCTTTCCTCTGCAATTTTAGCCGTAGTCGTAGATTTGGAGCTCTCTCAGAACCTCCATAGGAGTAGGAGTAACTTAATGTAGATCTGTCTCGAGAGTCGTGTAAACATTGATCTCCCTCGTTCGAACTGTGTTTGAAAAGGTGTGAACTGTGTTAAATTAATCGTTGTCCAAAGAAGTCAAGGTGCAATCAATATCAATTCAACGCAAGTTTTCTCGCCGGAGAACAGGTTTCGAACCCTTGCTATACGTCACTAATACTGAAAGGGATCCTTGACAGTTGACACATTACTTACGTGTAGCAAGGGTTGAAACCCATGCTACTTCGAGAAATTTTTCAGTGATCCCGGATCACCACATCAGGCATCCCATGTGGTGCTCCCCACCATTAAAAAAGCGACACGTGGAAAACTAGCCGCTTATAGTGTGAAGTAAATAGGTAGTTAATATTTTTTAATTTCTAGGGAAAATCCCTTCTCTTTCCTCGTAAATAGCTTCCCTCTTGCCCCACTAACACTCTATTACCTAATTAGAAGGAGAAAAAACTAAATAACAATTACTCACAGTCAAAGCAAACCATCGGCCGGGCTAATTAAGAAGAACTGCGAATGTTTTCATTGAAAGCTACTCCGAGACATGGAATGGAACTACTATTTCCAGCTTGACTTCTATTGTTAGGTCTTTAACCATTTAAGTTGGTCTGTACAAGTTTAATTTGATTGTCGAATATCATGAAAAAACCCCAAAGTACGATGTTGCTGCTGTTAAAAAACTGCAGATTCTGCCCCTAAAAATGCTGTAATTTACTCATCCGATTGTCAAATGTGCTTCAATTTACCATCTGTCGCATTCAAATTGGAAAGTGGCAAGTTCATACTGACTATAAGCGTACTTCATTTTCACTGCACAAGTGCACATATCCCTCATGGTCTCTACTAGCATCAGACAAAGATCCCTAATGAAAACATGCATATATATGGGTACTGCCTCCACCTAAAATTTATTATATAGCCATTCGATTTTGAGCTTAGAAATATCATTATTCAATTGAATCGTTGCATTACATTTGAAATTGAAAATATAACCATTAAACAGCCACCAAAACAATTCTTCCAAATTATAACACAAGCCCAAATTACCTTATCCCATCCCACTAGCACAAATTAGAACTAAATCGATAATGCATGTCGATAATTACATGCGTACAACCACCCAAGTATGCATCAATGGAGGAAAATGGTATGAAGTGATCAACCGAAAGACGAAGGAGAACATACACCAAGCGGACTGCCGCATAAGTCGCGCACTAACTCACAGTCCTCATCTGGTTGAAATTTCATTGCTTCATTTGGGGAATTTTTTTTAAAAAAAACTGGGGAATGTGTTAGAAAAGAAGAGATAGAGAATGGAGAACAGAGATGGGAAAATTGACAGAGGAAGTGAGAAATGAAAGGGAAGAAGAAAGCTGAAAGAAAAATTAAAAGAGAGAGAATAAAATAATAGAAAATAAGGAAAATGTACAATTACTTAACTATAATAGGGAAATTAATGAGTCAAACTTCAAAGTACTGCCGTTCACAGGGCTTTATATGAGCCGAGTCGAGTCGAGTTTTACCCCAGCTTGAGCTCGGCTCGTTAATAAACGAGTCGAGCTCGAGCTCAGCTCGTTTATTAACGAGTCGAGCTCGAGCTCAGCTCGTTTATTAAAATCTTAACTTTTATTTGGTACTTCATTTTGTATATCATGATACATATAATTTATTTTGTTAGTTAATATCATCTTATACTTTATACTTTGTTGGTATCATATATCGTTTAGTTAATAAATTTTAACTACTCCAAATCATGTTATTTCATTGCATCGAAGCAATCTATGATGCATAATTTCTTTTTAAAGTAGAAAATAAGATATATTTGCTCACATACTCAACGTGCAAAACTTTATATATGATGAGATATATAAATTAACAACCATATGAATTAAAATCATAAGATATAGATTGATTCGTCCATAAGTTGGTAATCGAGTTGGCTCTCTAGCCACATGTTAAGACATATCATGAGCTCTAAACGAGCCAGCTCACGAGTTTAGCTCAATAAGCCACCGAGTCGAGCTAGCTTGCGAGCTTCACGAGCTGAACAAAGGTGAGCTTGTGTTCGGCTCATTTATTAACGAGCCGAGTTTCGAACGAGCTTTTCTCGAGTCGAACGCCGAGCTGCTCGCGAGCACCTTTTTAAATGGTGGCCGAGCACCTTATTTGATATATATATATATATATATATATATATATATATATATATATATATGGCAAAGGCTAGCGTACATCTGCCGTACGCTGTACACCTGTGTTCACATCTATAAATTATTTTTTGTAATTAAATTAGTATTAGTAAATTATAATTACAAGTATAATAATTAATTAAATATTCCATACACTTTAGTCCCATAACTTCTTACTGTTTGTTACATTTATATCAAAATCATTTACGTATATATATTAGTATATATATTAACATATTCATCGGATTTGATTTCCTTTCTTGTCCAACATAATCATCCAAAGTAGAAACTTACCTGAACTGTGTCTTAAATGACACCATATTGTTCAAAAGTTATATCGAAAGAGCAGCCCCTGTTCTATATCAAGATTTTCATTGCTTCAAGGCACTATTGATCTCAACTGTGTTTTGTTCGGATTTTAGGGTTCTTTACTTGAGCTGGGTATTAAAGTTTTCATCATGTTCATGTACAAAGGGACAACCTCTTCCTAAACATCTTGCTTCAAATACTCTCTGACTTGCTCCTTAAAGTTTTTGCACATTAGTATTTTCCACTAGGTTGATCGATGAATCGAGAATTGCGAACGGCTTGAACGCACATGATAGTGGAATTGGAGAGATGAGAAAGCATAGCTATTACAGTGAATTTGGGGTTTAATTTGGGAAGGGGTGAGATGGAAACTTGGGATCATAAAGAAGATGATGGCGGGTCGATCAGAATAGGTGGAGATAAAAGACCGGAAGATCGAGAAGGACAAAGGAGAATTGAAGACTAAAACCAGTCTTTCACTTTTAATAAAATTGATGGACGGTAGAAATTGATAGGGACTAAAACGAACAAACAATTAATTGATGGATATATGATTGTAATTATCAATATAATTAATTTAAAGTTAATTAATAATTAATTTATAGGTGTGAACAAAGGTGGATAGCGTACGTCAGGTGTATGTTAGCCTGAACTATATATATATATATATATATATATTCCTCGGCGTCTGGCTCTATAAGTAGTAAGTACACAGTGAATAAATAGCTCAGTAAGAAACTAGCTACCGCAAATTAAAAATTAAGCTAGCTAGAGAGATCTCGATTCGATGGAAATGGATGCAACCACTGCGATCGAGCTCCTCGAAGCCCAGCCACGGGTTTGGGATCACTGCTTCAGCTACGTCAACGCAATGACCGTCCAATGCGCAGTCGAGCTGGAGATCGCGGATGCGGTTCACGGCCACGGCAAGCCTATCTCCTTGGGCGAGCTGGCCGCGGCCCTCGAAATCTCTCCGGCGAAAGCTCCGTTCCTCTCGCGCCTCATGCGCATGCTCGTCCACATGGCCTACTTCGTAGAAGAAGAAGAAGAAGGCGGCGGCTACTGGGTGGCGCCGCTCGGTCGGTTCCTGTTGAAGGACAGCCCATTCAACGCCAGGTCGTTCGTCACGTGCATGAACCATCCTAACCTCGTGGATCCCTGGCGCCACATGAGCGCTTGGTTTCGAGCCTCCGAAAACGGCGTCGTCGAGCCGCAGCCGCCGCCGCCTCCGCCTCCTTCCGCTCTAGCTCACGGCGGCAAGAAGCTCTACGAGGTGTGCTCGTCGGACCCGCCGTTCGGCAAGATGTTTGCCGAGGCGATGGGGGGCGACAGCTGGCTGTTCAGTAGGGCTTTGGTGGCCAAGTGCAAGGAGGCATTCGAAGGCTTGAGCTCGCTGGTGGACGTCGGCGGGAGCACCGGAACCACGGCTAAGGTCATCGCCGAGGCCTTCCCGGGGATTCATTGCACCGTGTTCGATCTCCCGCACGTGGTCGCCGCGGCAGAAGAAACCCATCGGAGTAGTAATCCGATCAGCTACGTGGCCGGCGACATGCTCACTGACGACGATATTCCACAAGCTGATGCACTGCTCTTCAAGGTACGTACACTACTGTTATTACGACTTACGATCCATCCTAATAATAAATTAGAAATGTTTGCTCGTCTACTTTTAGTATTTTTTGATTAATTAATTAGTCGGTATTTTTATTATTATTATTTGGGATATTAGTGCTGTTTATTGTTTTAATTAGCAGGATTTGGTTATTGTTTATTTGTAGGAGAATTAAGTTTGGTATTTTGGGTAGGAAAAGGAGAGTTGGGGCCGAACCACGGTGTAGTAAGTACAAAGGATTTGAGAGTTTCTATGCCTATAAATGAGAAATTTTACAATACTATATAGTATTGATGCTATAGGTTTTTTTCTTTATGGTACAACTTGAAATTGTACCTTTAACGTTATGGTACAATTTTAGATTATACCTATACTGTTTGTACAAATTCTTTTGTGGTACAACTTGAACTTGTACATTTATGTGATGGTACAACTTGTACATTTATGTGATGGTCGGCCAAACTGAAAAAATGGTTGCTGAAACCTTTCAGCGACCATAAATGAGGGTCGCCAACATGGTCGGCAATAGTACGTCGGCATAAGTCCAAGGCGACCCTTTTTTTATATAGTCGCCAAAAATCTACTTTAGGCGACTATAAATTATGGTTGGTGAAAATCCACTTAAGCGACTATTATTATGGTTGGAAATGCTAGTTTTCAGCGACTATCCAAAAATGGTTGGTGAAAGGCTAGAATTTCAGCCACCATATCTATGGTCGCTACAAGGCAGCATTTCAAGCAACAATCTCATTTATAGTTGTCAAATGGGGATTTGAGCGACCATTTGAGAGGGTCGCCAAAAAGTAAGAACTAGGTTGGTATTAAGCAAACCCTTCATTATGGTAGCCAAAAGGCATATTTAATTATTTATGGGACTAATATATTTGTAGCTCATCACTTCTTAATGTGTACATTCAATACTAATATATTGTAATAAGCTGCTTTCCAACAAAAGATATTATACTTGATATTAACAAAAGAGTAATTTACATAACAAGGAAAAGTGAATAGAAGTGTATTTCATACATATTTACATCCAAAATGAGACTGTTATTGTCCCTAGTAGGGGAACATTAGACAAAATGGGATTGTCAATCTCAATCCTTTAGACTTTATCCTATTCTCTACAACTAATCTCCAAAATCCAACATCAATAAAATTTATTCTATTATCTTCGACTAATCTTCTTGCCAAATCAAACATCAGTAGTCCATTCTAGCCATTGCAACTAATCTCCTTGTCAAAATCCTGCATACACGCCTGCTGTAAGTTAGCAACAAAAAAATATGGGAAAACCAACACAAACTAACTACTATCAAAACCACAAGAAACCTGCTGCATACACGAGCAAAAATTTGCAGAATCATATAGGTCATTAACAAGACTAAAATTGCAGAATCATATAGGTAATGAACAAGACTAAAACTGAAATCCAAGCAGAACAATATCGGTAGGCAAAATAACATAAGAAACATGCAGAAACCAGTTTCAAGACATGCAAAAACCTGTTGTAAAACGAATAAAGAACCCCTTATAAACTTGCTGCCAAAATCTTGGAAAAGCCATCACAGCCTACTGGGAACCCGACATGAAACTTGCTACATATAGAAGCAAAACCAGAAGCAAATATACTACAAAATATGGAGAACCATGTAAGGAAAGACAGTCAGAGGCCTGAACATAATCAAAATCCTGACCTAAACTTAAGACCTGAAGAGATTAAACAAAGACAGTCAGAGAGATTAAAGAAAGACAAAGTATGGGATAAGAAATAATGGACAAATCAAGATAGATATAAACGTCACCAACTTATACTTTGTAAGGAAGCCAATAATCACTAAATAAATTAAAACCAGTGATTAGGTTAGACATAACACAAATAAGAAACTATTTCTTCCTCTTAGAGAGGCCATCCCTAAAGTGGATGGGTTTCATAAAAGAATCAATGGGAGTGCACTTATAGGGTTACAGTTCTCAAATTTCAATAGTTTAGTGCTAAACTAATTACTTAAATTCAATAATTTAAACAAATTAACACATATGTGATCTATTGCCGTGTATAGACCAAATCTCCTTACCTTTTTTCTTCTGAAGAGCAGCACCGAATCTGAGAAGAGAGTCTTGTCTTCGATCAGTTAACTAAGTGAGAAAGCCCTCTAATAGGAAGGATAAACCTTCGCTCCTCCTCCTTCAATCGACGAGAAACACTGCGGCACTATGCTAGCTAATGTTTGATAGAGAACTCAACCGCCTTTTGGTTTCAGATGAATCCAGAGCTGGAGCTGATTGTGCTCAAGAAGAAGGGAAATAATAGATCTGCGGTCGGAGAGATGTTTGTGGCGAGGATGAATCGGAAGCTTTTCACCGCAATCTCGAGTCAGGGGAAGCGAACTCCCTTTTCTCGTCGCACCATCGTCGTCTCACCTTGTCAGTCCCTGCTGCTTCTCTGCGGTCACCCTCTCGCCAAATAATCGTCTCGGCCCGACGTTTCTTTGGAGACCGCCAGATCTGGGGAGGTCTGGGCGTGGAGGGAGACACTGCCGCCTCAGCTGCCTGTAGTGAGTAGAGAACCGGGGAAGAAGATGGGAAATTAAGGATTTGAATCTGAAAGTGAAATGGCCAAAACGATGATCGATTGTAATTATTTCAAAACACCCCCCACCCCCCAAAATAAAACGACAGCGTTTGGCATTTGGGCCGAGGCTACACCAACCATTTTGTATATGGTTGCTTAAGTACAGAGTATAACCAACCATATTCTAAATGGTTGATGCATTTTTTGCTATCGACAACCATTTAGAGTTAAGTAATCGTTGCACAAAGATTGAGTATTACCAACCATTTTGTCAAGGTTGCTACAGTTTTTGTTTATCAACAACTCTTAGACTTTTAGTTGCTTAAGTACAGAGTATAACCAACTATTTCACAAATGGTTGTCGAAGTCTTTGTTTATTAGCAAGCATGTACGTCGTGGTTGCTTAAGTATAGGGTATCACCAACCATTTTACAAATAGTTGTCGAAGTCTTCATTTATCAGCGACTATGTACATCATGGTTGTTTAAGGGTAGGGTACCTCCAACCATTTCACAAATGGTTGTCGAAAATTTTATTTATCAACAACCATGTACAAAATGGTTGCTTAAGGATATGGTATCAACAACTATTTCAGAAATGGTCGTCAAAGTTTTTATTTATCAGCAACCATTTACATTATGGTTGCTTAAGGGTATGGTATCACCAACCATTTTGCGTATGGTTGTTGAAATTTAGATTATGGGCAACCATTTTAGTACTGGTTGCACTAGAGTTTTGTATCAGCTACCATTTTTTGAATGGTTGGAAAAAACTGGTTATAAGCAACCATTTTTGTATGGTCGCCAAGAAAATGGTAGCTGAAGGTCTTTTTTCTTGTAGTGATTCTTTTGTGGTACAATCTAAACTTATACATTTCATGTTATAGTACAACTTTAAGTTGTACATTAAAACACCGATACTATATATATAGTAGAAATGCTCGCCTATAAATATGTACTTTGTCTTTCGTTTAGTAATAAGAAAAGATTGGAACTAAAACATATTTTTTCCCCTTTGGCGTCAAGGGGGTCCTTAATTGGCCCCATCTTGGCTCCAGCATACGACAACAAAAGATAATATTATGATGGTGTTGTGGGAAGATAGAATTCAAATCTGAATATTTTCTTATTATCAAGAAGAAGCGTATGTATCAATAAATTATATTTAGTTTACTGAACTACATGTTACTTATATTCATGTACATTTTACTATATTTTGTTTTGTAAACAGTAAACTTAGTACCAATCAATAGAAGTCTTAGAAAGAAAAAGAAAAAAAAACATTTTTCACTAAGTACTTGCATTATCGTGATCGTCATTATTTTGGGTGAGCAGTGGGTGTTAATTGACTGGCCGGATGAACGTTGCCTGCAAGTTCTGAAGCAGTGCAAGAAAGCGTTGACCAAGAACGGCGGGAAGGGGAAGGTGATGATCGCCGACCACGTGCTGGGGCATGAGAGTTTCAACGACAGCAGCTCCTTGGTGTTCGATCTCGTAAACATGGCATGTCTCGAAGGTCATTTTAGGACGGAGGAACAGTGGTCGAAGCTCTTCTCCGATGCTGGCTTCACCAACTACACCATCATTCCGGTGGGTGGCCTGCGAGTCCTCATCCAAGTCTATCCTTAATCGATCTTACGTATTAAGTATGCGTACTCATACTGATGTACGTACGTGTGATCAATTTTAATTAATGACTTATGTTTCTCGTTTCGAATAAGGTTATCAATCACACGTGGTTGTTTAGATCTGTGGTCGCGTGCGAGATCCGCAGCTCTCGGGATGGTGATAATAACAATAATAGTCACATGGGTGTTGATTAATGTTATAATTATTTATTACCTGTTATGGGACAATCCAAGTACCACATCGGTTGTACAAGGAAAGGAATCCTTGTATATAAGTGTCCACCAAGCTCATTAGTACGAGGCCTTTTAGGGAGGAAACCCAAGAGTAAAACCGTGCGGGCTTGGCCCAAAGCGGACAATATCGTACTAATGGAGCACCCCGGTTATGACAAGTGGTATCAGAGCCTGGTTCGGCGGATCCGGGGCGGTGGACGTCAGTTTGGTGGACCCTCATTCGGTGGCCTCGGGATTTGTGATTCGCGTCTGTTTGGTGGGATCCACGAGAGATCCACGTTTGGGCTTTGGCGGATCAAAGAGAGTTCCGCATTTGGGAAGCAGATCAAAGAGAGTTCTGCGTCTGGTAAAGTCCTTGTACCGAGAAACCCATCGATACAAGGCGTTTGGCGGATCAAGATAATGGCTGAGGTGAGGACACGAAGTTCGTGGTCCTTGGCTTGAGGGGAGGATTGTTATGATACAATCCAAGTACCACATCGGTAATACAAGGGAAGGAACCCTTGTATATTAGTGTCCACCAAGCTCATTAGTACGAGGCCTTTTGGGGAGGATACCCAAGAGTAAAACCGTGCGGGCTTGGCCCAAAGCGGACAATATCGTACTAATGGGCTACCCAGTTATGACAAGTGGTATCAGAGCCTGGTTCGGCGGATCCGGGGCGGTGGACGTCAGTTTGGTGGACCCTCATTCGGTGGCCTCGGGATTTGCGATTCGCGTCTGTTTGGTGGATCCACGAGAGATCCACGTTTGGGCTTTGGCGGATCAAAGAGAGTTCCGCATTTGGGAAGCAGATCAAAGAGAGTTCTGCGTCTGGTAAAGTCCTTGTACCGAGAATCCCATCGATACAAGGCGTCTGGCGGATCAAGATAATCGTTGAGGAGAGGACACGAAGTTCGTGGTCCTTGGCTTGAGGGGAGGATTGTTATGGGACAATCCAAGTACCACATCGGTTGTACAAGGAAAGGAATCCTTGTATATAAGTGTCCACCAAGCTCATTAGTACGAGGCCTTTTGGGGAGGAAACCCAAGAGTAAAACCGTGCGGGCTTGGCCCAAAGCGGACAATATCGTACTAATGGAGCACCCCGGTTATGACATTACCCAACCCAACCCAACATAAGATAAGATTAGTATTGTATTGTATTAGTCTTTGGGCAAGGGTGGTCCGAGGAAAGTACTTAAGGCGCACGGAAGGGGGATGGAAGCAGAGAGAGTGGTAGATTATCTAACCTATGGCGAGGGGTATTGTGCATCCTACATTATATTCTAGAGGGAGTGATGTGGAACATCCAGAGTGGCATGCAGACTATGTTCTGGACGGATAGATGGTTGTTTGATGGGCCGCCCTTAGTGGAATTTGCGGCCAGTCTCCCGAGCGAAGCAAAGCGGCTGACTGTGGCCGAGATGACCTTGAATGGGCACTGGAACATGGACTTTGTACGTGCCTTTCTTCCTGAAGAGATAGCTCTACAAGTGCAGCTCCATCCAACCCCACAAATTGCAGGAGACGATATCACAGTGTGGCACCTTTCAAATTCAGGGCGCTTTACGCTCCATACAGCTTATGATCTTGTTCGTGGGGGAGATGATGACCCACACCATCACCCGAAGTGGAGGAGTATCTGGCGCATTGAAGGACCACAACGCACTCGTACCTTTTTGCTGGTTAGTACTGCACCAAAAACTCCTTACTAATGCATAACGTTATCGTCGTCACTTGGCTTCCTCGGACAGCTGTCCAATCTGCGGGGGTGAGACGGAGACAGTGATACACGTTATAAGGGAATGCCCTTATGCTCGGCTTGTGTGGTCGGTATTCCTTGAGGGTGAAGCCGACGCAGTATTTAATGAAGGGGATGTAAATAAGTGGGTTATGCATTACTTAGGCGGCAGGAGCGGTGTGGTTGAAGCCCCCATGTTTGCTATACTTTGTTGGCAGTTCTGGAAGAATAGGAATGCTTGGGTATTTGAAAAGAAGCTAGCGCCAGCCATCCAACTTGCTTACCAAGTGCGACAGTTACATGGTCAGACTCTCTCAGCTTTCAACAAGGTGAGTACGGTAATGAGTAGTGGTGGGGGGAGTCGTAGTAGTATGATCAGCTGGGAACGACCTCCGACAGGCTGCTTAAACACGGATGGTTCCGTCATGTTAGCTCATAAAAGCACAGCTGCGGGAGGAGTTCTTAAGGGGTGTGATGGGAGATTCATCAAGGCGTTTGATGTCAATCTAGGTGGAGGTTCGATAACTCATGCAGAGTTGAGAGGTATAGCTCATGGACTGCGTATTGCCTGGGATGAGGGGCTCCGGAAAGTTTTACTACAGACTGACTCGACAACAGCAATCAGCCTGCTGAAAGATGAGGATTCCCACACAATCCCCATTACACCTTGATTGCTTCAATCCGCGCTGAAGGCAACTATGTTGCGGATTACTTGGCGTCTGTTGGCCATTCTTTACCTATAGGGGTTCATCTGTTTGATGTCCCGGGTCATGCCTTACGTTATTGGCTGTATTTTAACACTATTGGGGTCCAGCCCCCGCGAGTTATCGCTAATTAAAGGGTTAGAGCTCCCCTAGCACTCTGTTTCTTACAAATAAAAAAAATAATAAACTCTACATTGGGTCGTTTGCTTGTTGGATTTGAAAAATGAGGGTTTTGGTCAACAAAAATCTTGGGATTTATGTTGGATTTATTGGATTATGGATTTGAAGAGTCTAATGTTTGCATGATAGTTTGATGATGGATTTGTGATGGATTTGTTAAATAAATAACTAGCCATCAAGGATTTGCGAATCCCAAATCAATATGCGGGATTTACAAGTCCGTGGGGTCCACGGATTTGATTCCAAAATAAAGACCAAATCCGTGGACCCCACGGATTTAGCACCCTTCAACAAACAATGGACTTATGTTAAATCCATCAAGCTTGGGATTTGGGTACCAAATCCATGACCCAAATCCAACAAGCAAACGACCCCTTAGGTGTCGTTTGGAGAATATGAGTTTAAATCTATCGATTGTCAACAATCTAAAGATTCTAACTCTTTGGATTGTTGAAAATATATTTTAAAATTTTTATTGTTTGGTAACTGTGATTGTTAACATTCAATGAAAATAAAAATAAAAATTTTATATTAAATAACATGTTTATCCTTAATAGAAATTTAGAGTATAAATATATTTAATATGATAAATAAATAAAAGAAAGAGAAAAAGTAGGAGAAAAAAATCTCACAAATCAAGATATAGAATCTCTCTGATTATGAGAGAGTTGATATCTATAAATTTTAGAGATTTGAAATCTCTAAAGCTAAAATCCACAATACAAAAAGCAACAAAAAAACATAACTTTTTACAAAATATACGGATTCAATGAATCCACGCCCTAAATCTCGTTCTCCAAACGACCCCTAATGTATTACCATTAATAGTTGGTAGTAATAGGAATCATCGTATTCATTCCAACTCAACCGATAATCGAATCGAAAAAGACGACTTGTGATTAACTAGTAATTGATAATTTTTTAATGATTCGGCTATTGCTTAGTTAATTTTGCTTAATTAATGATTAACTAGTATAACAGCATCGTTTTAGATTGTGAGTGAGAGAAAAGTTAAAGTCTCAAGATTCAAGACGAACCAAAGTCGTCATTCCGTAATCGTCAAACCTCTCCAATTGCAAACAACACTTCATTCAAAATCCTAAATATGATTGCTTTGCTTTGCTTTGTTGATTTGGTTTGGTTTGTTGCTCCGATTTGTTGATTTTATCCACCTGAAAGTATGATTGTTGTGATATGGGATTTATGTTCATCCAAGGTTATTCTGCGTCTTTGTCGTTCTCGTTATTCTGCTTCAAATGTTCAGCTTCAAACCCTACCTCTTGCTCTTAGTCTCTCACTTGCGCAGCTGGCAGCCGCTGCTTTGCTGGTCTCACTCCAGCGCCTCCCGACGGAGACGACAAAGCACAGGGCGGCAGACGACGGAGCGACCACCGACGACCACAACTTCGGTCCCACCTCTCGCCAGAACCACCAAACGATCATCTTAATTTAGAGATAAACTCTTTCTGAAGAGATCATCTTGTAAAAATACGTAACGTATTTTCCTATGGTATCTAACGAATATGCATTTCTCATACTTGCATCCAAACTTAATCGATGTTAAACATTCAACATAAACGTCTCAAATTGAAATAATAACCCCTATATATAATCCCACGTTTCTCACTCCGTAACTTATATTGTGTCCTTCAAACCGTTTGAGATATGAGTTCGATTCACTGCAAGTATAGTTGCGTCTTAGACGTACCCCTAATTAAATGAGACACGTAGCAAAAATATCTCATTCATCGAACAATGTATTAAAAAACCTTTGATTACACGTCACTTGTTATACAATGGCATTCTAGTTTTGGACTGAGCTGCGAAGTGTCACATTCTTGCAAGTGACCAAAAAATAGTGTGTATGTACTCTCCATCTCCACTTAGATAAGGTTAAAGCGCAGCAATAAATAGTTTGTATGTACTGATAGATTGTGTTAAAATATAATAATATAAATTACCCTTATCCTATATTTTTCAAAGAAGAGATCTTATGTCAGTAGTCAGTACTAACCAGCCTACAGATCCATTTTCTTCGGTACCAAATTAATTAAGCACATGCAACCATTTTTACTACTGAAATCAAAGATCTGAAACATAAAATAACCAAAGTTCCAAACCCTTGCAAATCTCCCCCTACATAGCTTTTTCAACCACTCAACCATTAGTCAAAACTCATACTCCACTTCCGACTTCCTCATCAAATTGGATCCTCATCTTTCTGATATGCAAAATTTCTGGTATTTCCTCAAATTCTAGAATCCTCGCAGTAGTTGATGATTTAAATATAAAACTTTTTCTCTGGAGAGATCATCACCTAGTACTCTCTCCATTTCAAGTACCGATAAATTATGTTAATATATAATAAACCCTTATCCTATATTTTTCAAAGGAAAGATACCTTATCCTTATGTCAGTACTTGACCAGCTCCCCAATATTAATTATTCTTTGGTTTAATTACTTGTCCAGAACAGATATCATCACATGCAACCATTTTTATATTTATTAACCGCATCAGCATATGTTTAATTACTTGCTACGAAAACAAAATTCAAAGCTAGATCTGAAACAGAAAATATAAACAAATTAAATAGAGAGACGCGCTCACAACACAACCAATATAGCTAGCTAAGCTAGTAGTGGTGCGTGTTTTCATTACCCTTAGAAAAACCTTAAACCAAAAGATGATGATGATCTCTTGCTCTTCCTTCTTCGACATCCCTTTCCTCGCCACGCTGATTGCACTCATTCTTGCAGCCACCTTATTCATCATCCGAGACCATAGAAAGCTAACAAAAACGACCGCCGGTTCAAACTTGCCGCCGGGGCCATGGAAGCTCCCCATAATAGGCAACATCCACCAGATGGTCGGCGACCAACCCCACCGCCGACTCAGGGACCTCGCCCGCAAACACGGGCCCGACGTGATGCGCCTCCAACTAGGGCACCTTCCGGTCATCGTAATCTCAACCCCTGAATCCGCCAAGCTCGTGATGAAAACCCACGACCTAGCTTTCGCTTCGAGGCCTCATCTCCTGGCTGCAGACATACTCTACTACGGTTGCAAGGACATAGGGTTTTCGCCCTACGGAGAGTACTGGAGGCAGATGCGCAAGCTCTGCACCCAGGAGCTCTTCAGCGCCAAGCGCGTTCTGTCTTTCGGACACATCAGGGAACAGGAGGTCTCCAAACTCGTCGCTTCTCTCGCTCTTTCAGCAGCTGGAGGGAAGCGGCCTGTGGATCTCGGTCGGGCGTTTCACACTTTGATGAGTACCGTCACTTCCAGGGCAGTATTCGGTAAACCGCAAGAACTGACCGATGCTTTCATGGTCATTCTCAACAACATTTCCGATGTTTTTGCAAGTTTCAAAATCTCCGATCTGTATCCTTCCCTTAAACTACTGCCCGCCCTAACCGGTTACAAAGCTCAGCTAGAGAAGATGCACAAGGCGGCCGATACGATCCTGGTTCGAATTATAGATGAACATAAATCCAGAAGAAAGGTGGCAATTAGGGAAGACGATCATGATCATCATCATCATCATCATGGTGAAAATGAGGATCTTGTTGATGTGCTTCTGAATCTTCATGAGCAACAGGATATTGGAGTTCCCATCACAATGGAGGTCATAAAAGCAATAACTTTGGTGAGTATATATATATATGGAGGTATCATGACATAATGTTACTATTGTTCTTTCTTAGGTTGCTTTTGATTGATCTGATTATTAATGTTCAAATGGTAAAATGATTTGTGACAAAGTCTGATAAAGCTTGGGGGGGGGGGGGCTATAAGGTATCATGATGTTACTAGGGATATAGCAATTTTAGTTTGGTCAATTTGTTGCTTTCTAATTACCATACTCACAACATATTGATTTTATTAGGAACTGTTTCTGGCTAGTATTGAGACAACATCAAGAGCAATAGAGTGGACCATGTCAGAAATGGTAAACGATTCGAGAGTGCTGCAAAAAGCACAACAAGAGGTCAGGCAAGTATTTGGCAATGACATAAAAAATCATTTCGATGAGGCAAGCCTTGATCAATTGAAGTATTTGGATATGGTTATCGCCGAGAGTTTAAGGTTACACCCACCAGCTCCTTTGGTGGCTCCAAGAGAAAATAGAGATAAAAAAGTGCAACTCAATTTATATGAGGTCCCGGTCAACACCAATGTCATCGTGAATGCATGGGCGGTCAATCGAGATCCTCGTTATTGGACAGAGCCAGAGAAATTTTACCCAGAAAGGTTTATGAACTGCTCAATCGATTATCAAGGAAACGATTTTCGATTCATTCCATTCGGTGCAGGAAGAAGAATATGCCCTGGAGCTTCTTTTGGGATGGCAGTCGTGAAAATCACTCTAGCAAGTTTGCTTTCTAATTTTGACTGGACACTTCCCGATGATCTGAAAAGCATTGATATGACGGAATGCTTTGAAGCAACACTCAAAAGACAATATGCTCTCCTTCTAATTCCAGTTTTACGGCCGCCCGCTTTGAATTAAGAAAAATCAAAACGCTAATAAAGATGCTCATTATGTATTGGCAATTTCTTTTAATTATGTATGAATAATTTCTTTATTTCTACCGGCATTTTTGTATTTTATATATATATATTTGCTTTATCAAAGAAATTAGGGTTAATTCTACTAGAACATACGAAGTATAAAAAAACCTAACACTTCACTAATAACTAACAAGGATAATTATCACAGAATGAGCCATTTTAAGGAGGCCAAACACCACTTTTCTGCACATCCCAATGCTAATGTAGTTCAGCCTTTGGTGTTCTTATTAATCTCCCCCTATCATTAGTTCTTGAAAAAGTAGTATCATTATCTTGATAATCGAAGTCAATCTTCTATATACAACAAGAATAAAGACGCGGAATAACCTTGGATGCACAGAAATCCCATATCACAACAATCATATTTTGAGGTGGATAAAATCAACAAACTGAGCACCAAACCAAATCAACAAGGAAATCCCACCACGTGCTTAGGGGTAATTACCCGCGAGCGGCTGGCTAAGCATGATGAGGTGCCCACTTGGGTGGTTGATGTTGAAGGGTGTCAATGCTTGACACTTGACCCCCCTTGTGTGACGGGTGGGTGTTTGGTGGGTCAAGTGGTCTGTGTTGAGGTACTTGGTATGAAGCCCAAAATACTATTATTTAGGCCCAGCCTAAGCCAATTTAATTAACATAGTTAAGTTGACCTTATAAATCACTACCACTCCTTGAAAATAATCAATGTGGAATTGAGTGATTTTTTTAATGGTAAACATTAATTTAACTTAATACAAGGAATGCCTAAGAAGGAAGCTTTGGTTAAGGTTTTTCTATGGTAATGAAGCTTATTCGTATGAGGATCTGAAAGCACCCACCACTACTATATTGGTTGTGAGCGTCTCTCTATACGGTGCTTTATGTATTGGGATTATTTGTTTATATTTTTTTCGGTAATGTTTTTATTTTCTGGTTCAGATCTTTGATTTTTTTCCGTTGTAAACATACGCTGATGTGGATATAAGGAGAGGTTGATGAAATTAATGAGATTGCATAAAGAAATTGATGAATTAGTTGAGATCTATGAAAATTTAGATTTGTGCATGAATATATGTGAAATTTCACAAATTAAATGATTTATAAGACAGCTTAAGAAAATTGATTACATGCGTTAATGATGTGACTTTTTTAGCTTGCAAACAAAAGTAAACCCTCCAGTTGAGGACTAAATAATAAATAGTAAGAGAAATGGAAGTAAAAAAATGCCTGATCATATGGTATTGTGGAGAACCAAATTTTCATAATACTATGGCAGTGTTTTTTATGAAATACAACACACACAAAAAAACAGATGACCCGTAGGATTAAAGAAATTATACATATGAAAGCAAAGAGAAGAGTAGTTGTTTTTCATAATTCAAAGCACGCTGCCATATTGAGTTGGAAGAAGATGAAGTGCATATTGTCTTCTGAGTGTAGCTCCAAAGCATTCTGTCAGATTAATGCTTTTCTGTTCAGCCGGAAGTGCCCAGTCAAAATGGAAAAGCAAACTAGCTAGAGTAAGTTTCACGACCGCCGTTCCAAAAGAAACTCCAGGGCACATCCTTCTCCCAGCACCAAATGGAATGAACTGAAAATCGTTCCCCGTATAATCAATGGAGCGGTCCATAAATCTCTCCGGAACAAATCTCTCCGCCTCCGTCCAGTAACGGGGATCTCGATTGACCGCCCATGCATTCACGATAACATGGGTGTTGGCCGGGACGACGTACGAATTCAGCTTCACCTGCCGCTCTCTATTTTCTCGCGGAACGAGCAGAGGACCCGGCGGGTGTAATCTTAAAGTCTCGGCGATGACCATATCCAAATACTTCAACCGATGAAGGCTAGCTTCGTCCACACTATTTTCGCGGTCATCACCGAGCGCCTGTCTCACCTCCTGTTGTGCTTTATGTAGTATTCTCGGATTATTTATCATTTCTGACATGCTCCACTCAACCGTTGACGCTGATGTGTCAACACCACCCATAAATAGTTCCTAATAATGTCTACACTGTGAGCATGATCATAATCTTTATATATATAAAAAATAATAAAAAAACCCTAATCCAAATCAAGAGAACAATACTCACCAAAGTCACTGCTTTAATGACATCCATGGTGATGGGAACTCCAGCATCCTGGTTTTCCTGAAGGTTGAGAAGGATATCAAGAACATTCTCTTCGTCATCACCTTTGCTTTCGGGGGCCGTCGTCGTTGACGATCTCCTGGATCTGTTGTCGTCGATGATCCGGTCTAGTACCGAGTCCGACGCCTTCCGCAGCTTCTCCAGCCTTGCTTTCAACCCAGTGAGGGCAGGCAGCCATTTGAGTGAAGGATAGAGATCAGAGATTGCGAATCCTCCCAAAACCTCCGAAATGTTGTCGAAAACCACCTGGAAAGCACGATCGGTGGTCAGCTGCTGCGATTTGCCGAATGCAGCCCTGGAAGTTATGGCGGTCGTCAAAGCAGGCAGCATCGTGCTGAGATCCACGGCTTTCCCTGCAGCTGCTGCGCGAGCAATGGAGGCCACGAGATCGGAGACCTCCGCTTCCCTTATGGAGCGGAAGGATCGGACTCGTTGGGCGCTGAGAAGCTCCAGGGTGCAGATCTTGCGCATCTGCTTCCAGAACTCTCCGTAGGGCGCCAGGGTTAGGCTCTTGCTGCCGTAGAAGACTAAATCTGCAGCCAGGAGACGGGGCCGTGACGCGAAGGCCTTGTCGTGGGTTTTCATGACTAGTTTGGCGGCTTCAGGGGTCGAGATTACGATGCAAGAGAGCTCGCCGAGCTGGAGGCGCATGACGTCGGGGCCGTGTTTGCGGGCGAGGTCCCTGAGCCGGCGGTGGGGTTGGTCGCCGACCATCTGGTGGATGTTGCCTATGATGGGGAGCTTCCATGGGCCCGGCGGCGAGTTTGAACCGGCGGTTGTGGTTAGCTTTCTATGGTTTCGGACGATGAATAAGGTGGCTGCAAGAATGATTGCAATTAGCGTGGTGAGGAGGAAGGGGATGGAGAAGAAGGAAGAGGAAGAGAGCATGAGGTTTTGGTTGAGGGATTCCATGGTAATAATGAAGCTTATTGGCCGGTCTGAGGATCTGAAAACACCCACCAGCAGGCCACTACTGCTATATATTTTTTTCTGTTTCAGAGCTTTGATTATTCAGTGGTAAAAATTAAATGGTACGTTGCATGTGCTTGATTAATTTGGGACCGAAGAAAATGGATCTGTACGCTGGTTAGCACTGACGTATTTTCTTTGAAAAATATATAGGATAAGGGTTTATTATATCTTATACACAATTTATCAGTGTGTATGCTATTGCTGCGCTTTAATTTATCACTTATGACTTACCCTGTATTTTCCCAAAGAAAATATAAATTATTATGCACATTAATTAGCATGTCGCGTTACCCAATATAGTTTTGGTTTAATTAGTTGTCAAGATCAGCTATCAGCCTATCATCACATGCAGCCAATTTTAATATTAATTAAACCACGTCCCGCCCAGCACTAGTACGGGTCGGGGCGAGTAATATCCGTGCGGGTACGGGGCGGGGCGACCCACTCTTACATGCTATTTGAGAAAAATACACACTAAATTTTACTTTTAATGATAAAACGAAAAAGAAAAGACTTTTTTGGTAGAAAAAAAAAAGAAAACGAAAAAGAAAAGACTTTATGAATGAATAATAGTGATAATATAATGGGTAACTGAGTCTATTTAGTTGAAAGATCAAGTCTAACTAGTTGAAGAAAAGCCAAAATAGGAGATATATGAATGGATGGAGTAAGAAATTGACCTAAGAATGGGGTTGGGCGGGTCAGGGCGGGTCGAAATTTGATACCCATGCTCCGCCCCACGCTACTGCGGGTCGGGTAATACCCGCCCCATCGCGGGTCAGGTCGAGAAATAGCCGGCCGGTGGGTTCAAATTGCCATCTCTAAATACATGAAGATAGGAAATCGGTTTCGTAACACTTTTTGATATTGCTGAATGCTGACGCCTAGGCATACCTAAACATAATAAGATTATTCACGCCTTTTTGAACCATGCTATGGAGAGGAAAAAAAGATATACACGCGCGCGGTACGTAGGTGTACCTTGAAGAGCAGTGCATCAACTTGTGGAAGGGAAGTTAGCTAGCAAGATGCAGCAGCTTCACCATTTGAAGTTTGAAGGGAAGTTAGCTAGCCAACAGTGCGGCAACATTCTCAAGTCAAAACTGTTTTCTCTCCAAGCTTGGTGTGCACATTCTGTGCTCACCCGCTAGCCGGGGGGGTATCAGGAGATATTTCAAGTTATCGTCAAGACTTAAACGGGCGACCATGAATGTCAAAGTGGATCGACAAGGTTTAGAGGAAATCATCATCATCAAGTTTAGTTTAATGTCAATGTGTGTTTAGACTTTAGTTTGAGTTAATGTTTTACCTTTGTAGTCTCCAAATGATAGCTTGCACATGTTGTCTTGTAGTGCAAAGCTTTTGCCTATTTAAACCCAAAAATGAATGAGAAACACCCAAGACTTCTAAGATTTCATTTTCCCCTACTCATCTTTGTTGTTAGTGGCCGTGAACCGCATCTACGGTCTCCAGCTCGACTGCACATTGGACGGTCATGACGTTGACGTAGCTAAAGCAGCGGTCCCAAACCCGGGGCTAGGCTTCAAGAAGCTCCATTGCAGTGGTTGTATCCATTCCCAAAATCGATCTCTCTCTAACTAGCTTACCTTAGTTTTTAATTTGCTAGCTTTCCTTACTGAGCTATTTATTGTGTACTTATACAGGCGGACACAGAGAAACAAAGCATTTTGGAGAGGTGTATTTCAAATGTAAAGTATTTGAAACACATGTAATTCAAATTGGTTGTTTGAATACTTATTTGTAGTTTGTTTGTATTTTAAATTTTATAATTTTTTATTTTTATGGTCACTTACTACAATTTTGATAAATTACTGTTTGGTATCTAAATTTATATTTTCTTATAATTTAGTACCTATAATTTTAAAATTTTACAAAACTAACATAATTTTTTATTGAAAAATTACATTTCGGTACCTTTATATGTTCTGTCTCACACTTTAATACCTAAAATTTTAAAATTTAACAAATTCGTCCAATCTTTTTTTAGGAGGTAGTTCAAATCACTAGTTGTTGAAATGTATGTGAAGTTGAGAAGTAATACACTAGACATGTATTTGGAAATCACCTCATGAATTTGGCACAAATCCAAATAACAAATGTAATTAATATCCAAATACATAATTTGATATTTAGAAATGAAAATCACAAATACCAAATCCAAATCGCTTTGTCCAAGCACACCCTAATATATTAGAACATGCTTTAGATGGCATGGATTCATGCCATAATTATTCACAATATTATTTTTGAAGGGAACTCGATTCATATGAAGTCGATTCATATGAAGTCCCAGTAAACACCAACGTCATCTTGTGTGTATGGTGTTTCTTTTCTTCTTGATTTTTTGGTTTTTTTTACCGTTGTTGTTATTGAAATTGTTAATGTTTCTTTCCTTTTATGTGTTGAATTGGTAGTACACGAATTTGGATAATGCCTTACACATAATCAAGTGCATCTGACATGAATTCATCCAAATAAGAAAGATTGTTGATGTAACCCAAACTTTTATTGATACGAAAACAGAGAAAAGATGAAAAGGAAAAAGGATTTGAACAACAGTCCAGGGAAGAAAGGAAGCACACATGCATCACACACATAAAGTTCCAAAAGCATGAAGAGCAAGAACCATCGATGGATCACACAACAACAACAATGAACAACAACTAAAGAGAAGAGACCAACTGATGATTTCTTCAAAGAGGCACGGGATCGATGAACAACGAAGCGAGGTGATCCTTCAGGAGGTGGGATTTGGTGTAGCGATCATCGGTGTCGTAAAACAAATTGACGGAACTTGTCAAGTGGAGGAAGCGGTCGAGGAGAACTACCGGCAACGGAGTTGGCCTCTGATACACTTCAGCAATATCTTTCCAACATTCAGAAATCATCTTCCATAAACATTCAACCGCTTCTTCCTCCGACACCCCATACTCCTTCATGTAACATTCGACAGAGGAAGCGGCATGACCCCTCTCTTGTTCAAACTACGCAACAAACACCAACAACAAAAACCACAATATAACTATGAAATGCACTTAATTACTCCCCCGTGTTAATTATTTCATAAAATAACACAATATATAATAATTATCAATCATCATCACGTACCTTGTGAGACAAAATGTCATTTTGAACCCTAGCAATGACAGAGCCAGCTCTCATCATTTTAGAGTCCATAGCCAGCCATTCAAAAGCCTCCCTGTTGGCGATCTCTGCTCCCATACCAATGAAAGCGCATGCGGTGACTATGGCCATTCCGCTGGTGACAAATCCTTCTGTCATATACTCTTCCAGCGTCGGAACTCGGCCTTCAGTGCGCCACCGAACCTCACCCAGGTAGGCTCGGGAAAATTTCTTGAGCTACAATATATATTATGTATAACCAATACCAAAATTTAGCGGCAATAATCTTTCTTTTGGTTCACTTGGAAAGAACAATTAGCAGAACTTTACATGTCTGTCTATCATATATAATACAACATGCATTTGCAACAAATAGATTACCTCTTCCCTATTGTAATCCATAGCAAAAGTGGGTCCTATTTTTCCGATTTCCCTCTCAACTTCATCGTACAGAATAAAGATGACATCGTAAATGTTTTTCATCCTGTCAGGTAGTCCTTGAAGAGCGCAAACATCCATCCTGAAAGAAATATGCACATATAGATATGCATTTACACAAATCAATTATGAAGAGAAAGAGCTCCATATATCTAATTGATACATCTATAGAGAGTTCTATGGTATATATATAAGGATATCGCATATGTTAATTATTAAAAAAAAAAAAACTTTATCTGTCTAAACATTGAATTAACTAGAGAGTTTATGGAATGATGATATATGCTAAACCATAATAACTAAGTAAAACATACATCTTAATTTTATAAATCATATACTCTAAGATCAATTTCATTAGAAACAATAACCGGGGCCTGTGATTTGCCGAAATACATCCAACATACTAGAGGCATCATTTTAGGATTTAGCTTTTAGTGTTTTGAAAATCAGGATCTAAAGTATACTCATTAAGGATTAGGGTATAGTATCATGTCACAAAATCTGGTTAATTCAAAGTGTAGATATATCCTAATTAGCACGATAGAAGCAAACTATATGCAGGTATAAGATGTTGCGGTAAGAACCTTTCAATAGCTTCGGTTAGGGTTCGAGCCTCTTCATATGTAGCCAAGTTATCGTAAGTGTCGTCCAGGATTGACAACACTGCCAAGATCTTGGTGGCTATAATCCTTGCAAACCGATATTTGGGCTAAAAAAACATACAAATGATCCAATAATAGCACTCCACGAGTCTGTCTCTTGCATACGGAAAATTGCTCGGCACGTCAAGACTATTCCACCAGCTGTATGAATATCACAAAATTTAGACAAGGCAATTCAGGTGATCAAATAAATAAATGGTCTACATTAGAACTCACTCAGAGAGTTCGTAGAGCTCCTCTTGATGGATCTTTTGGACCATGTTGAAGTCCAACTTTGCAAACTTGAGAAGCTTTTGATTCTGCAGAGAGTCCTCATAGTAGAAATTATCTATGGAGTGCCTAGCAAGTGACCTTGGGACACATTTCCAAGCGGGAATTCGGAGGGCAAAGTCGATTTGCTTATGGGATGAAGGGTTGATCTTATCGTGCTGAAGCATTGATTTAAGGGTCTTCGTCGCAAAATCTAGGGCTTCATCTAGTTTTTCTTCTCCATTAAATGCAATATGTGCTGCCTCGTACAAGCTCAACAGTCCTTGCTCATCCCTTGCCAACCATTCATGGAACTTTCCTTCACTGTTTTTTAACTTTCCAAACCCATCTACACACATATATACAAGAGAGGCGTTTACTATATAGTTCTCAACTGAATATATCTAACTTCTGACTATATATACACACACACATGTACCTTGAGAAACACGAAATCCTTGTTGTCTGAGAAGTCGAAATCGAAGAGCCATATGGTGTAGATCAGTACCTTCCTCATCAATATTAAGGAACGTTGAGTCATCTCCCAAATCATGCACTTTTTCAAGGACTTCTTCAATCTCTGTTTCAAAGTGATATCCAATGCCTAATCGTTGAATTGCATCTATCACACACAACTTGTCCGCAATCATTGCCTCATCATTTTCACTTGCCGCTTCATATTTCACCATATTTCTCACCTCTTCCTTTAGAACTTCATATTTGGGGTGTTTTTGTTTTGCCTAAAAATTTGTGGATTCAAAAGGTGAAAGGAATAAATAAAAAAATCAGTCTGAACTTCTATTCATGATAAACCCTCATAGTTAATATATATAAAGGCAAATGCAATTTACTGTTGCCTAAAAACTTACATGTTTGCTCCTATTTATTTTAGAACTCACCATTTGAGACATACTTTTTTAAACTTGTCCTAAGTGTGACTATTTCTATTGTTTTTTGTGCACTCGTCATTTTTTCCGCAAGAAAATTATTTTTGAAACCGTTATTGCATTTTTTTAAAGTGCTTCTCATTTAGAAGATGTAGATTACTCAAACTATAGTCATCTTTCTTTGTACATGTTTCGATCCTTATTACATATGTTTCCATGATGCATTTTCCAATTTGAGGATGATATTGAACAATACCATTATTTCCGTGGTGACATTGTCTTCAATCTTTGAAGTCATATTATCTAGAAAACACGGTTTGCTTGCCAAAAATACAAAGTCTCATTCCAAGTCCCCCAGCCTTCTACTGCATATATTTTCTTTCTTTGCTCCTCAGTTGTAAATGGCTATGATCTTGACATGTTTTTGGGTTTTCTTAACATTGTTCTATTTAATAATCACAGTGGATACTGAACGTAGACTATATATATTCACAATAGACCAAGGTTGTCAAACCGGTTTATGCCAGTGTGCCGGTTTAGCAAGTGGAATGGTTCAACCGGTGGTACATACCGGTTTGTGCCGGTTCATGCCGGTTAATATTATAAATAATTTATAAATTCTCATATTTAAACACGACATTTAACGTCAATACCTAAATATTTGTACTTGAATCCAACAAATAACATCAACATTTAACTTTTTAACACATAAAATAAATAATAAATCACTTTTTATCAATTAAATTCACTAAGATAAGGTCATTTTATTTGGAGATTTGTATATCGATCATGCCGGTCATACCGGTGGTGTCATGCCGGTTTTATGACCGGTACAGGTTGAACCAGGTTCGACCAGTGGCACGCCGGCCGGCGTGACAACCATGCAATAGACAAATCAGTCTTCTCCCCATGTACTTCCTATACTCTTCCTTGAAAAACCATGCCTAGGCTGTTTACATGCATTCTCCCCACGCACTTCTCGAATTGAAACGACAACAAATCTCAACTTAAATAAATGGTTTATGTGTACTCGCATTGCTCGCTCATCTCAGTTTTCCTTTAGCAAAATATGTTTTCAATGAGCTTCATCTATTTTTTCAAATGAACTTCTCTACTTAAGAACGATGATGGATCTCGAAAAAAGAGTGCTTATCTTCATAGTGCCGTTGTACAATGTTCATCATTGGGATACCATCCTCCTTTCGAAGAAAATGTCTATTTATATGTATTTGCTAACATGCTACTCAATTCGTAAACAAATATGAATCCTAATATAAATGATAGTGCGTCATTTTCCCTATGTTTATGTGGTTTGCTCTACTATTTATTTTTTCAACCGGTAAATTCATCAATAACATATAATCTAAAGCTTTGACACAACAAATTAACAAACGGGCCTTAAATCATTGATATAAAACTCTTTCACATTGATTGCGGCTTGACGCGATGTTCACTTTCTTGTTATATTAAAATCTATGAAGAAAATCATATAAAAACTTATGCATAATATATATATAGATAGATCTCTAAGCACATATATATTATATAGGTGTGACATATTCTTAGGCACTTCTGTTCAAACTCATGGTTGGAAGTAGAGCTTTTGATTATCAAAGTGATCCACATGTACAAGAAACAAGATTGATATGGTGAATGCACATTATTATTGTATCTCTTCCAACAACAACGTAACCGGAGTATTTTTGAACTAACCTATATATAGCAAGCTAGCTACTAGTAACGAATTTAATAGATATAAATTAGTTAAATTACCTGGAGAGACAGATTTTTTGAACTAACCTATATATAGCAAGCTAGCTACTAGTAACGAATTTAATAGATATAAATTAGTTAAATTACCTGGAGAGACAGATCAACTTTGTCGAGGAAGCCATGACCCCAGACTGTGTTAGGGAAGGTTGCCGGTGAGACCCGATCCACTGCCCCGACGGTTGCCTTTCCAGCTGCCGCCTTAGCACTAGCAGCACTTGAAGGAACAGGTGATAGTGGAGAAGAGGAAGACGACATGAAAATAGAAATATGCATGGTGTAGCTGTTAGTTTGCGAGATAATAAGCTGCTCAATGGGATTATGCCAGATTAAGGTACTGCTGGTGTGGTGATCGGTAATCCTCCTCAGTCCTCACGGCTATAAATAGGTGGGAGGGACTAATCAATTTTATTTTATTAATTGAAGATATTAACCAAGTTGCAGGGGCTGCTGATAACAGAGCGAATCTTAGCATCGTTTATTGCTTGTTTATTTATGCTCTGGAATTATACGAAACCTTAGATTGTACAAATTTCGAGAAGATAAAATTTGCCTGTTTTGGTCTGGGGGATTGTTAATGACTGACTCATTTTTGACAAGTATATATCGTGACATATAGTAAAACAAAACTAAACATATATATATTTCTCCCATGATTAAATTATTTTCTTTTCTTTATTTGAATTTTCTTTGTTCAAAACCGAACAGAGTCGATTCGTTTTAATAATCAGTGGATGTCGATTCGCCGGCTGATCTAATTTGATGCTGATCTAATGAGAAAAAACGGGCCACTGTTAGTGAGTGGTATATATATAATTCACGATTGAACCTCTCTCAACAACTCGAGTTATTGGGACCAACTAGTTCTTGACATGGTATCGGAGCCTTCTGTGACCGAAAAAGTCTTGTGTGCGAATCCCGGTGACCACGTTTGTGAAGCACATGTGTTCTCGTTTCCAGGACATGTGTTAGTGAGTAATATATGATCCACGATTGAACCTCTCCCAACAACTCGAGTTATTGGGACCAACTAGTTCTTGACAATCACATACACCATCGGGTCGACCCGCTGCAAGGTTATCGGGTTGGAGGTCACACAGTGTCGTTTTCCCCTTTGGTTTGTGAAGTGCGCATCTTTTCTGATTTTTCCCTTCGTCTAACCCTATATTTGAAATTCTAAGTTGAACATTTGAATATTGATGTTATATAAGTGTGAATTTTCACGATATGTTGAATCCAGATACGATTTGTTATTTTGGTGTAATGTTATTATTCATATTTTAAATGAGATTTGATATAATTTATGAGAACTTTTTTATGGGAATGCGTTAGGGTGATAATTAAAATTCTAGTAGCCATCGTGGCTACATCATTATCTGCCGTCCATTTTTATTTATTTTCCATTTTTTTAGTCTCATTGTTAAGATTACGTCAGGATAATTTTGAAAACGAAAAAGAGTCCACACCGGATTATTCTATATATTCTACCCAAATCCTACTTCTACACTCCCCTCCCTCCAACCAAACCCTACTTCAAACGACTGTCGATTGCGGCATGCCCGCCCTCCATCCCTCTCCCCTCCGACCACCTCCCTTCGCCGGACATCCCTCCCCCTCCCTCCCGATCCCCTCTCTCTCTTCCCATCTGTTCTTCCTCCGCAGTAGAATCTCCTCACTAATATATACCTAAAATCCAATCCCCTTCCGCTCTCTCTCTCTCCTTCTGTTCTTCTTCAACAAAAATGACGAATGGGATAAAGATTTTGTTTTTGGGGAATTCGACTGCAATAACAAAACAACTGATTTTTTATTGGTATGTACTTTCTCGCATTGGTAGTATTTTCCCCCGTAATGGTAGTGTTTTTTTGCATTGGTATTGAAAAGGTGGGATGAATAAAAACCCTAGATCTGATTTTTTTCGCATTGGTAGTGATTTTTCGTAGTGGTTGTGTTTTTTTCGCATTGGTAGTGATTTTTTCGTAGTGGTAGTGTTTTTTCGCATTGGTATTGTTTTTTCCGCATTGGTAGTGACTTTTCGTAATGGTAGTGTTTTTTAGTATTGTTTTTTCCGCATTAGTATTGATTATCATGTAAGTGTATTGCTTTTCAGTGAAATGATAGTTTTTCTTGTAGTGGTAGTGTTTTTCACATTGGTATTATTTTCATTTTCTTTTTGCATTGGTATTGATTATTATGTAATGGTATTGATTTGCATGTATTGATATTGATAAATCTGCAATGGTATTGGTGTTTTGTGAAATGGTAATGTTTTTATTTCACGAATGGTATTGGTGTTTTATGCATTGGTAGTGTTCTTTTAATGGATTGATATTGTTTTATTGTTGCAACGGTATCTGAACGAAAACAAGGAAAAGATTGGAAAAAAAGGAAGAGAGATCTGGCTGAAAATTGTGGAAGTGAGAAAGAGAGAGAATTGTAATTAATATATTTTTGTAACTTCCTAAAATATAATTTGTTAAAAAAGGTAATTACTAATTTTTTTGGCATACCCAGTTTGCCCTTAATAACCAATAGTAATCACCGTAAACGGTCCCTTTTTTATGTATCCACAGTAAACTGGATTGAAACGATCAAATTATCAACTCTCAATCTACTTACTCGAGCCCACGAGATAAAACCGTACTACTCAATATTATTTAACCCTTCTTTCGTGAATTATTTTTATCAATCACGTGAAGGATTTTGAAGCGCGTTCATCGAGTTGTGCTCCTCAGATGAAATTAAGCAGTCCGTGGATGCCGCAGATTAACACAAGCATGGCAGTACTGTTGATTTTGTCGACTGCCACCACCCGCCGTTCGAGTTCTTCATGCCAGAAACCATGTTGCTACACTGGGAAAAGGGAACTTTGGCAGACGTGGATCCATTGCCATTTTTTTTATACTAGCGTGGTGAGGCCATTTAGTCGGAGGAAGGTGAGGTATTAAATTTGATAATGTAATGGGGTTTATAGTTTATTGTTGTATATTTTTTTTTTTTGGGAAACATGTGATAAAAATAGTGAATTTTAG